AACCCTAACCCTAACCCTAACCCTAACCCTAACCCTAACCCTAACCCTAACCCTAACCCTAACCCTAACCCTAACCCTAACCCTAACCCTAACCCACATTGACCACAGTACGCAATCTGACAAGCGTCCCACAGTTGCCGTTGTGCCGGTGCAGCCAGTGGTTCACAAGAATGTGCTCTGCCTCAACTGCCAGTTCAGCAAGAAGGCGGTCAAGACACTTGATGCCGTGCAGCAGCGCAGAAGTGGTTGGCAGGGGCAGGAGGTGATGGCAGGAGCGCTGGCGTGCAATGGGCCGCAGTTGGAGTTGCCGCCGCTGCTGCTGCTGCCTGCCTGCTGCCCGTCCACGGCACTTGACGCAATGCGTTGGCGCGCGCCTGGCACATGAGGAGATCTGTCTGAGCGGACCAATCTTGACCTGCGCACGCCAGCACCAAAAATAAGGCCAGCGCAAGCTGCCACACCCGAGTGGCCCAAGCTGTACAGCTGGGCAAGCCGCAGCAGACAAGCCTATCTGCACTAGAATATGTCTAAGGCTAGCAGTCTGCATGTCAAGACTGCAATTGCCACTGCCCTTCTGCAGGTAATTGTCAACAAGTGCACGCTACTTTGCTCCTTTGGCGGCAACATGCACTTGCTTGGTGGCCTGCTGTTCTAGTGACAAGTGCCATGTGTTGGTGCAGCAGCTGCTGAGTGCGCAGGCAATAATGCCGGAACGCTTTGACAGGCGTGGGAACGGGCTGCCGCGGGCGAGAGCAACACCGCGCCAAGCGTGCCCCGTGCGCACTCCACCGCCTCCTGCGCGCCGCAGCGCTGCTCCGCACCACCACCACCATGTCAGGCACGCTCTCCCTCGCCTTCGACGCCGCGCTCATCCCCGACAGCGTGCACAGCTCCGTGCCGGCGGGCCTCGAGGTGCGTGCGCAGCGCAGATGCGACGGCGGCGTGACTACGGCGCAGCTGCGGCTGGACGGTGCGGCACGGAAGGGGCACCGGCGGCGAGGCGATGCGTCGCCGCGGCCGCATTGCTGCGCGGCGCCATAGCATGTCCGACCGCTTCAGCCATGGAGCGGCTGCAGGTCCTCTCTGCTGTTGCTGTGCAGAACACAGATGGGTCGCGGCATGGGCACAGCAGCGCCGCTGCATAGCCGCCGTGAGCGCCGCAGACGCACCGCCGCACACCCCCCTACATGACGACGGTGCTGACCACGGCGCACAGCTTCGCCCGCTGGCGTCCGGCGACTACGCACGCGGGCATCTCGACGTGCTGCGCGCCCTCACCAGCGTGCCCGACGTCGGCGAGGCGGCGTGGGAGGGCCGCTTCGCCGAGATGCGCGACGCGCAGCCGCGCGCCTACTACCCGCTCGTGCTCGTCGAGCAGGGCCGCATCGTCGCCACGGGCACGCTCTTCCTCGAGCGCAAGTTCATCCGCGCGCTCGGCGCGGCCGGCCACATCGAGGACATTGCCGTCGACAAGAGCCAGCAGGGCAAGGGCCTGGGACGCGTCATCATTGCCGCGCTGACGGCCGTGAGCGAGGCGGTGGGCGCGTACAAGACAATCCTTGACTGCAGCGAGGAGAACCAGCGTGAGTGGCAGGCGTTTGCGGAGGGTGGAGAGATGCGAGGTGAAGGGGCAAAGGTTTGTGGGCAGCGCGGAGGGACGTGCGCAGCATGCAGGGTAGTGGGGAGCGTGGAGAAGAGTGGTGGGCCGCGTGCGGCATGGAGGAGCAGAACGGAGTGAGACAGCGGTGCGGTGGTGCTTTCGATAGATGAATGTCACCTAGAGCAGCAGCAAGATCTGTCTCCGCGAATGGCTGTGCACAAGCGCTGCGCAACTGCTGCTGACACGGCCGTGCTGCCAGCGTTCTACGTCAAATGCGGGTACGTCTCTCCTTGCTTCTCACCGCTCCACACGCTGACTTGGCCTCAGATACAAGCTGGCCGGCGTGGAGATGGTGCGCACTGCCGCTGTTCCGTGTCTGCTGCGCGCTCACGCTATGCACCGCAGGCCAAGTACGCAGGAGAGGCCAAGCCGGCGCACGCGGCGCAATGAGGGCGTTGCGTGCAGATGCTCGGCAAATGCAGATCGCTACATGCTGCCTCGCGCGGAAGCGGTTGCGATTGCGCGCGGCTCGAAGTGAAGGCGAGAGCGACCACCGGTGCGGCTGATCAGCGCCCAGCGGCGCCACGCCGTCATCAGCCCTGCCCCATTGCAAGCACAGGAGCGTGTCACGCAGGAGCAGCGGAAGGAGTCGATTGCAGCGACGGGTCTATATGTGTGTAAGCAGAAGCAGGTCGTGCGTGGATGAGAGCCGCAGCGAAGGACACGAGTATGAAACGCAAGCAAAAAAGGCAGGAGACGCGGGCGGTAGGAACTGCGGGCGATGCGGACGACGTGCTTGTCCACAAATGCGACTCGCACGCCTCACGCCCAGGCGCCCGGGAAGCTGTCCCGCCGTTCGCGCCGCTCGCCCTCGGCGGCCTCCCAGCGCTCCTCCTCCTCGCGAATGTCGCCACCCCAGCTGCCCGCGCCGCCGTAGCTGCCCTGCTGCGCCCAGCTGCCGTTGCGCCGCTGCGACGGCGTGCGGCCGAGCGGCGCGCTGCCCGTCGAGGCGCCGGCCTCGTGGCTGCCCGCCGAGCGGATCGACGAGAGCTTACGCACGAGGCGCCCGAGCGTGCGCACGTACACCGGCGCCGCCTGCTTCGCCACGCGGCGCGGCGCCCAGAACGCGGCGTCCTCCGAGTCGTCGCCCTCGAGCGCGCTGCTCGAGGCGCGCGCGTGCTGCTTCTGCGGCGGCGGCGGCGCGAGCGCGCTGCGCTGCGGCGGCAGGTGCATCAGGGTCGGCATGTGCGGCAGCTCGTCGCCGGAGCGGCGGCGCTCGTCCGAGTCGCAGCTGCTGCGCTTTGGCGAGGCAGGCATGTGGCGGGCGGCGCTGGCGCGGCGCTCCTGCGAGGCGGTGCGCTGGTGCGTGGGCGCAGCGGAGTCGGATGCGTCGCGCTGGTACCACGCTGCCGGGCGCTCGGGCAGCGTCTTTTGCTCGGCGACAGGCGGCAGTGGGCGCTCTGGCAGCATCTTGTCCGTCTCATCGTGCTGTTCGGTGCCGGGCGCTGGCGCCCAGAGGGCATCCCACGCTCTGCCGATAAGGCCGGCAGCCCATCCGCTCTGCTCGCGGGCGTGCCCTGCCTCGCGCGTTGCGGGCGCACTGGCATGGGCGTGCGGCTCGGCGTACGACGGCTCCTGCCACGCAAAGCGCTGCAGACGCGGCGACGGCTTGTGCGACGCATAGCTGTCGCGCCAGGTCTTCTCCTCGCGAGCATCCTCGTCCTCCTCCTCCTCGAGGTAGCGTGCGTTGCGTAGCGTCTCCTGCTCGTACGACCAGCGCATGTCGGGATACGCGCCGGGCGTGCCCTTTTCGCGCGCCAGGGCCTCCTCCTGCAGCAGGCGGTGCATCTCGGCGCTCTCTTCGGCGTTGGGGTCGACGACGCTGCGCACGTCGAGCGCCGCATTGTAGCGCCGCAGGCAGACGAGCGCGGCGGCCCAGAGCGCTGCCTGCGCCAGCAGCCGCGCGCCGCCGGCGAGCAGAAAGGCACGCAGCGTGGCCGAGCCGCCGGCCGCGCACGACGGGCGCGAGGCGGCGTCAGGCGAGAAGGGCGCGGCCGACCACAGCAAGTCCATGTCCCAGTCGCCGAGGCAGCGCTGCGCCACGTCGCGCAGCGCCGACGTGCCCTGGCGGTGGAAGACGACCAGCATCGCCAGGTTGGCAATCGAGAGCGCGAGCGTGAGGATGAGTCCGACGATGACGGCGATCCACACGAGCACCGTGCTGCAGGCCCGCTTGCGCGACTGCCGCGGAACGTCAGCATTCGGTGGCACACGGTTCGACGCAGCACTCACAAAGCGCAGGTACACGAGCAGCGCGGCAACGGCCAGCAGCGCCAGCGCATCGATGCAGACGCAGAGCAGCGCCAGCGTGCGCAGCAGCGGATCCGGAGCTGCCGCGGCCGCGGGCGCGTCCGAGAGCGGCACGCCGCCGGGCGAGAGCGAGAGAAAGGCGAGCACGTGCTGCACGAGCAAGTACGCCTGGAATGCCTGTGTGCAAGTGTCAGTCATGCACGCGGCAGCAGCACCACTGGCACGCACCGCACAGCACAGCGCCACGACGCCGGCGACGGTGCGGCGGCGCAGCTTGAGACGCTTGGCGCCGCGCTCGCGCAGCCGCTCCACCTCACGCTCGACGAGGGCGGCGTTGGGCCCGTGGAGCGCGGCGGGCGTCTGCATGCGCGGCAGCGCCGGGCGCACAGCGGCGTCGTGCGGCGGCGGCGAGAGCGCGGCGTGCTGCAGCAGCGCATGGAAGGCCGGCAGCGTGCCGGACGCGGCTGCGGGCGCGCCGGCCGTGGGTGAGGCAGGCGACGTGGGCGACGTGAGCACCTCGCTCGGCGAGAGGGCGCCGGTCAGCGACGGCAGCGGCGCAGGCGCCATGGCGGCGGCGCGTGAAGGAGACAGGCGCAGAGAGGCAGGAGGCTGGAGACGGGAGAGAGAAGCAGGAGACGGGCGTGGCGCGGCAGGTCGTGAGGTCGTGAGGTCGTGAGCGGGTCGTGAGGAGTCGTCAGGTGGTGGTGGTGAGAAGAGAAGGCAGACTGCAGTGCGCGCGCGCCAACATCGCCCGCCGCCTGCTCAGGGGCGCGGCGCGGTGGAGGCAGCGGCGCGCGCGGCCGATGCGCGTGTTTGCCCCTCTCATCTCGCCGCATCTCGCAGCAGGCGGCACGGGCGCCGGCGCACACATTCGCCTCGCACTCAGCCCAAGCTCGGGCCACGCTTGCGGCTGCAGAATGAGCAGTGAATTGCACGCCAGGCGTGCGCGAGCCGCTGTCCGCCGGCCATGGTCGCCCCTGAGCGCCGCGCAGAGGCCGCGCTGACGCTCGCACCGCGCCAAGCCGCCGGGCCCCTGTGCTGCCGCAGCAGGCACATCTTGGCCAAAGGCGCTCGCTGGTGCAGGCCGCACATGAACAGGCGAGTCTCGTGGCTGGACTCAGCCCGAAGAACACAAGGCGGCCCGGTGCGCGCAGAGGCGGCGAGGGCCAGCGCGGCGCCGTGCGCAACCAACACATGCACGCGACGCCTTGGGCATCGCGCGCAGGCAGGCAGCTGCAAGCGAAGGCGGCGCGGCGCGCGGTGCACGCGGCAGCGAACTTGGAAGCGCTGCTCCACACAGCCATCGTCTCTTCTTCACCGTCACCCTCGTCTTGCGCGCATCAGCACACCACTCGTCGGCGCCACGCCGCACTGCAGCCACCGCCGTCGTCTGCCGCTGCTGCGCCGCTGCCGCACGCCCACCTGCCACTGCTGCGCCGCCCTGCGCCGGCCGTGCCTCGCCGCGCAGCGACCCGGCGTGTTCTGCCGCCCCTCGCACCTGTGCTGGACAGGCGCCGCACCGCCGCCGCAGGCATGGCCGCGCCGCCGCACCGCGCCGTGCCGCTGGCAGCGCCGGCCGGCAGCGACGCCGAGGCGCGCCCGGCGTATCTCGTGGCGCCGGCGTCGGCCGCCGTGTCGGACCTGCGCCTCGAGGTGTGTGCGCTGCCGCCTGGCACGTCGCGGCAGCCGTCGGCGGCCGAGCTGCGGCGCGCGCGCCTCAGCCCGGCGTGGTTCAAGGAGCGCGTGCTGGGCGCCGCCGGCGAGATCGTCGACCGTCTCGTCGATGCGCGCTCGGCGCAGTGCCGCTGGACGGTGCACCGCCCGGTGCGCGGGTGAGTCGTCGTGTGCGCTGCTGGAAGCGGGCCGGATGGCAGGCACGGCATACACTGCTGGCTGGGATGAGGTGGCGGGCACGGCATGCGTTGCAGCACGGGCCGAGCTGGCGGGCTCGGCGTGCAGCCTGCGCCGACTGACGGGAATGGCACCTTGCGGTCCGGGCCGAGATGGCAGGCGCGGCATGCGTTGCGGTCCGGGCCGAGATGGCAGGCACGGCATGCGTGCGGCTCCGCTGGTCGCTTCTCTGATGACTCTCTGCGCTCTGGGCTGACCCCGTGCCGACTTAGCTGGTACCTGCACCTGCGCTCGCCGTCCTTGCCGGCCGGCTCGGCCATCCCGCTGCGCCCTTCGCGACACGCGGCGTCGGACCTCAGCGCCACGCCGCTCACCTTCTCGCTCGGCACGCGCATCGACCGCGGCGCCCTGCAGGCGTGCGTGCCGTTCCTCGACGCCGAGAGCGAGCAGGCCGGTCGCGCCACGTGGGACGTCGTCGACCTCGGCAAGCCCTCGTCGCCTCACGCAGAGAGCAGCACTCGCAACAATTCGACGCCGACAAAGCCAGCGCTTGCGTCTGCGCGCCGAACGCCTTCGTCTGTGCCCGGCGACCGCCAGCACATCCGCCGGCGCTCGGCCGCTGGCAGCGGGACGCACGATCCCGCCGCCTCGAATGGGCCGCGACACTCGGGCCTGGCGTCGGCCATCGCCACGCCGCGGCTGGGCACGGCCTTTGAGGAAGAGGCAGACGCACCGCACGCCGACCGGCCGTACGAGCCGTCGACGCCGCGCAGTGTGCCGCGGCCGCAGTCGGCCGGCGAGGCGGCGGGCGCACGGGAGCGCTCGCCGCGCAGCTGCGCCTTCGTCATCACCGACGGCGCCGGCGCGCATGCGTCCGGCTGGACGGCCGCCGACGGCGCAGCGCCCGGGCGGCAGGGCGCGGGCGATGCGCGGCTCAGCTGGGCGCGCTGGGCATGGGGCCTGCTGCCGGCGCCCGTGCGGCCGGCGCTCTCGCTCGACACGAGCAAGACGTTCTCGCTGCGCTGGGTCGACCCGCCGAGCCGCACAGCGAGCAGCGGCCCGCACGACGCCAGCACTGGCGCGCCGACGGCCTCTGACAGCATCGAGATCCTGCGCTTCGAGGACACGAGCGGCTGGTGGCTCGGCGCCAAGACGCACGGCGTCCTCACGCTGCAGGAGCAGGCGATGCGCGCGCTGGGCCTCGAGCGCGCCTTCTGGGTCGCCGTGAGTGCTGCGTGGAATGGTGCGACCGCGGCCTGGCTAACCCTGCGCGGCAGGTGGCGCTTGGCTACCTCGAGTTCCTCGAAGAGCGCGATGTGAGCCGCACCGCCTGTGCTGCAGCATCACGCTCGTCGCTGATCTCCGTGCCAGGGCTACAACGCAGCGGCCGACGGCTGATCTCCTGTCACGCGCTCTAGACGGGCAGGCCCAGTGCTGGTCTCCACTGCGCTGCATCTGCCCCTGCCCTTGCATCGATACCCCTCACCTGCACACACACGGCCGATGGATAATGAGCAGTGGTTGGTGTCATTGCTGGCCTCGCGCAGGACGAGCCGGCGGCGCAGCAGTGCGTCGCCGGCCCGGGCGCGCCGCGCCGGCACGACGGCAGCGCAGGCGCACTTAGGCGGCCGGCTCGGCGGGCTTGGGCCGCGAGATGACGGCAATGCTGCCTGTGAGGGGGCTGAGGGTGAGCCTCTGCGCAGCGCGGCCGCCGCGCGTGCCTCACGGTGCTGCACGAGAATGTTGGTCTGCGCCGGCGCCGCGCCGTCCTCGCTCGGCTGGCGCGCGAGGCGGAAGTCGGCGTCGACGAGCACCTGCGTGCTGCGTGTGCGGCACGGCGGTGAGCAGAGGCCGCAGCGATGCAGCCCGGCGCGCCTCACCCCTTGCCGATGGTGGACAGGCGCTGCACGGCCGACTCGCCGAACGCAAAGATGTTGTGGTACGACGTGGTGGGCTCGGGCCGCTCTGCAAGAACACGTGCATCAGCCACACTGCTCACCGCACCGCTGCACAGTGCACGCACCGCCGCCCTCCTCGCCCGGCGGGCCGAGCGGGTCCGTCGTGGCGACGACGTAGCGCACGTAGTCCTTGCCCGCGCGCGTCTGGCGCGTCTCGGGGTCGGCGACGAGGCGGCCGAGGAGCTGCATGCGTGCCACGTCGGCGCGCGGCGCAGACGTTGAGAGGGCCTGTCAAGCACGCGTGAGCCGGGCTGTGGCATGCGAGGCGCGCACCACTCACGCGCACGGCAGCGCGGCGCGCCGGCACAGCGGAGCGGAGAGCAGAGAACATCGGGCTGACAGGGCGCGGCGCTGCGGGTCAGCGAGCGGTGCAAGCAGGTGCGGCAGCAGTTGCGCACGCTAAGTGAGAGTGGAGCGAGTGTGGGGCTGGGTGAGCGTGGGCGGCGGCAGGAGTGGAAGCGCGTGGTGGTGAGAGGCAGGCGTGCGCAGCAGCAGAGAGCTCAGGCGGCGCACGAGCCGCCGCGCCGCGCCCTTGTCGCCGCGCGCGGCACTCGGGCAGTCGGGCGCGGCGCAGTCGCACGCTGGCACTCTACACGTGCGGCACACGCGACGCGTGCGCGGCGCATGCATGCGGCCAACATCTACGCTCCCACGCCTGCCGGCCGGGGGCAGGCGCCGAGGCGGTGGAGGAGCAGCGAGGCGAGGCTGCTGTCCTGCCCGGCGGCGGCTGTCATGGTCAGCGATGCAGGGCGGCGCTTGCGTGGCCGTGCTTCTTCCGGGCGCACCTGCCTAATCGGACTGCTGCTGCTGACGGCGCCCGGCACGCTCGTCGCCGCGCTGCACCCGCTTCGCTCCTCGCCACACCATCCCTGCTCCATCTCGCCGCTGCGCCGGCCACACCCCTCGTCTGCCTTTCACTTCTGCCTCGCCGCCTGCGCCCCACGCTGGCCGTGCCCGCCGGCATTCTCGCGTCCTTTGTTCTCCATCCAACCGCCCGACTCTCTGCGCCGCGCATCCTTCGCTGCTCCACCGCGCACCTCTCTCTGCGACACCTGCGCCTCTTCTTCTCTCTGCGACCTCCATCCGCCACCGCACCCTTCCATCTCCACCCGCGCCATGCCGCCGCGCCGCCGTGCTGCGGCCAACCCGCGTGCGCCGCCGGCGCTGCCCGGTCTGGCGCACGCCTTCACGCCGCGCGCAAAGGCCGCCGGCCCGGCCGCACAGGAGGCGCTGCTCGGCCTCGGCATCAAGGTGCCGGCGGCGCACAAGGGCAAGGGCCGGGCGGAGGCGGAGACGCAGCCAGCGCGGCACGGCGAGGCGGCGCCGGCGTCGCGGGTGCGCGAGGCGCCAGCGCCGCCGTCCGCCCGCTCCAGCCGCCTCGCCTCGCGCACGCGCGCAGCGGCGGCCGCTGTGCCAGCACCAGACACGCCGCAGCAGCATGCTGTGCCTGCCGCAGAGGCGTCCTCGCCGCGCAAGCACGGCCGGCCATCCACGCCGCCGCCGCCGTCCCTGCGGCCCAGCACACCGCCGCCGTCGGCCTCGCGCAACGCCCGTCCGAGCACGCCGCCGCCGTCCGCACGCGCACAGGCGTCGCCGTCGCTACTCGGCGCGCCGACGCGCTCGCCGCTCGGCGTGCGCACCGATCCCGACTCGGGCAAGATGTTCCTCCTCGTCTCGCCGCGCGCGGCCGCCAAGCGGCGCCGCGATGCCGAGACGCTGGCGGACCGGCAGCGCGAGCGCCATGCCTGGTCTCACGGCGCCTTCGACGACGACGAGGACGAGCCGCTGCATGCGGCCGGCAAGCGGCAGAGAGTCTCGTCTGCTGGCGGCTGCCGCAGCCTCCTGACCGCTCCGCCCTCGCAGGAGCAGGTAGTAATGACGGCCGACGACGACATCATCACGCCGCGAGACGTGCGCGAGCGGTGAGTTGACGCCCCTGGCGCCAGTAGAACGCGCCCATGCTGACGCCGCGCAGACCTCGAGGACTGCCGCTGGCTCCTGCAGCGCCTCACACGGCTCACTTTATGACACCGTCATCCGGCCCGCGAGCGCTCGTGCGGCCTCGTGCACCTCTGCCGCCTTCGGCGTTCGCGCCGTCCTCCAGCTTGCCGGCGCCCGCGCTGCTGCCGTTCGGAGCAGCGCCGCACTACCGCTTGGCTGCCACTCTGCCGCTGCCGCCGGACTACGCCACGCTGCTCGCGCTGCACTCGGCGCTCGAGCACGCCTTGATCGCACACCTGGCCGTGCAGGGGCCCGGAGGCTCGCTCGCGCCCGCGTCGCCCATCTCGCCGGCCGGCACGCAAGACCGCACCGTGTCGATGCACTCGCTCCTGCCCTACGCGACGCTCCGGCCGCTGGTAGAGCGAGCGTCCGGGCGGCGCCTCGGGCCAGGCGAGCTTGCGCGGCTGCTCACGCTCTGGGGCGGGCCCGACGCAGACGATGGCATCGGCCTCACCCTCTCGCGCGTGCGTGCGCTCGACTCGCGCGGGCGCAAGAGCCAGGACTGGGCCGTCGGCATCCGCGTGCGCCTGCTGCGGCGCCGACGCGAGGTCACGCCTCCGCTCTCGGCCTTCTTTGGCGCCGTCAAGGCGCCCACGACGCCCGGACGCGGCGGCGGCGACGAGCGAGCGGGCGAGGCCGCGCGCGAGGGCATGAGCGTCGTGGCGCTCTGGAACACGGGCCTCGAGGCGCGCAAGGCGGCCGTGCGCGAGAAGCTGTTGGGCTGGACGGGCAAGGCGCACGAGGCGTGGCTGGAACAGCAGGGCTTTGCACCGCAGGACGAGCCTCGCAAGCAGCCGCAGAGCCGGCCGAGCACGCCGGAGCCTAGACCGGTCGTCGAGGGACCTGGCGGTCTGCTCACCCCGGGCGCCACGCGCGAAGGCGAGGGCAACAAGCGTGCCTCGCGCATCGTGGACCTCGGCTTTGGCACGGAACCGAGCGCGACAGCAGCGGAGAAGAGCGCGTCCGCTGGATGGACACGCCCAGCTCCGCACGAAGAGCTCGCGGCCTGGCACGCGTCCTTTCCGCTCGAGCTCGTGCCGCCGATTCCCGCCAGCGAGCTGCCAGCACTGCTGCCCAGCACTACGATCGTCCAGCCCGCGCCAGCCCGCAAGGTCGCTCAGGATCCGCTGGCGGACGAAGAAGCTGCAAGCGGCAGCACGCTCGTGCCTGGACCCGCGCCACCGGTCAAGGCACTCACGCTCGAAGAGCGCATCCGCGCCAAGGAGGCTGCACGCAAGGGCGCCCGGCCAGTCCTGCCGGCGCGCTCACGAGTCGGCGGGCCGAGTGCTTCCTACGTCAGCGACGCGAAGCGCAGCACGATGGCCGGCTTCAAGCGGCGCTCCACGCTGTCGCGCCTCTCGGCCATCGCCGAGGGCGTGTATCTGCTCTTCACCTCTTCGCTCCCGGCGGCCGGCACGTATGGCGGAGCACGCAGCGGTATGCTGCCTCTAGCCGACGTGCTTGGCAGCGTCACCAAGAGCTCGCCGGTGGCGCTGTCGCGAGCAGAGGCGCGCGAGGCGCTCGACATGCTGCGCGACCTGGCGCCCGGCTTCCTGGGCCTCAGCAGCGTGGGTGGGCGCGAGTGGGCCTGTCTGGAGGGCCGCGAGCTGCGCGAGGTGCGCGAGAAGATCCGCGAGGAGCTGGCCGCGATATAATACCATTGTTTCGAGAGAGACAGAATACAGTGTGACACTGCGCGCCGGTCCGGTGACGTGCGGGAGCCTGCTACCACTTGCCCTCTCCAAACTCGCCCGCGCTGCCGGCCGCCTTGGCGGTGCCCGAGCCGTGCCAGTCGCGGTCGCCGACGCTGCCGACCAGCGTGCTGCCGCTGGTGCCCGACGCAATGCTGCCGGCGTAGCCCGGCGCAGCCGCCTCGGGTGCAGGTGCGTCGCGTATGAGTGGATCTAGCGCATCGAGCTCCGCCTTGCTGAGATGCCGGGCCAGGCCGTCGATCTCCTTTGACACCTGCAGCAGCGTCTTCTACTCGTTGGCCAGTGAGCGGACGCACAAGACAGACACCGAGTGCAGACTCACCTTGAGCTTGACGTCGACCTTGGTGATGAGGTCCAGATTCTGCGCGCTCAGGCTGCTGCTTGCTGGAGCCGAAACGCCGCCGGCCTCATCGAAGTGCCCGGCGAAGAAGCCGCCGGACGCACTGCCTGGGAAGCCCATGCCGCTCGGCGTCGATGCGCCGGGCAGGCCTGATGCGCCGCCGCTCGGCTGCGAGGTGAAGGAGAGCAGGTGGTGGTAGACCTCGGAGAAGATGTCGAGCAGCGTCAGGAAGGTCTGCGTGAAGTCCGGAGCGAAGGGCTGTCATGCACGTCAGCACAGGCGTGGTCTCTGAGACCAATGCTGCTCACCACATGGGCGTGCACGATCCAGCTGCCCTCGCCAGCGCTCTGGCCCAGGACGGAGGCCGACGCATCTGCGCCGGCAGACTCGACTCCGGGGCCGAGCGACGAGGCGCTCGTGAGGCCGCGCTTGCGCACTGTGCCCGTCTTGAAGAAGTTGCGCTGCGGTGCTGCGCTCAGCTGCAGTCTCGGTGGTACCCGCTCTGTGAGGTCAGTGGTGCAGCACGACTTACCACGCCATGTGCGCCCTTGCCGCCGCCGCCGCCGAGGCTGCTGAAGCCCGAGGCCGCCGAATCAGGCATGACGTCGAGCTCAGCCACGACGGCGAGCACGGCGCGAGCAAAGTCGGGCAGGCTGGAGAGCTCGAGCAGCGGCGCCAGCGAGAGACCGAGCAGAAGCGCGCGCTGCGTGCTGCAGCCAAGCAAGGTGAGCGGATGGCCAGACCATGCGGCTTTGCGAGGCGCAACGCACCGCTTGCGCATGCGCTCCGGCTCGTAGATGCTCTCGACGTCGCGGCGCGTGAGCCGCAGCGTGCCGAGCCACACGTTCTTTCTGCACGGCGCAAGGGCGATGAGCACCTGCACAGCACGGCAGCGCATCAGCAACGCACCCCAGCAGCGTGCGCTTGAGGTACGCGACGGCGGCGATGCGGCGCGCCAGCAGCTCGCGCACGGCGTCGTCGCCGCGCGGCGCCGCCGACGGCGTGAGGCCGGGGCTCGGCAGTGCCGCGGCGCTGAGGCCCGGGCCCGGCGGGAAGAGGGCGCTGCCGAAGCTGCTCGCCGCCGCGGCAAAGTCGGGCGACGAGGGCGCCGGGGCGCTCGCGGCGCCGCTGGCTGCCGCGATGGAGCCGGGCGCGAGCTGCGGGTGCGGCGGCGGCGTGGCTGCGGATGCGCCCGCAGGTGCCGGCGCCGACGGCCGGCGCACGAGCGGGTGCGGCGGCGGCGGAGCCATGGACGGCAGGTGCGGCAGGGTGGAGATGCAGCGGAGACGGAGGATGGCGCAGCGACGCAGCAGCAGCCGCAGCGGCGCCCAGGCAGCAGCCGCGACGCGACGCTGCAGCCGGCGCTCGCGGCCGTGCGCGGTGCGGCGGGACTGCGCAGCGCTGGGTGCGAGAGCGTGCCGTCCAGCAGCGGCTGGGGCCTGTGTGCAGCGGCGCAGGCGCGGGGTGGTGAGGGTCAAGAGGCAACGCCGACGCCTCGCGGCGGGCTCAGGAGGCCCGAGCGCAGCGGCACGCGTGCACGTGACGCGAGCGTGGGAACCGCCTCGCGCCAGGAAAGAAAGCGCCGCCGCCGCGGCCGCGCTCGCGCGAAGCTCGCTGCTCGCCGTCTGCTGCCCACTGCGAGTGCCTCTCGACGCCCATCCCCCACCCCAGCAACTGCCGCACGCCGCGCCGTTGCATGCCACTGCTGCCGCTGCAGAGTGCCCGTCTCACCTCGCTCCTCGCTCGCCGCGCCGCCTTTGCTGCGCCGCCGCCGCTGCTCCGTGCCGCGCCGCGCCCGCTGCTCCTCGCCCGCGCCCCTCCGCTCCTCCGCTCCGCCATGTCTGACGCTGCGCCGGCCGCGGCGCCGAAGCTGCTGCTCGACGAGGTGACGGGCGACATGGTCTCGAAGAAGTGAGTGTCCCGCTGTGCTCACCCGCCGCACGCGCCGACGCCTGGCCCCCCTCGCAGCGAGCTCAAGGCGCGCCAGAAGAAGCGCAGCAAGGACGCCGAGAAGGCCGCAAAGGCCGCCGCCGCACCCGCGCCCGCCGACAAGCCCGCCGGCGCCGCCAAGGCTGCCGCCAAGGCCGACGACGAGGAGCTGACGCCGTCGCAGTTCTACGAGCGCCGCGCGCGCGAGATCCTGCGCCTGCGCGAGACGCGCGACCCGGACCCGTACCCGCACAAGTTCCACGTCTCGTCGTCCATCACCGACTTCATCGAGCGCTGGGAGGGCCAGACCAAGGCCGGCGAGCACATCGAGGGCGAGGTCGTGAGCCTGGCGGGCCGCATCCACAACATGCGCTCCGGCGGCAGCAAGATCCGCTTCTACGACCTGCACGGCGAGGGCGTCAAGGTGCAGATCACCGCGCAGATCCAGTGAGTGGTGCCGTGTGCAGTGATGCAGCATGACCCTGAACGGCACGCCCAGGAACCACACCGACGGCGACTTCTTCGCCGCGCACGACCTGCTGCGCCGCGGCGACATCGTCGGCGTCAAGGGCTTCCCCGGCAAGACGAACAAGGGCGAGCTCTCCATCTTTCCCTCGTCGATCACGCTCCTGGCGCCGAACCTGCGCATGCTGCCCAAGGCGCCCGCCGGCGCCGCGGCGCGCGGCGGCTTCACGGACCAGGAGCAGCGCTACCGCAAGCGCTACCTCGACCTGATCATGAACCCGCACGTGCGCGACATCTTTGTCAAGCGCGCCAAGATCATCAACTACGTGCGCCGCTACCTCGACAACCTCGGCTTCCTCGAGGTCGAGACGCCGATGATGAACATGATTGCCGGCGGCGCCACGGCCAAGCCGTTCGTGACGCACCACAACGACCTCAAGCTCGACCTCTTCCTGCGCGTCGCGCCCGAGCTGTACCTCAAGGAGCTCGTCGTCGGCGGCCTGGACCGCGTGTACGAGATTGGGCGCGTGTTCCGCAACGAGTCCATCGACCAGACGCACAACCCCGAGTTCAGCATCTGCGAGTTCTACATGGCGTACGCCGACATGCACGACCTCATGGAGATGACCGAGAGCCTCATCTCGGGCCTCGTCAAGAGCGTCACGGGCGGCTACAAGGTCAAGTACCACCCCGACGGCAAGGACGTGCCCGGCGGGCGCGAGTTTGAGATCGACTTCAGCACGCCGTGGAAGCGCTTCGACATGATCAAGGAGCTCGAGGCGAAGCTCGGCGTCACGCTGCCCGCCGCCGACACGCTGCACACCGAGGAGGCGCGCGTCTTCCTCTCCGACCTCGCCGCCAAGCACAACGTCGACTGCAGCGAGCCGCGCACGTGCGCGCGCCTCATCGACAAGCTCGTCGGCGACATCATCGAGGTGCAGTGCGTGAACCCGAGCTTCATCGTCGGCCACCCGCAGGTCATGTCGCCGCTGGCGAAGCGCCACCGCGACATTCCCGGCCTCTGCGAGCGCTTCGAGGTCTTTGTCGCCACCAAGGAGATCTGCAACGCCTACACGGAGCTGTGCGTGTGGCGTGCTGCTGCCGCGTGCGCCGCGCCGGACTGACACCACCCCATGCAGCAACGACCCCTTCGACCAGCGCGAGCGCTTCGAGGAGCAGACGCGCCAGAAGGACGCCGGCGACGACGAGGCGCAGGGCATCGACCACGTCTTCGTCGACGCGCTCGAGCACGGCCTGCCGCCGACGGGCGGCTGGGGCATGGGCATCGACCGGCTAGTCATGTTCCTGACGGACTCGAACAGCATCAAGGAGGTGCTGGTGAGTGCGCTGCAGTGCGGCGTCCTCGCGCTGCTGCTGACGCGTGCCCGCTCTCCAGGCGTTCCCGGCCAACAAGCCGCTGCCGACGCAGGAGGCTGCGCCGGCCACGGCCGCTACGTCGAGCAGTGCGCAGTGAGGTGCTCGGCAGGGCGGGGCAAGGGTGCGCGCCGCGCAGATAGATTAATCGTAAGGCGGTATACTAAGAGGAGCAGTCCGTGTGTGCGGGGCTAGAAGGCTTTGATCGCCTCTGCGGCAGGGCGAGCGCGTCAGCCACGCACGACGCAGCACAGCGCCGCGACGCACCAAGATCGTCGGCGTTGATCCAGTCGCTGCCGAGACGCAGCAGCAGCGTGTTGACGCGGTCGCGCGCATAGGACGGCCACACAGCTAGGGCGGGGTCAGCTGCGTAGCAGCGGGCAGGCACGCTCTACTCACGCGTGTCCCACACCCGCGTCTTGATGCCAAGTGCATGGGCCTCGTCGATGGCGCGCGTCAGGTTCGCCACCTGCGCGTCGCTCGGCTCCTCGAGGCCCTCCCAGCCGGGCACGAGCGTGGCCAGGTTCGTCGAGGCGACGCCGCACTGAACGCCGTGTCAGCGCGGCTTCGGCGCGCAGAGCGCAGCACACTCACCAGCGTCGAGTTGTACGCGAAGCTGACGCCGTCGACGACGAATGTCTCGCTCAGCCGGCCGAGCGGACAGTCGAGAAAGACGTTGCGCGCCGGCCGCGCCGCCAGGTCCTCGGCACGCGTGTTGCCCGTGCCGATGACGATGAGCGGGCCGGGGCGCAGGCGGCCGTCGGCGTAGTCGCTGAGGTAGCCGTCGGCGTGCAGCGGCACCAGCGCCTCCTCGACGGCACGCAGCGTCGCGGCGCCGTCGGTCTTGAGGTCGACGAGCAGCTGCAGCGGCGCCGCGTTGCCGGGCCCCGCCGTGTAGAAGCCGTTCCAGGCGCGCGGCGCGCCCTGCTGCAGCGGCGCAAAGAAGCGCGCGTCGCTCGAGTCGCTGTAGCGCGCGTTGGCGGCGTTGGCCTGCTCGAGCGCAGCGCGCAGCGGCGCCAGCGTGAGGCGCGCAAAGGTGCGTGCGCGCGAGAGCGAGTAGGGGTCGTGGCCGACGAAAAGCTCGCGCGTGCGCGGGTGCAGCCAGACGTCGCTCTCGACGCTGCGCACGCCGCGCGCGAGGGCGTCGAGCACGGGCACGCCGCGCCAGTAGTCGTTGTGCGAGTGCACGGGCAGCGGCTGCACGTCGCGCGACCAGTCGGCGGCGTGGCGCAGCAGCGCCGCATCGATGCCGCCCAGCGGCTGCGGCGTCGCGAGCTCGGCGGGCGCGGCGGGCACGAGGCGCAGCGCCGCGACCTGCACGGCGGCGAGCAGCGGAGCGAGGAGCGCAGCGGCAGGGCGCATGGCGGCGTGGGCGGCGCGCGTGTGCAGCGGCGGTGCGGCGGTGACGAGGATGCTGGTGATGAGGAGCAGAAGCAGCAGCGCCGGGCGCGGGCAGAGTGCGGCCCAGCCGCGGCGGCGCAGCGGACGGCGCACCGAGCGCGGCGTGGGCGACGGCGTGGCGGAGCGCAGCGGCGCATCGGGCGCCGTGCGGCCGCGACTCGCAGCCGCAGCCGCGGCGGCGTGCGGGTGCAGGTGCAGTGCCGCGCCGGGCCGCACCTTTCGCTCGTCGTCGTCGTCGTCGTGCAGCATCGGGGCCGCGGGGTGATGGGGGGCAGAGGCGAGCGGCGAACGTGCTCCCGGCGCCAGAATGCCGGCAGCGGCGCGCTTAGCCTCCTGCGCGCGCGTGACTTTGCGTGGGAGCAGCGCGCGCGCAGCCCGAGTCCGCTGCTCCGCACCATCTCCACCCACAATGCTCGCGGCAGTCCGCGCGCGCCTGGCGCTCGCCCGCCAGAGTCCGGCCGGCCGGCGTGCGCTGCACTCGGTGCGCGTGCACGCCGCCGGGCGCACGGCCGAGCGCCGCGTGCCCACGCCCCTCGTCCTCCTCGCCGTGCCGCACTGGGACGCCGGCTGGCCGCAGCGTGCGCGCGACGCCGCCGCCGCGCTGCACGCCCTGCCGCCGTCCGAGCTTGCGGCGCACGCGCAGCGCCAGCTCGAGCTCAAGGTGCCCGCGGCGCGCAGCCGCGTCGTGCGTGTGCCCGCCGAGGCGCCGCCGCACGCCCCGCCGCCGCCGCCGCCCGGCGCCTTCGACGCCGCGTGGGCCGCGTCCTTTGCGCGCCACGGCTTCGACGTCGTCGACGTCGAGCTCGACCTCGCGCTCGTGCCCAGGCCCGCGCCCGGCCTCCGTGTGCACGAGTGGTGCGCCGCCGGTGAGTGGGTGCGCCCTGCGCCGTGTGCCCGGCGGCTGACGTGCTCCCGCGCCGCAGAGCTGCAGTACATCGTCAAGCAGCTCGGCCTGCCGCCCGTCCTCCTCGCAGCGCGTGAGGCGGCGTGTCTGGCGGCGCAGACGTACGTCTCCAGCCACGGCGTCGCCGGCCTCGTGCTCGTCGCGCCCCCACTCAGTCTGGCGCGTGCAGAGGCCGACGGCCTGCTGGGCGACGTCGGCGGCAGCGCGCTCGACGAGTTCGACTTTGAGCCGACATTCCCGATCCGCGTGGCATGGGAGCACGAGGTCTCTGCGGCAGACGAGCTGCACTGGCTCGAGGAGGTCGAGCAGGACTATCTGGACGCCGGCGAGGAGCTGAAGCGCGCGCACTGGCCCAACTCGGACAAGGGCGCGCTGCGCGCCGTGTACTGGACGGAGGACGAGACGAGTCTGTGAGTAAGTACCCGCTGTGTCTTGGTGCCGCAGCCGTGCACTGCTGACGCGGGGGGTCGACACGCCAGCGCAGACCCAGACCCGGGCCGCCGCAAGGAGCAGAAGGGGCCCACTCGCCGGCAGCTATACGAGCGCGCGCGGCTGGCGACCACGCCCGAGCACCACGAGTGGCGCGAGGCGCGCCTCAAAGCCATCGCCAAGGGCCTCAAGCCGCCCGTCTTTGACCCGCCGGCGTGGTACGATCCCGAGCTGTACGTGTGCGGCTCGGGCACGCGTGTGCCGCTGAGCGTGCCGGCCGCGTCGCTCAAGGAGACGTTTGTGCGCTCGTCGGGGCCCGGCGGGCAGCACGTCAACAAGGTCAGCACGGCCGTGTCGCTGCTGCACGTGCCCAGCGGCGAGCGCATCACGATGGAGGCCGAGCGCAGCCAGGCGCGCAACCGCGCCCTGGCGCTGCGCAAGATGAGCCGCCACCTCGAGGAGCTGCTCTGGCTCGACGACTCGATCCTCGCCAAGGGCCAGGAGTCGGCGCGCGTCAAGAAGCGCATGAAGCACAAGAAGCAGGTCAAGCGCGAGCGCGAGCAGCACGCCGCGCTCAACGCTGCCCGGCACGCCGAGGGGCTGCCGCCGATCGCCGACCCACACTTCACTGCCCTGAGCAAGCTGCTGCCGCCCAGCGAGGATGCGTTTGACGACGACAACGACGATGACGACGACGATGAGGAAGACAGCCCGTGGCGCCGGACCCAGCAGCGCCGCGATGCACACGAGCTGCGCGAGCACGTGCGGCTGCAGCGCAAGGGCGACTACGCCGACTTCCGCGCCAGACGCAGGGCAACAAAGCAATGGCGCCGCATCAGCGCCAATGGTAAGGCGATGGAGTCTTGAAGCTAGGACATGCATCTCAACCAGGCGCTACGCCTACTCCGGCTTGGCTGCCTCGCGCGCCAGACCAGCGCCCCTGCCGCGTCGGCAACCTCGCGGCACACAAGCGCCCTCACCGCGGGCACGAGCTGCCCGGCGCAGCGCTTTTGGCTGCGAGCGGCGCCATGTGCTCGCATTGATGACGGACCAGGCGCCCCGAGTGTCGCGCTGTGCGCACCTGCGCCCTCGCCGATGACTCTCGCTCTCTCGAGACGCAGCGTCGCCAAAACAACCAGCCGTGCGCCTGACCGGCTGCCCGAGCGGGCCGCGCAATGGACACCCACATCATCCCGGCCCGCATCCCCATCAATGTCACGCTCTCCACTTCTCTCGACGACGCGCCGTCGCTTGCCGTTGCAGACACGTCGCATTTGCGCCGCCCTCCAGACGCTGACCCAGGCCCGTATCTCTACGCGCCTCACCTCGCGCTACCGCCGATAGCCGCCGCGGTCGCGGTCTCTGTCGTCGCGGTAGCCCGATGAACGCGGCGGCGGCGACCGTTCCCTGCGGCACGGCGTGTCAGCTGCAGGCCGAGCACAGAGGCCAAGAGGCAACGATGCATGCAAGCGCCGCGGCCACTCCTCGTCGGCACAACTCACCGTCTCCGATCCCGATCCATGCCTGGTCCGGCCGGCGGGCCCCTCCGCGCGTAGCCCGAGTCGGCGGGCGGCGCATAGTCGGCGTGGTGCTGCGGCGGTGGCCGGTAGCCATAGCCGCCGGCCTGTGGCGGCGGCGGGGCGCCGTAGCCACCGCCGCCCGGCGGGCCGCCGTGCCCGTTCATCGGCGGCGGCGCGCCGTTGGAGCGCTGTGCCGCCAGCGCCAGGCGCGGGTCCTTGCCCGCCGCGCGGCGCTCGTCGAAGGCCGTGATGACCTCGCGCAGCTTGAGGTAGCCCAGGTGCATCTGCGCGGCGCATGCGTCAGTGATATGCCAGCGATGCGCCCGTCTCTCTCACTCACGCGGCCGCCGAAGTGGTCCGCGAGACGCCGGTCGGAGTCGAGGATGGAGAGGTAGGCGCCGCACACGTCGCACACGCGCAGCTTCTGGTGGCCCGACGCGCCGGCCGAGTCGCTGAGCACCTGCAGCTCGCGCTCGCGGTCGGCCTTCTCCTGCTTGAGCGCCTCGACCTTTTGCAGCTCGGCGAGCGACTCGTCGATCTGGCCCGCCTCGCCGAGGCGCTCCACCTCCTTCTCCGCCGCCGCGACGGCCGCGTCGACGTCCTGGATGTCGCGCAGCAGCGTCGTGAACTTGGCCGTCTCCTCGGGCGAGATGTCGATGCGGCGCTTGTTGGCGGCGATCTTGCGGTCGATGTCGGCCATGAAGGTGCGGATCGAGTCCTCGTGCTCGACCTCGAAGGCGGGAAAGGCCTCGCCCTTGGCGACGGCGGCGTCGTACTCGTCCTTGAGGCGTGCAGTATGCGACTTGGGACATGTGCCGAGGTCGACTTTCTGCAGGGAAAGAGCGCAGCGGATTCCGGTCAGCCGGCCTGCCACAGCGCAGCGCACACACACGGCCCACGCACCGTGTTGCTGAACAGATCGTGCGGGCACGTGCCGCAGAGGAAGTTGCGGCACACCTTGTCGTCGGTGAAGTGCAGCGTCGTCGTCGCCGTGCCCATCGCTGTGCGGAGCGCGAGGTCAGTCGGCGGCAGCGGGGCAGCACGCGCGCGGCGCACCCTCGGGGCCCATGAGCTTCTCGAGCTGCATGCGCTGCACCTCGGCTTTGCGGCCCATTGTGAGAGAGGCGCGGCGGCGCGGCGCAGAGGGGGGAGAGAGGTGGTGGAGGTGGGCGAGAGAAGTGAAGCTCGAAGGTCTCGCGCGCCTCGTCGCCGTCTGCCGCCCAGCGCTGCCCCGCGGCGCGCACGTGACGCGCCCCGCCCGCCGCTCCTCGTCGCCGACCAGCTCCCCTCCTCGGCCCGCCGACACGGCCGCCGCCTCTCGCTCGGTACTGCCGCAGGTTGCGTCCAATATTCTGAGCCGCACCTTGGTGCTACCTCAGCGTCGCTCGAGGCCCGCATCGCCAGCTCCGCAACTCGCACGGAGCGTGTGTTGGCCGGGATGGAGCATCTCTTCAGCCCAAATGCCCCAGCCTCGATATCTCCGATGTCCAGAGCGCGTTTCTGCTCGTTGCAGGTGAATGATGCAGCCTTAGTGTTCAGAGTCAAGGTGCTAGCGCTGCTCAGTGTGAGCGCGGCATCAAAGAGCACGGGACCGCATGGCTTGCGCTGCGCCGTGTGCCGCACGACCCAGTCAGCCCAGGAGTAGTCGGCACAGCGCCGCCGAGCGAGGCTGCTGTCGAGCACGGGCGCACGAGCCAGACGCAGACGCAGAGGCGTCTCTGACGCCTGCAGCCTGGCCTGTGCGTCGAAGATGGCGTGAGGATGCGAGCCCAATCGATCAGCAGCGCATGCAAGCGGGCGCGCTGATGCTGCGATGCTGCCTGCTGCATCGCCATGTGCGGCGCTCCCACGCGCCTGTCAGGCTAAAGTCCGGACCCCGCGCGGCTGATCGGCGTCTGATGCCGCTCGGGCGCCGGGCGCGGCGGTGTCTGTGTGCTGCGGTGTGGCGCCATCAAGCAGCAGCTGCTGCGTCCGTGCGCTTGCACCCTGCGAAGCGAGCGGCATCTTGCCTTGCCTTGCGCTGCTGCCTCGCTCCACATCGGGCCCCGCTGCCCGCCTCGCCCTCTCGCTCCCTCACACCACCACCGCCGCCCGCCATGACACCCACCGCCACCAGCACCGCTGCATCGCCGCCGCGCAGCGCACTCCCGCCGCTCGTGCAGCTCTACTCGCATGCCGCGGCACCCGGCGGCGGCGACGGCGACGCCGAGCTGCGCGCCGCCATCGTCGCCGGCCTGCGTGCGCAGCCGCAGCTCACGACGCCCGGCCGCACCGACGCCGACCGCGCATACGCCTTCCGCCGGTGCGTGTGCAGCTGCCGCCGCCGCGAGTCATGCCCCTGCCCTGTTGCTGACCACGTGCACGCAGCACCATGCCCACGACCGTCATGTACAGCGAGAAGGGCCTGCAGCTCTACGATCGGGTAAGCGCCGGCCGCTCAGGGGCCCTGCCGCGCCGTGCCAGCGCATCGAGCTCACGCAGCAGCACAGCTCGTCGAGGAGCCCGAGTACTACCTCTGGAGCGCCGAGCTCGAGATTCTCTCCACATACGCACCCGAGATCGCGCTGCGGGCCTTTGGCCACGCCACGCCAGGCACGAGCAAGCTCTGCTCGCGCTACACGCAGCCCAAGGGCCTGGCCGCAGCCGCCTCGCAGCCGCCGCCGGACGAGCCGCAGCACGAGCAGGAGCGCAACGGTCGCAAGAACGGCTATCCGCTGCCGCTGGTCCGCGCCAAGGAAAAGTGGGGCGACCAGCGCGTGGGCAAGCACAATGGCGGCGTGAATGGCGAAGAGGGCCTGGACGGCAAGCGCACCGTCGGGTGCGCGTCACTCGTCGAGCTCGGCGCTGGCTCATTGCGCAAGGTAAGCGTCTTGCCGCCGTGGCATACCCTCAGCGCTCATGCAACTTGGTGCAGACGGCACACCTCGTGCGTGCGCTGCAGCACCTGCCCGAGAGTGCCGAGGCCGGCAAGCCGGCGGTGCAGTACTATGCGCTCGACCTGGACCGCGCGGAGCTCGTGCGCACGCTCGAGGACCTGCACCGCCAGGAGGCGGCAGCCGACGGCCCTGACACGGCGCAGTGGACTGTGTGCGGCGGCAAGGTCGGCATCAACGGCATGCACGCGACGTACGACCAAGGTGCGTGGACCACGAGCCAGTCCCGACGCGAGAAGCTGACCCTGCTGCAGGCCTGGCGCACATCGGCGCTGGCGGCCTGCCCAGCGACGGACCGCGCTGCCTGCTCTGGCTCGGCTCGAGCATCGGCAACTTCGACCGTCGCGGCGCGGCAGACTTCCTCAAAGATGCGGCTCAGTCCGCGCTGCGTCCGGGCGACACGATGCTCATCTCGATTGACCGGCGCAACAAGCCTGAGGAGGTGGCGGCTGCGTACAACGACGCCAACGGCAAGACGCGCGAGTTCATCCTCGAGGGCCTCCGCCACGCCGACCAGGTGCTCGGCGGAGGCGTCCTCGACGTGAGCAAGTTCGAGTATCACGACCGTTACAATGCCATCGAGGTGAGGGCCCTTGGCGCCAAGAAGCGCTTCCGGGATGCTGACCATCTCCCAGGGCCGACACGAGTCGTACTATCGCTCGACTGTCGCGCAGCGCATCGAGGTGCCCGGCGAGGAGCCGACTGAGATAGACGCCGGCGAGCTGATCCACTGCGAGAGCTCGTACAAGTTCAGCGAGCGCGAGACGCTCGACACGTTCGACTATGCCGGCCTGCGCGTCGTGCAGCGCTGGACGGACAAGGCGCAGCGCTACGACGTCTGGCTCGTCGAGCGTCCGGCGGTGCACTTTCTCAGCACGCAGCCGACGGGCCTCATCAAGGAGCCCACGCTGCAGGCGTCATCGTGGGGCCTGCCGACACGCGAGGACTGGACGCGCACGTGGAAGGCGTGGGACATCGTCACGCTCACGATGATCCCCAGCGAGATGCTGCACGAGAAGCCGATCGACCTCCGTCGTGAGTGCGGTGCGGCTTTCTTGCCGTCGCAGTGTGCTGAGCTGTCCTGCAGACAAGTGCATCTTCTACATCGGCCATATCCCTGCAGTGAGTGCCGGTGCTAGCAACATGCCCAGACAGCCGCTGACATTGCGTGTCCAGTTCCTTGACCTCACGCTGAGCCGCAACCTCAACGAGCCGCACACGCACGAGCCATACTCGCTCATCTTCGAGCGCGGCGTCGACCCGCACATGGACGACGGCGAGGAGGAGGGCAGCCCGGCGGCGCCCGCCAATGTCGACACCATCGAGATCAACGGCAAGCAGGTCTACTGCCACGCGCACAGCAAGGTGCCCGACAAGGACGAGGACTGGCCGACGCTGCAGGAGCTCCTGTGAGGCCATCGCTGGCTTGCTGCCGCCAAATTGCTGACTGCATGCCCTGCGCAGCGCGTACAAGGCCAAGGTGGTGGCGCGCGTCGATGCGATCTACGATGACATTGCCTCCGGCCGGCGCACGCTCGACCGACGCCTGGCACGCACACTGTGGATGACGCTGGAGCACAAGGCGCTGCACATGGAGACGCTGCTGTACATGCTGCTGCAGAGCGACAAGACGCTGCCGCCCGCCGGCTTCATGCCGCCCGACTGGGCCACGCTGCAGCGCGACTGGGACGCCGCCGATGCGCGCCAGGGCGGCCAGCGCGCTCGCGAGCAGCTGGTGTCATTCGGGCCCGCACGAGTCGTGCTGGGACATGTCGACGACGATGCGAAGGACTTCGACGTGAAGGCTAGCCGCGCGTCCAGCGACGTTGCTGATCTCAACGAGCAGCTCGGTCGGCCAGAGTTCGGCTGGGACAACGAGACGCAGCGACCAGCCACCCAGTGCGATGCCTTCGCCATCTCGGCCGCGCCGATCTCGAATGGCCAGTACCTCGCCTTCCTCCAGGCGACTCGCTCCTCCGCCGTGCCCGCATCGTGGGTGCTGCCCGCCGGTGCAGACGTGGACGAGGCCCGCGTGCGCACGCTGTACGGCGCGGTGCAGATGAGCGTGGCGCATCTGTGGCCCGTGCAGGCCTCGGGCAAGGAGCTGGCGGCGTACTGCGCCTGGAAGGGCGGCCGCCTGCCGACGCACGTCGAGCTGCGGCGCTTCCTCGATGCCTCGTCAGGAGAGCACGGCGGCGCCAACTGCACCGACCGCCCGGGCGCAAACGTCGGCTTCCGCAACTGGACGCCCGTGCCGGCGCAGCTGCCGCGCACCGACCACGATGGCGACACGCTGCCGGGACACAACGGCGGCGTGTGGGAGTGGACGTCGAGCAAGTTCGACGGCTACGACGGCTTCCGTCCCAGCGCCCTGTACCCCGCCTACAGCGCCGTGCGTGCCGTTTCTGCCTGTCGTCTGCGCCTCACTGACACGTTTGCCACAGGACTTCTTCGACGGCAAGCACAACGTCCTGCTCGGCGGCAGCTGGGCGACGACGCCGAGCATCGCCGGCCGCCGCACCGTCGTCAACACGTATCAGTTCGCCTACCCCTACGTCTTTGCGGGCGCGCGTGTCGTGTTCGACCAGGCGCCGAACGGCGCCGCATGATGCTCTGCCGCACCGGAAGAGGCGCACGCCGGGCTCTGCCCTTCGCCGGCCGCCGGCGCTTTGCTGCTACCACATCGCCCTTGCTATACACCGTCCGCACTACCCTTGCCTGCTCTTCGCCCTCGCGCTGCGTCTCGCTCCGCGGCAATCGATGCTTTCGCGCTGTCACTCATGTCGGCGGGATCGGCTCCATTGCTCGGGCCCTTGGCGTGTAGGCAAGACCCTCATCGCGCACCTGTGGCCCCGGCTCGCGCATGCAGTCTCTGCCACAAGCCAGCTCCCGTGCTGCACATCGCTTGCCCGCTGGTGGCTCGAGACACACTCACTGGCTGGACCGCCGCTCGAGCCGTCATTGTCTTGCTGCGCCGCTCGCCGTCGCTTGCACAGCCTTGACGCGCAAGGAGAGCAGGTCAGAGGCACAGCAGGCAAGAAAGACTCACGACGCACTCAAGCCGTGTCGCGCGCGTGGGGGACACGAAAGTCAGATTGCTATGTAGACGACCGCCGACTCTCACTCTCTGCTCATCTGCTGCGCTTCCTGCCGCCCTGCACGCACGCCCGTCCCATCTCCCCCGGCAGGTCCCTGACCGACTCAGCGTGTGAAGCCAGGCGGCAAGCCCTGCCCGAAGCCCGGCGGCGGACCACCGAACTGCGGCGGCGTGCCGTAGCCCGCAGGGCTGCCGAAGCCCGGCGGCGGCATGCCCGGCGGCGGCACGGCGAAGCCCGGCGGAGGACTGGCTGCGAAGCCGGGCGGCGGCGAGGCAAAGCCTGCTGCTGCTGCTGGTGAGGCAAAGCCCGGCGGCGGGCCAGAGAAGCCGGGCGGCGGTGCGGCGAAGCCAGGTGGCGGGAAGGCGGGCGACGCAGCGGACGGGTATGCCACAGCGGCGGGCGCTGGCGCCGCCGCTGCTGGCTTGACGTCGGGCGCCGAGGAGGGACCCGCGGGCGGGAAGCGGTACTTGGGCTGCAGCGCCAGCTTCTCCTCAGGCGAGAGCGTCTCGTCGACGTACACCATGCGGCTCTTTGCGCCGGACGCAAGCGCGGCGGTGTGCGGGTGCGGCTTGGCGGGCGCCGGTGCAGGCGCAGCGGCGGCCGCGGCGGGAGGCGGGAAGGACGGCGGCGGTCCGGAGTACGTAGCATACGGCGAGAAGCTGCGGCGGCGAGTGTTAGCATGCAGCTTCACACATACGATCAAGAGAGGCACGCACGGAGGAGCAAAGCCGGGCGGCGGTCCCGCGTAGTTCATCGGCGGCGCGAACTGCGTCGGCATCGCCGGCGGTGCCACGGGCGGCGGCACCGCGGCGGGCGCCGCCGACTTGCCGCTCATGAGCGCCTTGTGCGCCTCAAGCTGTGCCTTGAGCTGCTCGGCGCTCAGCGCCACCTTCTCGACCTTCTGGCGCTTGGCGCTCGGCTGGCCGCCGGCGCCGCCGCCGCCCTGCGCGGCGCCCGCCCCGCGGCGGCTCTGCCACTCGGCCAGGTCGGCGGGCGGGATGCCGACCATGCCGTAGATCTCAATGTCGAACGACTCGCGGCCGGGCAGCGCATTCTCGATCCTGCGAGGAGGGCGTCAGTGTGCGGACGTGCAGCATCCACGCGCGGCCACGCACTTGCCCGGCTCGGCCTTGTGCACCTGCGCCAGGTGCACGGTGAGGCCGCCGGCGGTGTTGAGGCGGCGCGGGCACTGCGGGCAGCGGTAGTGCTTGGCCTTCTGGTGCTGCAGCAGCACCTTTTCGTCCTCGAACTCGCGGCTGCGCGGCGGGGCGAGTGTGAGGGGCGTGTGTGCGTGCGGCGCCTGGCCGCGCGGGCGACTCACTCGCAGTACCAGCACCAGGCGTCGAGCACGGGCGCCTTCTTCTTCTTGGCCATGGCTGCGTGTGGGGTGCGGCGATGCGCGGGGTGCGGGCTGCGGTGGCTGTGCGCGGCGGTGTCGAGGAGGTGGTGGAGCGCCGCTGAGCCGGAGCGGGGCAGAGGCAGCAGCTGCTGGCCATGGGCCTGGCGCCTGGCGCGGCAGCGTCGCTCTGCCGTGCGAGAGGCCAATGGCGCGCTCACTGCCCGCCTGCCGCCACACTACAATAACGGCGCGCGCCGGCGCGGGTTTGTATTCCGCGCCCACGCCCGTCATATTGCTCGGCTGCTCAAAAAAAGTTGCGCGCGCCGTGCAGGTGGCCGGCCCATCGGGATCTTCGCACGCGCGCGCCTGCCGCTGCCTCTTCCACCCCACCACACTCCACTCCCGTCGGGCCCACTCCACAGCATGCCGCCACGCGCACACGCAGGGCCCTCGAGCGCCGTGCCGAAGCGCAAGCGCGCCTCGGCTGCCGGTGCCGACGCCGCCAGCGACGCGCCCGTGGACAGCGTCGCAGCCACCGTCGCCGGCGCGGCTGCCGATGCGCAGCTCGAGCTCAGCAGCGACGACGAGGCAGGCGTGAGCGGCGACGACGAGGCGGACGACGACGACGAGGAGGCAGACGCGTTCCCGGAGATCGACGATGCCAGCAGTGCGGCGGGCAGCGAGGGCCCAGAGAGCGCAGAGAGCGACGAGAGCGAGCGCTACGACTCGGAGGACATTGACAACTGGGACGAGGACGAGGAGGACGGTGAGTTCCGGCGGCTCTGCAGCAGGCGCGTCTGCAGCCACTGACGCGGTGCGGCAGCGCTCGCCGACGAGCTTGCGGCCGACTCGGAGACGGAGACGAGCGTGGCGCAGAAGCTCGACTACCTCGTCGCGCGGCACACCGTCAAGCCCGACGAGTCGGCGCCGACGTACAACAAGCTCGGCCTCTCGACGCTCGAGGCGGCGCCCGCGCACTTTGACGCACGCACACGGCATGCCGACGGCGCTGCGCGCGGCATCTTCCAGGTGTCCGAGGTGACGGGCAAGGCGAAGCGCGTCTACCCCGCCATCGAGGCCGACTACGACTCGGACAGCAGCACCGAGGACGCGCCGAACCGCGTCGGCAACGTGCCGATGGAGTGGTACGACGACCTGCCGCACATTGGCTACGACGTCGAGGGCCGCAAGGTGATGCGCCCGGCGACCAAGGACGAGCTCGACAAGTTCCTCGCCACCGTCGAGGACCCCGACGCGTGGATGTCGGCGCAGGACCGCCTCACGGGGCAGGACGTCAAGCTCACCGACGAGGAGCTCGACATCATCCGGCGCCTGCAGAATGCCGAGATTCCCGACGGCGCCTACGACCCGTACGCGCCGTGGGACGACTGGTACACGGGCAAGGGCAAGGAGCTCGTCATGCCGCTCTCCAACCGGCCCGAGCCCAAGAGTCGCTTCGTGCCGTCGAAGTGGGAGCACAAGAAGGTAAGACGCAGCGCTGAGGGTGCTCCGAGAGCTTCGCTGATCTCTTGTCTCGCAGGTGATGAAGATTGTGCGCGCCATCCGGCAAGGACGCATCACGCCGCGGGCGCCAGCTGCCGCCCGTCCCGAGTTCTACAACATCTGGAACGACTCGGACCAGCCGCGTGCGCCGCATGCGATGCACATGCCTGCGCCGAAGGAGGCGCTGCCGGGGCACGGCGAATCGTACAACCCGCCGGCCGAGTATCTCTTCTCCACCGACGAGCGCGCCGCCTGGGAGGAGGCCGAGGCGTCGGAGCGCAAGACGAACTACATGCCCGCCAAGCACGGCGCGCTGCGTCTGGTGCCGGCGTACCAGCAGTCGCTCAAGGAGCGCTTCGAGCGCTGCCTCGACCTCTACATGGCGCCGCGCGTGCTGCGCAAGCGCCTCGACATTCCCGACGCAGAGGCGCTGCTTCCCAAGCTGCCGGCGCCGCGCGAGCTGCGGCCATTCCCGAGCACGGCCGCCGTCGTGTACGCTCACCCGCGCGCAACGCGCGTGCGCTGCCTCGGCATCGATCCGAGCGGCGCTTGGCTTGCGACGGGCGCCGAGGACGGTCGCGTGCGGTTGTGGGATCTCGCGCTGGGCCGCTGCGCTGCCGTGTGGGACCTCTGGGCCGGCGCTCCGGCCGCGGACCGGACGCCGGTGTATGCGCTGGAGTGGTCGCCGAACCGGGCACACGCCATCATCGCCGCCGTCACGACGGAGAAGCTGGTGCTTATTGCGCCGGCTCAGTGCAGCGCGGGCGAGGGAGGCGCCACTGCGTCGCCCAGCTTCCTCTTTGCCACTGCCGGCTACACGCCCGAGGGCGCGGCCAACACGGCGGGCAAGGCGCCGCCGGCCAAGTGGACGCGTCCCTCGGACGGACAGCGCGCACTGGGCGTCGCGAGCATCGTCGCGCTGCCTGGCACGGCCAAGAGCGTTGCATGGCACTCCAAGGGCGACTACATTGCCACGGTCGCGCCCGACGCACGCTCGGGCGCCGCCGTGCTGATCCACCAGATCTCACGGCAACGCACGCAGGCGCCGTTCAGCCGGGCAGGCAAGGGCAGCGCCGTGCAGGCCGTGCTCTTCCACCCGCTGCGCCCGCATCTCTTCGTCGCCACGCAGCGCCTCGTGCGGGTGTACGACCTCTCCGCGCAGTCCCTGCTGCGCACTCTGCAGCCCGGCGTGCGGTACATCTCGGGCCTCTCGGTGCACCCGCGCGGCGAGCACCTGCTCGTGGCGTCGTACGACCGGCGTCTCGTGTGGTTCGACCTCGAGCTCTCGGCGCGGCCGTACAAGACGCTGCGCTACCACGCCCGCGCGCTGCGCGCCGTTGCGTTCCACGCCTCCTATCCGCTCTTCGCGAGTGTCTCCGACGACGGCGAGGCGCACGTGCTGCACGGCAGCGTGTACAACGACCTCGCCACGCCGCCGCTCCTGGTGCCGCTCAAGGTGCTGCGCGGGCACCGCGTCGAGCAGGGCTTGGGCATCCTCGATGCCAAGTGGCACCCCAGCCAGCCGTGGCTGCTGACCGCTGGCGCGGACGGCGATGCTCGCCTCTGGACGCCGTAGTTCTTGACCTCTCGCGTAATACTCATGGCATTCTAGATATCCTTCTTCTCCTCGTCCTTCTCCAGCTGCGCCTCCTGCGCCGCATCCTCGGCGTCGGGCGTCGCGTCAGGATCGAGGAGCTGCGCCATCTCCTGCGCCGTCTGCACTTCGCGCTGCAGCTTGATGAGATCGCGCTCGAAGCGGCGGAAGGTCACCTCGACGAGGTACGAGGCGCCGTTCCAGATGGACAGCGTCAGCAGACCGAGTCTGTAGCGGCGAAAGGTACAGGTCAACAAAGCGCCGAGCCGCGGCGCCAGCAGGACGCACAGGAAGGTGGCCGAGGCAGTGGCGGACTGGTAGAAGAGCAGCGGCGCAGGAAGCGTGCAGACGATGGTGTACACGAACTGTGGCACGAGGATGTGAGCAAAGCCGCTGGGCGGTCCGAGGCAGGCGAGGCGAAGGGGTGCGTGCAAGAGCGTGCGACAGCTCACCTGCAGCAGCATGAAGGCCCACTCTCTCCTCGGCTCGCTCGCCTTCGACAGCAGGTTTGCGACGGCGCCCTTGCCCGACGAGAGCGTCGAGTAGGACTGTGGGCCGCGCAAGAAGCGGAGGTCAGTGGAGGGAAGAGCGAATCGCGAGCGCGCGGGAAGCGGCGCACGTTGATGCGTTCGCCAGACTTGACCTTGGCTGCCTTGCGAAGGACGATGAACTGCGTGATCCGTGTCAGCGTCGCACTAGCTCGGGCGCCGATTCACGCACCTCGTAGTACAGGCCCTGCCACACGATGTAGACGCCGAGGTTCATCCAGAAGCTCGTGTAGCCGTCAAGCCGGTCGAGGCCCTTGAGCGCTGGGTACGTCTGCTCTGCATTGGGAATGTAGTGCCTGTGCGAATTATCAGTGCGGCGGATGGCAGTGCAGACAAGCAGGCGCACCGGATGGTCATAAAGACAAGCGGCGGGAAGATGTGGATGAAGAGCGAGGCCATCTTCTCGATGTCCATCGGCACGAGCGAGTTGCGCCACGTGGCGATGCTGAACGCCAGGGGCCCGTGCGCGGCGCAGTAGCAGACGGTGAAGAGGAACTTGGAGCTGGGAAAGACCCAGAGATAGAGCAGGTTGAGGACGCTGGGTGATTCAGAGAGCTGTGTCAGCTGACAGACGGTACAGGTGCGCAAACGGGTCTCACTTTGCATAGTAGCCTGGGGCGGGGAGGCAGAGTGAGTCAGCAGCAGATGAGCGCATCAGAGCACAGAGGCGCTCACAAAAGTCGAACCTGTGCAGCGCCGATCGTATCAGCGACGGTCTCGCACTTCTCGCCATTGCAGCTTACAGGAAGTAGTGCCACTTCCTCCGCGTGTACGTCCACACGCGCAGCGGCAGAAAGTAGAGCGTCTGCACGCTGTACAGCAGCGGGATCCAGTGCGGGCGCAGCGCAAAGATGAGCGACGTGATGACGAGGTTCATGACGCCGACGACGAAGCAGATCTTGTCGCGCAGGCGCACCGTCTTGGCGTCGGCCCAGCGCGTGCGCAGCTTGTCGACGCGCTGGACGACCTGTGTGTGCAGTGTGAGAAGATGCGCGGTGAGAGCAGACGCCGAAATGCGGAAAAGGGATCCCGACGTGGAGAGCGGCCTCTCTCTACCCTGAAGTACGCCAGTCCTAGCCCTAGCGGGCAGACACAGCAAGAGCGAGCAGAAAGTGGCGCATGCGGGGCCGCTCGTTGAGAGCCGCACAAGCAAGCGCAAGGCTGAGGGCCCGGCGCGCCAAGCATGCAGCGATCAATACGCGTGATGCTAGACGTTGCGCTCGTTCTCTCTGCTGCTCCTCGCGCCCGGCCTCGACCGTCATCGCCAGCTGTGCCTACTTTGACAGCCTTCCATCCGCACACTCACACGTCCGCGCACCCGCCGCAGCTCCTCCTGCAGGCCGTGCATCTCCTCGTCGCTGCCCACGCGCCCATCGCTGCTGGCGCGCACGCGGCGGCGCAGCTCCTCGACGCGCGCCTTGCGCCGCAGGTCGGCGCCGACCTTGCGCAGCTTGCGGTTCGCGAGGTCGAGGCGCGGCGCAAAGTAGCTGCAGGCAGAAGGTGTAAGGAGAGCAGCGAAGGCGGGCGACGCGACGCAGCGAGAGCGCAACGACGAGGTGCGACGAGCCTGCAGCTGCGCCTCTGCGGCGAACGAGAGGCCCGCAAGGTGCCTCAGAAGAGAAGTGCTACAGGCGCTTGGACAGCACCCTTGCTGCAAAAGAGCATGGCAGCGCGGTGATGTGTTGTGTGCTTCCCGCCAAAAGCACAGCCGCTGCGGTGCATCATCCGCCATGCTCGCGCTGCGTCAGAGGCGGCCGGCACCTCACTCGGCCCTGCCTCGCGCCACCGACGCGCTGCCACGCAGCAGACGCCCGCCGCCGCGCCACTCACGTCTCGAACAGATCGCCGAGCGGCATGGCGGCGCTGGGCGTCATGGCGGCGGTGATGTCGACGCCGTCGAGCTCGAGCGACGAGCGGCGCGACGAGCGCGTCGAGTGCGAGGCCGACGAGGCATAGCCGCCGCCGCCGCTGTCGGAGTAGTCGCTGATGGTGCTGTTGGAGCGCGAGAGCGGCGGCGCGGACATGGCGGGCGGGAGCGCGGCGGCGGGTGTGGTGGTTGCGACGCTGGATGCGCGTGGAGGGCAGCGCAAGCAGCAGGCGCACGGCGGCAGAGGCGAGGTGACGTCGCGCCCCGAGGTTGATGTGCGGCGGCGCGCGTGGCGTGGGAACAGGGCGCGCCGTGCCCGATGAGGCATCTGGCAGTGGGGGCGCCATCACGCCGTCGCATGCGCTGCGTTCTGCACTTGCCGCTTGCAGCTCGCCGCACAACGCAACACGGCGGAGGAAGCTGCGCTCTATACGCTGCTGCTGGCGCTGATTAGCGCTGTGGTGTAGGAATGCGTGCGCTGCGGGCGCGGCTGCTTGCCTCTGCTCCACCACACCGCCCGCCTCCAGCACGCCCGCCGCCGCCTCGCCGCGTCGCAGCGTCGCCGCTATGTCCGCCACTGCGCCCTCACCGCCTTCCACCGCCGCCGCGTCCGCCTCGTCCGTCGTCTCTGCAGTCTCGTGCGCCTCCGTCGCGCCAGCACCCGACGCACCGGCTGCGGCGCTGCGCCTGCCGCTGCCGCCTTCCGCCTCGGCCCCAGCGTCACTCGCCTGGACGGCGCCGCGGCTGCCCGTCGAGCTGCGCCTGCTCATCGTCGCGCATGCTCTCAACGCCCTCCTTGCCATGCCCTGGCCGCGTCCGGGCGGCGCGCTGGCGCTGGCTCTTGTCGAGCGAGCCACCGTTTGGCCAGTGCTCTGCGTGCTGCTGCGTGCGCCGCGCCTGGCCAGCGAGGCTGCCGTGCGCAATCTCGACGCTCAGATGCGCGCCGAGCCCTTCCTCAGCGCTGCTCACCGCACTCGCCGTCTGCTCGTCAGTCGCTTCGACACCTATCCGGTGTTTGATACACACCTCGACCGCTTAGAGCTCAGTCTGGCAGACGTCGAGCTGGCCGACGACGCGCTCCTGGCCTCGCTGCTCGCACGCTTCCCACATCTCGCCTCGCTCACGGTCTTCGACTCGCCGCGAGCGCTGGAGCACCACTGGCCACCGGCTCTGAGCGCGCTCACCTGCCTGTGCATCAATCTCGATAGTGAGCAACCTGGCTCCCCATCGGCGCTTCTCGCTGGCGAAACGTCTCTGCGCCGCCTGACGCTCCTCGGGCCGGGCCTGCACTTGTCGTGGCCGCTGTGCCAGCGCATCGCCGCGCAACCTATGTTGCAGGAACTTGTGCTGTTTCTGCCGGGAGGCCCAGTAGACGATTTCGACCCCGCATTTCTGTGGGACAGCGCGACGCTCCGCAAGGTCACCATCGTAGTGCCTGTCCGCTCGGCCGTTCCCGACTCGAGTATTGTGTGGATCGAGTTGATGTTGAGACGGCTCAGGATTCAAGGGCAGCAGCTGGAGATCTGCTTCGTCGTCTGCCGCCTTTCGGTATCGCGCGAGAACACGCGCGGCCGACACGTCGATGAAGAGCTGGGTCAGGCGCTCACGCAGGAGCGCGAGGACCTCTCCGAGCGGCTGCGACGAGTGACCGGTGTGGATCCAGCCACGGACATGTCCACCTGGGAGGCCGATGAGCGCTCGATCTTCGAGTGGACCCTGGCATGCTGTGCCGACGGCCTGCGCTTCTTCGCTCCGACGTCAAACGCTTGCGACGGGCGAATTTTTACTGCTGATCCGTGGTGCGCCGGTCTTGACCACGGCCGGCTCGAGGCGCCTGCGCAGCCCTTCATTCTCGAGCTCGACGGCGATGACTGTGATGCCGACGCGGCGACGCGCGCCGCACATGCGCAAAAGATAGACGACCATTTCGAAATGATTTGCGAGGTGCAGCAGTGGGTGGTGCCGGAGTGAGGGTAGCGGGACAGGGGCGCGGATGGGGAGGGCTGAGACGGGAAGACGACGTGCGAGAAACCCCCCTGCACCGGCACGGCCGCAACACATCCGCACTTGTGCAGTCGCCTCAAGCAGGACTGAATGGCTATACTTCTAACGTGCCGAGCCGAAGAGAGAGTGGTGTGCAGCAAAGCGAGGCACGAGGCATTGGGTGTCCAGACAGATGGCAGCGGGCGTTGCTGGTGCCGCCTCACTGCGCGCGTTCAACGGAGGCGCGGCGTGGGAGCGGGTCTTGCGCGCGTCGGCGCCTCCACACCGCGCAGCGGCACGCTCTGGGGCCTCGCTCCCGACCACCACACCCCTGCGCCCTGATCTTCCCTGCGCGGCGCGGCCTGGCCAAGCGCGATGCAGGCGCTGCGCTCCTTCTTTGCGCCGCCAGCATCTGCGCCCCTGCCGGCTGCTGACCAGGCCAAGCCGCGGCGACGCACGGCGCTGGTGCAGCACATCGAGGTCATCGGCGGCGCAGCCGCGAGCGGCCCCGGGTCCTCGGCACCGCTGCCACCTCGCTTGCAGTCTGCCGTGTCTGCCGCAGCCACGCCGCTTGTGCTGTCGCCGCCGCGTCTGCCGGCGGAGCTGCGCCTGCTCATCGTCGCCGCCGCCCTCGCCGAGCTCCTCGCGGCGCCGCCCTCGCCTGCGCGCCACCACGCCATCCTCTCGCTGGCCCTCGCCGAGCGGGCCGCCCTGGCTCTCGTGCTCTCGACACTGCTACGCACGCCACATCTGCGTGGTACCGGCGCAGTCGAAGGCTTGGAGCGAGTTATGCGCAAGGCAATCTATCGAGAGGCCGCCCGCGGCACACGCCGGCTCGTCGTCTCTTCGGCGCAGCAGCAGGCCGCGCATGGCGGCGACCGCCATGCCGGCCTGTTCGCTGCCTCCTCGTCCGCCCAAGCGTTTGCGTCGCAGATCGCTGCGCCGCTCGCCAGTCTCCTCGGCCAGCTCGTCGCGCTGCAGAGCCTCGTGCTCGCTGCGCCGCCGCGCGCGCTTCTGACGCATGTCCCTCCGTCCCTGGCGGAGCTGACGTGCACGGGCAGCGTGTACGGCTCCGACGTGCTGCCACTGCTCTTCTCGCGACCGACGCCGCTGCGCCGCCTCACACTGCTCGGGCCGCGCCTCTACCTGCCAGCCGCCACTCTCCGCCTGCTGGCGGCACAGCCGCAGCTGGCTGAGGTAACGCTCTTCCTGCCGCGCCGAGACGTCGACGTGGGCGTGCTGCTGCAGAGCGCCTCGCTGCGCAGCGTGACGATCGTCGCGCACGAGACGAAGGGCACGACGGGCTATCGAGGCGGTCTCGAGGGCAGACTGCAGACGCTGACAAGGCGAAAAGGAGCGGGCGCGGTGCAAGTGCGTCTCGTCACTGTCCGCTCGGCTGTCGGCAGGCGCTTGCAGCAACAGGCGGCACAAGGCTCAGCTAGCGCTGGCCGAACGCGCGACGCGCAAGCATCTGTGGCGCTGAACGCCCCGCAGCACGCAGATCCAAGTCTGCAGGCGCTCGAGGAGTGGTTCTTCGCGCGCTGTGCGCAAGGCCTGTCCAGCTTCGACTCGTGCGATGCAGAGGCACCCGAGGCGCGCGAGTCTGAACTCGTGTACGAGGAACGAGAGCAAGCGCAGGTGATCGACGCGCGCTTCGGCGTTCAGTGCGAGGTGCTGCAGTGGGATCTGGAGGAGGACGATGAGGCGGCGCCGCCGGAGCCACAAGAGAGTGCGACGCAACCGCCGAGGCTGCCGCCAGAACGGATGGAGGCGCTCGACCTGGGCAGCAGCGACGAGGAGCAACTAGACGACGAGGCGCACGATTACGACTATTTGGAATGAACTACATTCACCTGGCCCGGCCGGAGAGCAGCTGGCGGTGTGTGCTGGTGTTGTGCACGACCGGCACGGAAGACTCGTTCCATGTCGGGCCAGCCCCACGCTCACCACAGATGCTGGAGGCAGCGAGCATCTATTAATGCCGGGCTAGGCCCGGCGCCCACAGCACAGCGGACGTCGAATCGCTGCGGCAAGCCCAGTCCTGGCAGCAAGCGGGCCGGCCGCCCAGCAGGGCGCCCATCAAGCCAGCAGGCGCTTCTCCTTCTCGGCCTTCTTGGCTGCCAGCGCCTCGAGCTTCTCCTCCTTGGTGGCATCGTACGCGACGGTCAGTTGGCTAGGTGAGAGTCAGCAACTGCAGCGGCCGCTGTGCAGGCTCTGCTCTGACACGCACTTGAACGGGTTGTCCGGGTGCTTCTTGAACTCGTCGTGCAGCTCGTTCTCGTACTGGTTGTTGCGCAGACCCGGGCGCTCGGCCTTGATGCGCGGCATCTCGCGTTCCTTGAAGGCCTCAAACGCCGCCTGCGAGGGGTGTCAGTACAGCGAGGGCGCATCGCCGCGGTGCTCACCTTGTAGCGCCGCTCCGGGTGCCGCTCGATGGCGCCGGCCTTGGAGCCGACGGCGGCCTTGTCGGTGCGCTCCGTGGCCAGCGACATGCTACGGGCGGCGTCAGTCTCACAGCCTCTGCCGCCTCCTCAGCCGCACTCACGCGTCGATCATGTCGTCGATGTTGTCGGCGCCGAAGCTCTTGACCGCGTCGTCGAGTCCGGTGCCCGGCGGCGGCACGTAGGCCTTCTCCTTCTGCACGGCCTTCTTGCTCTCCTTCTTGAGCGGCTTGCTCGGCAGGCTGGCCTCCTCCTCGGCGAGCAGGCGCTCCTTCTCGGCCTTCTTGCGCGCCGCCTCGGCCGCCTTTTCGGCCTTGGCGTCGGCGGCCGACTTGCCCTTTGCGCCCTTGTCCCACGCAGCGGCCTCGGCGGCCTCGGCGGCGGCGGCCTCGGCAGCGGCCTTGGACGCGGCGGCCTCGGCCTTCTGTGCAGCGCCGCCCTTGGCCTTGCCGCCCTTTGGTGGCATGGTGCGTGTGTGGTGCGGTGGTGGTGGTGGAAGTGGAGGGCGAAGCGTGGAGAAGGCAGCGTCGGGGCGGTGCGCGGGCGCGTCACGTGCCACGGCCTGCGATTTCTGGCTGAGCCTGGCTGAGCCGCGGCTCGCGCGCGCGCGCTTTGGTCCTTTGTCAAGGCGCCGCCGTCCTGCTTCCTGGCCACCGTCACCTGCCACCCGCTCCTCTCTTGCAACTCTTGCGCCTGCTGCAGCTCGTGTCTCTCACACACCCGCCGCCCACCACCTTCGCTCGCCGCACCCCGCTGCCCCCGCGCCCCCGCCCGCGCCGCCATGGCGCACGCCGATCACACGCGCGACCCGTGCCCCTATGTCATCCTCAACGACTTTGGCGGCGCCTTTGCCATGGGCGCCGTCGGCGGCACCATCTGGCACGGCATCAAGGGCAGCCGCAACAGCCCGCGCGTGAGTGGCGCGCGGACAGCGAGCAGGTGCGGGAGAGCTGTGCCTGCGCAAGTGGCGCCAGGCAGCAGCAGCCGGCGACGAGGGCAGGATGCGAGCAGCAATGGTGCTTGGGCAGCGCAGGCAGCGTGCAGAGCACATGCTTTGGCACATTCGGAAGGGCACCTCTCGCAGTCGCATTCGAGAGCCTTGTGCGCTCGGGCTTGCGCTCGTGCATGAGCTGCCGCGGCCGGCCAAGCTATCCTCGTCTGCGCCGCGCAGCGCGCGCAGCGCATACCGCGCCGGGCGCGGGCCGGTGTTGAGCTTGATCGCCTCTGCTTGACAACGTCTGACCCACCGCTCTGCCTTGCCGCACAATGCTGACTTCTCCTGCACCAGGGCTACCGGCTGCCGGGCGCCATGGCCGCCATCAAGGCGCGCGCGCCGGTCCTCGGCGGCAACTTTGGCGTCTGGGGCGGCATGTTCAGCACGTACGACTGCACTGTCAAGGGCATCCGGCAGAAGGAGGACGCGTGGAACGCCATCATCGCCGGCTTCATGACGGGCGGCAGTCTGGCAATCCGCTGTGAGTCGCGGCACGGACGTAGCCGGTGGTGAATGCAGGCGGCGGTGCGGAGTTCCGGAAGGCTAGCGCCTGAGGCTCTGTGCCGCCTTGCGGTTCGTGGCTTTGCGACTTTTCCTGCAGCCGATGGCGGCGAAGCGCCTCATCCCGGTCGCCCAATGCCCAGCCCTGTGCCACGCTGACGCAGACCTTTGCAGCTGGGCCGAAGACGGCGGTCGGCTCGGGCATCATGTGCGGCATCTTGTTGGGCGTGTTCGAAGGTGCGTATGCGGTGCGCGACGCACCTTTGCGGCGCCGGGCTGACGTGCGCGGCGTCAGGTGTGGGTGTCTTGATGCAGCGGTTCATGGCCGAGGGGAACAAGCCCGTCGCTCCGATCATGTGAGTGCGCGCGGGAGCTGCGCTGCCTCCCGGTGCTGACCGCCGCTCAGTCCGGACGCACAAACAATGCCTGGCGGCGGCGCCGTGTCCGCCGGGCCAGCAGTCGGCGTGCCGGCGCCGGCATGAGCCGCCGCTCGCGCACCTCTTCCCTCCGCCGCCTCAGCCACCACTCGCACCTCTGGACCTTGGCTCCTCAGCTCCACCACCACTCCTCCGCGTCTCGCAGTGTTTGCGTCACGGCGCATCTCGTTTGCGTCCGTGCGCACCTGCACCAGCGCCTGTATTTGATCGAAAGCCGCGCGGCACGATGCCGTGCGCACCCACCGCAACACAGCTTGCTAGACCAGGTGATACATTGGCAGAGGGTGACGCGCCATAGAAGTACAGAGCAGAGAGAGGCGGGCCGCACGCGATCTACGGAATGCTGGGATGCCGCGCCGGGTCGAGGTGGTACACGATGCCCTGCCAGGCGCGTGAGCCGGGCGTCGCTGCGCGCCGCAGTGCCACTCACGTTGTTGCTCGTCTTGACGACGTGCTTGGCGGCCACGAGCGCGATGAGCGTCTTGTTGATGCGCGCCTGTGTCATCTCGGGCGGCGCCAGCATGTCGGCGACTGCAGGCGAGCGTGAGAGAGGGAAGAGCAAGCGAGACACAGGCGACTCACTGCGCACGCCGTCGTCGCCGCCGGCCATCAGCGCCAGGAGCACATTCTCCGCGAGCGCCCGTGGTTTCTGCGCACAGCGTCAGCCGTCGCACTGCCAGGCCTCCGCACGCGGGCACGCACCGGGTCTGCGCCGCGGTACTCGAGCGGCAGCGTGTCGATGATCTGTGCGGCGGCCTCGGTGCGCTTCTTGCGCAGCGCCAGCGAGATCTTGCCCTTGGGCGCCGCCTTCTTGGCGCCGGCGGGCGCCGCTGCGGCCGGCCGCGCACCTGCCGCGGCGGGCTTCTTGAGCGCCGGCTTGAGTGCCGGTGCGGCCTTGGGCGTCGGCGGCCCAAACGAGACGTCGTCGGAGGTCATGTACGTCTGGTCGCCGACGTTGCCGCCGTCGTCGGGCGGCGACGAGTAGCCGGCTGCCGTCGAGGCGCCGGGGCCGCCCGACGTGCGCAGGGCCGAGCGGGCCAGGAGCTCGGACTGCAGCTTGGCTGTGTGTGTGTCAGAGGGGTCTGCAGTGCGGCTCGCGCGCGACTCACCGCCGCGCTCGCCTGCGCGCTCAAAGTTGTCCTCGGCCGGTGCCTGCAGTGCAGATGTAAGCCGTGCGGACCAGTGGAGCGAGCATTGCGGCGCGACGCAGAGCACAGCCCGGCAGCATCTTCGCCGCCCTGCGCGGCACAGCAACACATGGCGGGGGCTCTTTGCGCGGCTCTTCGGCGAACATCGCAGGCTGCAGCTCGGCGCTCCATCCTGGTGCACGCAACGACCCCCGCGACGGTACGTCGCGAGCTACCATTCCGAGGATCATCGCGACGCAGCAGCTCTCCCTCGGAGTGCGGGTGCTAAGCCCGCCGCGTACTGCAGCGCTGCCTCCTCGCTGGGCGCCGTTCTGGCTGGAGCCTCCCTCTCTCGCCGCACGCCCTATCGCACTCCTGTCACGTCGCCGCACGCCCGCACTCACCTCGGCCCACTCGGTGCAGAACGCGTTCATGCGCAGCCCGTAGAGGAACATGCTGAAGCTCTCGTCGAAGGTGCGCAGCGCCGCCGCGATGCCCGACACCGCCTCGAGGTTGGCCTGCAGCACGGCCGTCTCGTCGCCGAGGTCGGCGAGCGCGGCGTCGAGGAACGCCAGCGGCGTGGCGCCGGCGCTGCGTGCAGTCGGGGCCGAGCCGGCGCCGGAGCGCGAGAGGCGCAGCGACGAGATGCTGCCGCGCGACACGCGTCGCAGCGGCGTGGTGGGGCGCGACGCCATGGCTGAGTGAAATGCCAAGCGCAGCGACGGTGAGAATGCCAAGCGCGGCGACGGTGAGAGTGCCGAGTGTGACGGTAAGAGCGAGAGTGCCAAGCGCAACGAGGTGGTGGTGAGAGCGCAAGCGCCTCACGCGTCGGCAGGGCGCGGCGCGTGTTTGGTGTTGGCCGCGGCGAGCAATCGGTGAAAGCCGCGGGGACACGCATCTCTCCTGTGCATGATTCACATACGTTTCTGTGGTCTGCTCTAACGTCGAGTCCCGATTAGTACAGTGGTCAGTATACCCGCTTTTCATTGCAAGCGTTTTGTCGCGGGCGGCACGGGTTCGATTCCCGTATCGGGAATCTTTTTGCTCTCTGCCTGCTTGACTTATGCCCCCCTTTTTGCACACCGCCTGTGCCGCTCTCCCTCGTGCCGCTACTGGCGCTGACCGCCGGGAGGGTGTGCTGCTCGGACCGCTGGACCCTAGAAGACATGGGAACGTGCAGTATGTGGCGCACGAGCTAGTGTGAGCGGCCGCTGTCGCAGACGAGAGCGCGCTGTAGCCACTGATCGGTGCTCGCTCGCTCCCAGACGCAGGGGCGCTCACCTGATGGGCGCCATGCGAGCGAGAGACGTTCTGAGCACTTCCGCCCGCGATGCTTCTTACATACCCTGCGTGAGAGGGCACGTTTCTGTGTGAGCGGGCGGCGGGCTCTACGCGCATCCAAGATTTAGACGTGATGAGGACGACATCTTAAGCGGACTGCGCTCAGCTGTGCTACTGACAGGCAGCAAGCAACGAGACACACGCCGAAGCGGTAAAGCTCAGGCCTGGGCATCAGCAGCGGCTGCCCGCTCGCGCTGTCAACCAAGCAGAACACGGCGGCTCCGCACGTCTCCCTCCCCCTCCCGGGCGGACTGTGCGCGCAAGATGAAGAGACACTCCTGCGGCGCTGTGCTGAGACTGATGTGATTCCGCACCCGACATTCCTGCACAGCTTCGTGTGCCCAGCGCCCCGTGCCCTGCTGCACGCCTAGTCCTTCTTCTTGAGGTTCTCGAACATGCGCTTGCCCGAGTTGTTCCTGAGGCAGACAGACGGGTCAGACAGAGCGCGCTGCCGAGGACTCGAGAAGGAGCTCACCACCAGAGCGAGCCGTTGAGGTACGTGGCGTACGTGGTCCATGCTGCCAGCTCGAGTCAGCACAGGTCTGGGCTGCCGATGCTGCGGTGCGACTCACCGACGTACGGCAGCACGTACCAGCTGGCCTCGCGCGACACCTCGGTGCGCAGCAGCCAGAACCAGTAGCCGACCGTGCCCGTAAGCGCGGTGAGGTCGATGAATGCAGCGCCAAGGTAGCCTGAGAGCGGCGTGTGAGAAACGGTCCGGGCGACGCACGAGCGCGCGACGCACCTCCGCCGAAGCACAGAGGCGTCCACAGCCTGCAGAGGGTCAGCAAGAGCCGCTAGATGAGCCTGGCCAGGACGCACTGGTTCTGCGCGGAGAGGTGAGCAGGACTCGCAGCAAATGCAGAGCACGTGAACGCACCAGAGCAAGCTGCGCATAGTACAGCTTGAGCGCGAGGTACGCGCGGTTGCGGCCCAGGCCCGGCGGCGTGCGGTCCAGCGCCTTGACGGTCAGGAAGCTCGCCCAGCCCATGCACGCGTACAGCGCCGGCCACACGACGCCAAACGACCACGCGGGCGGGTCGAGCGCCGGCTTCTGCAGCGACTTGTACCACTGTGTGCGCGCAGCACGGCGTCAGCTGGGTGAAGGGCAGTGCTGCCCGGTGCAGAGATCGTGGCAGCGAGGGCGAGGCGCGCAGCGCCCCTGGCTTGCACTACGGAAGGCTCTGCCCAGCATGTCCAAGCAGTCGGCACAGGACAGCCAATGCCGCACACCGTGTGCCAGCACCGGCCAGCACTGCGCCCGCCGCTGCGGCGCACACTCACCGTGCCGCGCGGGCCGTGCTGGGCGTTGCGCGTGAGCAGGCCCGTCGCGAAGCTAGCCGCGAGCGGCAGGCCGACGGCGAAGATGGGCGAGCGCGGCAGGTCGACGAGCAGCGGCGGGAGCGACATGGCGGCGGACGAGGGGATGGTGAGGGCGGGAGGCAGAGCAACACGCGGTGCGCACCAAAGGCAGCAGCTCGAGAGGCTCCATGCAGGGCCGGCGCCGGCGCCGATCGCGCTCGGCGCTCGGCCCGGGCGAGCGCGGCCGCCGCGCGGCCGGCCGGCAGCGTGACGTCGCTCTCGCAGCTCTCGCAGCGTCTGCCGCACAAGCGTCCGGGTGCTGCCAGCGTCGGCTTCAGTGCTGCAGCAGCTGGCCGTCGCATCTGCCAAGGGTTCAATATTCGTGGCTGGCGCGGATGCACCGAGCAGAGCTCCGGCGCTAGGTGTCGTGAGTGACAACAAGACAAGCCAGAGAGGCTGCACGTGTGGAGTCAGGACGATGCGGACGTGCGCCGCTTTCAGCGTCCCGCTTCGCGCTTGGCTGGCGCGCGCCCCGCATTCGTGCCTGACCGGCGACGCAACACTCTGACTGCTCCCGTGCCTGGTGCGTCGCACACAGAGTGCCGCTCCCGCATTCAACGTCTGGCCGCCGCCAGTCTTCTCGCCCACCACACCTTCGCTTCTCGCCGCCGTCCCCGTGCTTAGCTCCACCAACTCTTTCTCCTTCACCTGCGCGCGCCTCTCCGCAATGTGCGTGCCCAAGGCCAACCACCGGCGCCTCATCGACGAGTGCTACCCGCCGCCGAAGCAGCTCGCCGCCGCCGCACCCGACTTCAAGCCCAACAGCAACGAGCTCAGCCGCCTCGCCTACTACGCCAATGCCAAGCCGGCCAAGCTCACAAAGGTGCTCACCGTGCTGCAGGCCAAGGCGACGGCGAGCGCCCGCGGCCTCGGCGGCAGCGGCGCCGCGGCGGACAAGAGCAAGGCGTGAGTAAGAGTGCGGCGTCGGCGGCGGAGAGTGCCTGCTGGGCGGTGCACCGGCATCCAGCGTTCTGCCGCTGTGTGTGCTTGGTCTGACCCTTGTCTGCCACAGCGGCCTCATGATCACCCTCGGCGTGCTCAAGCAGCTCATTCTCGACTGCCGCTCGCACCTCTCCTACTTTGCGCCTGCGGCTCAGGCCATCATTTCGACCGCGCTCGATGCGGCAGCGAAGCCCACGGCCGCCGGCCACCGCGACCTCGACGTCTCTGCACGCGCTGCGAGCACGTTCTATGCGCTGGCCAACTACCTGGACAAGGAGAGTTCTGCATCTGATGCGCGCTACGCGGGCCTGCTTCGCAGCTTCGCATCCATCGCCACCGAGGGCGGGCGCGACGAGGAAGAGCAGACACGGTGAGCGCAATACTTGCGGCTTATCCTGCTCTCAACTCACATCTTCACAGAGCGCGTCTGATCGGACTGGGTGCCATCGCTGGCGCCGTTGGCTCCGACGCCCTGTACTCGACTGCCTTTGCGAAGCAGGTCGGCACAATCGTGCCCGCCCTGCTGGCCAACGTGACGGAAAAGGCCGCAGTCGACCTTGCCTTCCTGCGCGCGGAGAGCGCCAAGGCAGCCGACGGCACGCAGCTGTTCGCCGAGTACGCAAGCAAGCGCCGCCCGGTCGGCGTCCGCCGCGCACCCAGCCTGTCCGCCGCGGCAGGCGGCGAGAAGGCGCCCGGGCCGCGTGACGCTGCCAGCGCCGCGATGGGCACGATGCAGAGCCTGCTCCACCACGGCGACGCCAGCCACGTGCAGGCCAGCATCGCGTGCGTAGTGTCCCACCTCGACGCCAGCGGCGCGTGGCGCTCGGCGGCATGGTGCGCGTGGCTCGCCGAGGCGCTGGCCAGCTGGACTGCGCAGCCGTACCGCTTCGTGGTGCTGACGTTCTTCGTCGAGCACCTCGTGGAGGCCGAGACATCGGCGCAGCCAAAGAAGGCAGACACGCTCGTGCTCATGATCTCGACGCTCCTGCGCAGCAAGCTGAGCCTCATCGGGCTAAGCACCTCGGACACGATTTCGAACCTGCTCGGCCTCGCGGTGCGCCGCACGCACGCGGCGCCAGACGACGAGCTTCTGCCGGCGCTGATCGACTGTGTCGGTGCGCTCGGCGCGCACACATACTACGCCGATCAGGCAAACGACTGCGCCGACGAGATCTGTGCTCGCATCTCGGCGCTGCTGCTGCCCGACACCGATGTCGCGGAGGCGGCCAAGACCTCGTTCGGCAACGCTTCGCGGCGTCCCATCAAGACGGGCGACCGCGCCCGCGATGAGAGCCTGCGCGTGCTGCTGTGCTGCCTGGCCTCGCTCATCGACTCGGCGAATGTGCCCAGCCGCAAGAGCGGGGCAGGAGCGAGCGCGCGCCCGCGCATGTCGCCCGACACGATGGCGCCGACCTGCGCCCTGCTCGCCTCGCCGAACCCGCGCGTGCGCCTGACGTACCACCAAACCGTGCTCTTCTTCCTGCAGCGCGAGGCGGGACCGGCCTCGGACACCCTGCCGTCTGCCGGCGTTGCGCAGCAAAAGGAAGCGACGGCGTTCCTCCACGCCTGGGCCGCCGGAGCATTCGTCCTCGCCCTCGCGCGCGGCCTGTCTATGCCCCAGGGCGCGAGCGAGACGCCGCTGTCTGCGCTGCCCATCCTCGACCGCAGCAACGCCGAAGGCGTGCGTGGCCCTGCGCCCGAGACGGCGGCGCAGCCGGTAGACTACGCAGGGCTCACTGCCGCAGCAGACGCCATGGCGCGCTACTTGCCCGTGCCCGCGACGCTGGGCTTGGTACCCGGCCTGCTCGCTCTGGATCGCGCGGCCGGCAGCCGCCTCAGCCCGCAAGGCGTCGAGGGCCAGAGGCTCTCGGCCGCGCGCGCCTTCGTCGCGGCGACCCTGGCAACAATGGCGGAGGTCTGGGAGTCCTCTTCGCTTGCGCGCTCTGCAAAGGCAGTGAGTGATATCTGCGCGTTCCGTCAAGTGCGCCTGTATCTGACCTCTCGTCTTAGTCGCTTGAGGCCCACAACATCCTCACCTCGTTCCCTGCTGCCATGCCGGAGCTCGACGCAGCGCACGACTTTGTGCCCTTCCCGGGCGGCAGTGCCGGAGCCGCGTCCGAGCGCGGCCTGGACGCGCGCACTGTTGCGCAGGCCCTGGCGCAGAGCAGCAAGCTGCAGCGCGAAACCAGCCTCAGCGAGGAAGAGCTGCAGAACTGGCTGCTGCGCGATTGGAGCGTGCAGATTGCCGTCGACGACTGTGAGTTGTGCTGGGCACGGCGCGTCTTCGTGTGCTGACGCTGGGCCATCAGCGCTCATTGGCGCGTCGCCCTTCCGCTCGTCGCTGGACGGCGCTGCGGCGCGGCCTTTCGCTGGCGAGCGCGCGGACGGCGGCAGCGACAGCGAGGCTGACATCGGCGCTCCCCGCGGCGTCGGCGTCGACGACTTCAGAGAAGCGCTTGGCAGCCGCTCGTACGCCAGCAAGCGCCGGACAAATGGCGAGCTCGGCCACGGCGCGCCGAACGGCAGCAGCAGCGACCCACGAGCCGAGCGGCGCACGAGCCGGCGTGTGAGCCGCAAGGAGGCCAGCGTCCCCGCCGCGGGCGTGCCGGCGCTGCTCGACGACCTGCACGTCGGTGTCGCCGAGGAGAGCGGCGCCGATGGTGAGCAGCGCCCCACGCTCGTGGCGCCTGCGCTGTCCTGAGAGGGCTGCCCCTGCCCCCATGCCCCCATGCCTATCTACACTCCTTTGCTGCCCTGTGCTTCTCCCGTGCGACATACCTCTGCAACTATTTTTTGTGCTGCCTCCGGACCAGGTGTGCTGATTCGTGGCTTGCAAGGGCAGGGCACCGGCGGGAAGATGCGCGACTCGGCGAGCGGCGACGCTCGGGCCGCGCGCAAGGGCCGGCCATGGCGGATGCCGCGGGACTGCTGCCCGCGCGCGCGGCGAGCGGCGCGCGTCGCTTCGTGTGTGTGTGTGCGTGCGCATGCCGCCCCGCGCTTCTCTCCTCTCCACCACAGCCGCCGCCAGCAACGCTCGTCTCCCCTGGCTCTGGCCATGTCTATGTCGCCAGAGCCACGCGCATCCGGCGCCGGCGTGGCGCAGGCTGCCTCTGCCACTGCACATCTCGACAGCGTGGCAGAGCAGGCGAACCGGACCATCGACACGGAGGTGCAGGCGCTCATCGATGCCTTCAAGAGCATCGTGGCGCTCGCAGCGGTGAGCAGGGTCCGTCCAGCGCGCGACTGCCCCGCTCACCTCGCAGTGGCTCGCAGGTGCGCGACAAGGATGCGTACACTGCTGCGCAGGGGGCACTTGAGGCTGAGGCACGGGCGCACGTCATGGTGAGTGGCGCACACGCACACGGTCAGGTGTGCCGCACGATACGCTGCATGCGGCTCGGCTCTCACTTGGCGGACAGATGGCACAGGCTGTGATCGGCTCGTTGGGCACAGCTCCAGGCATATAGTGCGCCGTTGCCGCGCTGCGGCGTCCATCTAGGCTCGGCGAGCTCGCACTCGTTGCTAACGCTGGCCCTCTCTAGGTGCGAGCGGCGCAGTCGTTGACGCTTTTGTCGCACGCGCTCAAGCTCTCGCTGCTGCTCTCCCTCGAGCCAGTCGACTCTCAGCAGGGCGAGGACCGTGGTAGCCGCACCACGCTCAACCAAGAGGCTCTCGAGCTCATCGCGCGGGCGAGGCACGAGCGGGCTGAGTGTCTGCGGCTGCTGCAGGCGTGCGGAGTCGGCACTGCGCCCGTCGAGGGCGCCGCCTTGGCTGCCGCGGCTCCCGGCGCTGCAACCGACCCGGTCCGGGAGGAGGCACAGGACCTCCTGACCACCCCACCGCTTGAGCAGCTCATCTCTGGCGCCGGCTCTCTTGCGGATGCTACTCAGAGCATGCCGATCGGCACTGCCGCGCCGCCAGCACAGCCGTTCGCTCCCGAGTCAGCTGTACCGTCAGAGCAAGAGGAGGAGGACGAGGAGATGGAGGAGGTCCCTGTCGGTACCTAATGTCATCTGTCGCAGAGCCTGACCGTGTGAGCGGCGTCGCGAGCGGTGCGGCGCGCTGCAAGCGGGCGCTTGACGGGGATCGGCTGTAGCCTAGTCAAGGCGGCCATGGCACCTGCAAAGCAGGCCAAGGCCAATGCGGAAGCGCTCCGACGACTGGGCGGCGCCGTCGCCTGCGGCACGCACGTCTAGTAAGGATAGGCGGATGTCGCCCACGCCAAGCCTGTGCAGCATCTGTCACGCACACACAGGTGCAGCACGCCTCTGCAGCCCATCGTCTGCGTCGTCACGGCGGCGCCAGACTGCTCGCAGGTGCTCATGTATGCGCCGTAGGTCCCGCAAGTCTGTGGCTTGGCTGCGTGCCCCTGCGAGGCATGTATAGCGAGTGCAGGTCCTCTGTGTCTGCTCGCCCAGCTTCAGCGGCTGTGTAGCGCAAGTGCCGCATCGCCAACTTTCACAATTGACAACGGCGCACAGCCGCGTGATAGCACAAATACGAATGCTGTGTGCCGCGGCAGCGCGTTGCCAATATCTGCAGCAGGATGCGCGGGCGCGGGAGTTTTCGCTGATCCAGCCGTGCGCGAGCTGCCCGCGCACAGCTACAGCTGCCTATGCTGGACACCAGCTAGCTCAAGGCGGTAGACAGGATGCTGCGCGAGGCACAGACGGCCGACAGTTCACTAGGCACTTGTGACGCTGAGAAGCGGGACGATGCGCAGCCAGGATGCTGGATGGCGAGCTGTGCCTACCACCAGAGCGGTCCGTTGACGCCGAGCATACAGTCGCGACGGCGAGAGTGAGCTGCACTGCAGAGCGAGAGCGCTCTGCAGTAGCGAAACGCAACCGCGTGCAGTGCGGGCTTCACACAGACAGCGAGCGGTGGAGACAGCGCAGATGAGGCCGCAGGGCCATGTGCTCCCGCCCTCTGGATCAGTCTAGACGGTGACATTGCCGCACACAGACACGCCGACGCCCTGCCAGCCTGCAGAACCGAGCGCTGCGGACAGCTCCTCCCTCCCAATGCATCGCACTGACGCCGCGAGCACGCATGCGTTCGACGCTCGCGATCACTCCTCCGCCTCGGCGGCTGCCCGTGGATCGTCGGTGTTGACGAGGATGCCGCAGATGAAGTACTTGTTCTTGAAGTGCCTGAGCGCAATGGGACGATGAGCAGGTGCTTGGCAGCGTGCTTGGCCTGCCGCAGACTCACTGGTACCACTCTCGCATGTTTGTCCTGTCCACCGTCGTCAGCAGGCTGCAGGGGCACACTGCTTGACCGGCAGCCACTCACCGCTCAGCCGGTGTCAGGTCCTGCAGGTCGTCGATGCGGGCGTCCAGCGGCGCCAGCATCTCCATCTCGAAGCTCTGCTTCGCCATGCCGCGGCTCGCGTCGCGGCCGGCGAAGTTGCCGTAGGGGCCCGAGGGCCCGTAGAAGTTGGCGCCGCGGCTGACGTCGAACACGCTGCCGTCGATGGCGAGCAGGATGCGGGCGTCGGCAGCAGTGCCGTCAAAGGGCGCGAGCGTGTGTGGCGTGAAGACGCGCCATTCGACCTTGTGGGGGTGCGAGGCCGGCAGCGAGAGATACGACGACGGCGACGCGCGCGCCGCGGACAGCGTCGGCGTGCGCGCGAGGAAGGGGCGCACGAGGTTGCGTGCGAGGTAGAGGAGGATGGCCGAAAGCGCCAGGTTGAGTGGATTGGCGAGGGCGGACATCGCTGCGGACCTGAGGAGGAGGAGGCTGTGGAGGTGAGGAAGAACGCGGCAAGCCGGCTTCCCCGCACGGACACGGCCGCGGCGGCGGCACTCAGCAAGAGAGACAAATGCAGGCACGTGCCGCGCCGGCGCCGCGAGAAATGTGCACAGCCGCAGAGTAGCTTGCTCCGTCCTGCCTTCCCACCTCCACCCTCGCGCCCGCCTCGCACCCACATGGCCCGCAACAAGAGCAAGTCGCGGCAGGCGGCCCTGGGCCTGCACTCCTCCAACGGCGCGGCGCCATCGGGCTCCAAGAAGCGCGCACTGCCGCCGCTGCCGAGTGCCAAGCGCGCGCGCCAGGAGGTCGGCGAGGTGCAGGAGCGCGCCAGGGAGGTCAAGGCGGGCGCCACCAACGAGCTCGAGCTCGGCCACGAGGTGCTCGCACAGCAGGCCGAGGAGGCGCAGAGCGGCATCGACGGCGAGGAGCAGGAGCTGCCCGGCGGCGTGCTCGTCGAGGAGCTCGAGACGACGACCGAGACGCTGCTGCGCCTCGTCGGCTGCGCCGACCGCATCGCGGGCCGGGACTTTCGAGCGTTCCGTGTAGGTGCCCTTTCCGCGCGCGCCGGACCTCTCGCTCGGGCTCATCCATACTCTGCAGAGCGCACTGCACCAGTTCCACACGGCTCACTCTCTCGCCACTGGACTCTCCACCTCGCTGCCCTCGCGCATCTCCTCCGCGCTGGGCTCTGGCAGATGGCTAGATGCGCGCGTGGCTCTTGTCGAGATGCGCCTGCGCGGACAGAAGCCCAGGCTTGGAGCACTGCAGCGCTGGGTGAGAGAGTGCGACGCCGCCGCGGGCGGAAAGCAGGAGGGAGAGGAAGAGGAGGTCTGGAAGACACTCGAGGAGATCATGCGCACAGTCGACCCCTCCGTCGACCGCCAGACTGGAGAAGAGGAGATCGTGCAGAACAGGAAAGGCGTGCGGCGCATGAAAGAGTGGGGCAGCAAGAAGGCTAGGGAGCAGCGAGACCTCTGGGAGGAGCTTCAGAACGGGTCCTTGCTGTGTGAGTCTGCCGCGGCTCACGCTTGCCCGTGCATCGCTCACTCCCTGGCAGCCAACGAGAGCCTGGAGGAGCTCCGCGCGCCGTTTCAGGTCCTCGAGACCGTGCCGGGCGCCGCGCGCAAGCCGCCGAACGCTTATCCGTGCATCCTCTACCACTCGCCCGTTCAACATCCTCTCATCTCCCTGCCCACTCCTGCCGAGCCGGCGACTGGCGCTCCGCATCCTTTCGTTCCGGGCCTCAGCCTGCTCGAGAACGTGCTCTCGCCGACCGAGGCGCACACGATCATCAAGATGGCCGAGGCCAGGGGCCTCGAGCCCGACGAGCCGCTCGGCAGGGAAGGCGGAGCCAGCACGCTTGCGCACAACCTCGTCTGGTGCGTCAACGCGCCGCCGGCCCCAATGCAGTCTGAGTGCACCCTTGCTCATCTGCTCTCGCTCAGGATTATTCCCGAAGACTATCACTCGGCATTCTATGCGCGCATTGCCCACCTGCTGCCGGCAGAGCTGGCGGGCAGCAAGCTCGCGGGGATCAACAGGCGGTGGCGCATCTACAGGTGCGTGTTTCCTCGCTCCACCGCGGACTCGTCGTGCAAGCGACGGTCACGCTGACACCAGAGCTTTGCTGCACCGACTCCGATCATTCCTCAGATACCGCCCAGGCGCGCTCTACCGGCCGCATGTGGATGGTGCCTGGCCCGCATCTTCGGTGTCCTACCCGGCATCGGGCGCGTCTGGCGCCGCCAGCTACGTGTACGACTCGGACCCGCTGCTGTACAGCCGGCTCACCCTGCTCCTCTATTTGAAGTAGGTGCCCGCACATGCGCTGTCGTGAGGCATGCCTGACCAGCCCTGCTCCTCATCCAGCGACGGCTTCACCGGCGGGCACACGACCTACTTCCTCCCAGCCACCGACACCCAGGGCGTGCTGGCATATCCGCTGCGCCCGACAACAGGCGGCGCGGCCGTATTCCCGCACGGCAACGCCGACGGCAGTCTCCTGCACGAAGGCAGCGGCGTCGGCCAGGGCGCGAAGTGGGTCGTGCGGACGGAGGTCCTCTACGCTGTCGGGCGTGATGGCCGAGGCGGGGCGGACAAGTGAGCCTGCTGAGCCGCGCAGACCTCTGCGCGGTGATGGTTCCTTCTGTGCGTCGTGGCGATGGTGAAATTGAGATCGTGGTACAAATACAAAGCCCGAGCCCGGGCCTGAGTGGTGATGTGTGCTCTGCGCACAGGTCCCGTGGTGCGCCGCGTGGCTACGCAGCTACGGCTCGTCGGCCGCCTCGCGCCGGAAGTACATGTCGATCGCGCCGCTGAACGCCGCAAAGGCGCCGCCGCCGAAGAGCATGGCTTTTGGCCCAGACGTCCGTGCCAGGATCGCGCCGGCAACGAAGCCAGCCGCGATGGGGTTGGTCAGGTCGTTCTTGGCGCGGTACTGTGGGGGCATCAGTGATCAGCGCAGGTCGGGGGCCACGAGATGCAAAGAGAGCACAGCTCGATTGCGCTGACATGTCGCAGAGACGTTGAGCAGCGCCACATGCCAGTCTGCTTTGGGGCCAGGAGGAGCATTCCCGCAGCTCTATAGCTGCAAGCTCGGGGAGGCCTGCTCGCCGCACGCGTGGGGACCTTGGAACACCTCACAGCGCAGGTACCCGCGACCGCAGCAGGCCATAGGGATCCCCGCGCGAGACAGCTGCAGCTCGAGCGCCAGCTCTAGCGGCAACAGCGATGGCCGGAACAGCGTCGCTGCTCAGCACCACAATGAAGCAGCACCTCCCTCTGCGCCGACGTGATCCGCTTGTACCGCCACACTCACGCCTTCAATGCAGCACTCGATGCCCGAGTAGAGGGCGCCGACCTTGCCGAAGCCCTTGGCACTGCGGTACATGCCCTTGCCCGTCTCCTTGAAGAAGAGCTTCGTCTGCTGGCTCGTCGTGAGCTCGGGTGGCGGCGGCGCGCCGGGCGTGCGCGCCGCGAGCTCGGCGGCCATCTGGTTCGACTTGCGCAGCGGGTCGTCGATGGCGAACGAGGAGCTGAGCAGCGAGAAGAAGCCGCCGAGCGCGAAGCCGGCCGTGCCGGAGAGGACGACCTTGACGGGACACGACTCCATGGCCGACGATGCAAACTTGGTCCACTTTGCCATCTGCATGGCCTGGTCGCGCTCCTCGGGCGACGCGCCCTCGAGCTGCGGCTCCTGCCCGGGCAGGTAGACGGGCGCCAAGAGCGACTTGTAGACGGACATGCAGGGCGAGGCGGGGGCGGCTGGGGTGGAGAGGCAGGCCGGACAGGGTGCGCGCGGCGCGACCTTTGTGCCTCCCGAGGCTGAGGCGCGCCGGCGGTGCGGGAGTCGGTTGCGCCCGCGCCCGCGCCCGCGCCCAGGCAAAAATCCTAGCGCGCGCCGCCGACCCGTACGGGAGCGCCGGCCCAAAAGCCAGCCTGTGCCTCTCTCTCACCTCGAGCCCAGGCTTGCCTGCTTCCACCACCAACCTGGCACCTTCTCCGCTCCACAGCCACCTGTCCACAGCCAGCACAGGGCCTTCGCCATCCTGTTCGCCCGCACCCTTCTTCGTCCCGCTCGACAGCTCGTCGCACGGCCCACCCTCGTCGTACCCCGCCACGTCGCGCGCGTCCCGCTGCGCACCATGGCCACCGCGCCGAGCAGCTCGCCGCAGGGCATCCACACGGCCTCGTTCAAGGGCATACATGCCGCACTGAACCTGCCGGCGCTGCCGTCGCACCCGTCGGCCGACCCGGCGCGGCATCCGCTCGACGCCTTCCTGCTCGCGGCCGCCGAGCAGGTCGCCGCCGCGCTCGACATCGACTTCGACAAGGCGTGGCAGGGCACGCAGCTGCACTCCAAGGGCGCAGACATCATCGTCACCGTGCCGCGCTTCCGTCTGCCCGGCAAGCCCGCAGACGTGGCGCAGAAGGTGGTTGATGCGGTGAGTGCAGGCCGTGGTGTGATAGCTTGCGCCGCGCCTGCCGCTGCGCTCGTCCGGTCTTAATTGTGCGGCTGCTGGCCGGCCTTCCAGCCTGCTGAACTTCGTGTCCCCATCAGTTCAAGCCCAATGCCTACCTCGAGTCGGCGACGAACGAGAAGGGCTTCGTGTGGATCACCTGCCACACCCCGACACTCACTGCGCTCACGCTCGGCACGATCCACGAGCTCTCGCGCGGCCGCTCGAGCGGCTCGTGGGCCGGCGAGGATCTGGCGGAGAGCTCAGGGCTGTACGGCACGAACGCGTCGGGCGCAGGCAAGCAGATGATCGTCGAGTTCTCCAGTCCCAACATCGCCAAGCCATTCCACGCCGGACACCTGCGCAGCACCATCATCGGCGCCTTCATCGCCAACCTGTACGAAGCCAACGGCTGGAAGGTCGAGCGGTGGAACTACCTCGGCGACTGGGGCAAGCAGTTCGGTGAGTTCTGCGCTTGCGATCTGGCTGCAGCGATGCTCAGGCTGTGCGCTCTCGTCAGGTCTCCTGGCCGTGGGATGGGAGAAGTACGGCGACGAGGCGCTGCTGAAGGAGGACGCTGTCAAGCACCTGTACGACGTGTACGTGCACATCAACAAGACGGCCGAGGCAGAGCCAGAGATCCACGACGCTGCGCGTGCCTACTTCAAGGCCATGGAGGACGACGACGAGCACGCGCTCGGCCTCTGGAAGAAGTTCCGCGACCTCTCGATTGAGAAGTACAAGGAGACGTATGCCCGTCTCAACGTTCACTTCGACGTGTACTCGGGCGAGTCGCAGGTGTCCAAGCAGAACATCGCCACCGCCCTGGAGCACATTCGCGCCTCCGACTACGTCGAGAAGGCCGAGAACGGCGCGCTGCTGATCGATCTGAGCAAGTACAAGCTCGAGAAGGCGGTCATCGAGCGCAAGGACGGCACGCCGCTCTACATCACCCGCGACATTGGCGAGGCCAAGCAGCGCTGGGACCGCTTCGTGGAGCAGCGCGGCGACGGCCTGGGCTTCGACAAGATGATCTACGTTGTCGCCTCGCAGCAGGACCTGCATCTGGCGCAGTTCTTCAAGGTGCTCGAGCTCATCGGCTACGAGTGGGCGCAGCCCGCGGCGCAGCGCCTGCTGCACATCAACTTCGGCATGGTGCTTGGCATGTCGACGCGCAAGGGCACGGCCGTTTTCCTCGAGCACATTCTCGATGAGGCCAAGGAGAACATGCACAACGTCATGCGCTCCAACGAGGACAAGTACGCGCAGGTCGAGAACCCCGAGCTCACGGCCGACGTGCTCGGCATGACGGCCGTCAAGGTGCAGGACATGGGCGCCAAGCGCATCAACAACTACCAGTTTGACTGGAGCCGCATGCTGTCGTTCGAGGGCGACACGGGCCCGTACATGCAGTACAACCACGTGCGGCTGTGCTCCGTCGAGCGCCGCGTGGCTGACCTGGACGGCGTCGCGCTCCCCGCCGTGCTCGACCCGTCCTCGCTGCGCCTGGAACTGCTCGCCGAGCCCAAGGCGCGCGAGGTCATCATGCTCCTGGCCGCGTGGCCGGAGACGGTGCGGGCCAACCTCAAGGATCTGCAGCCGTCGACGATTGTGCACTTCTGCTTCCGTCTCTGCCACGCGCTCAGCAGTGCGTGGGAGATCCTCATCGTCCGCAAGCAGGAGAAGGACCTGGCTCTCGCGCGTCTGTTCCTCTTCCGCTGCTCGAAGGACGTGCTCAGCGCAGCCATGCGCCTGCTCACCATCCAGCGTAAGTCTATAGCGGGGTCTCGCGCAGGACAAGCGCTGACGTCGATTCTGCCCTGCAGCGCTGCAGCGCATGTAGACGCGTCGATGGGCACGCAGTGCGCGGACCTGGGCTGGAGCATCGGGCCATCTGCCGTTCTCGCCCCGATGACCGCGGCTGGATCAGCGATAAAAACGTATGGATTTAGCTCACGACGCTTGGCGCTCGGAGCATGCAAGGCGTAATGGACATGATGTGGCGGCACGAGCGGCCGGACGAAGGCAATCTCGCCCGAGTCAGCTCGTTCCGCGAGTGACGGCGACGGTCGCTCTGGCACGCGTGTGCTGGCCGATCAGTTCGCCTTGGCGCGCTTCGGCACGTTCTTGACTGCGCGCTGGCTCGCAGCAGCGCCCTTGGGCAGCGGCAGGCCGGCGCCAGAGATCTGCAGTGCTGTTGAGAGGGTCGTGTCAGCCCTGCCATCACTTCTCGATTGCTGGAAGCAGGGGCTCAGGATAGAGGCCGGCCACATGCACTCACCAGAGCTGATTGCAGCCCACGACTCGTACATGAGCCTGCGCAGCGCAAGGATGTCGTGAGCAGTGTGCTATCGCGGCGAAGACGCCAGACTGACCATCCAGGAATGAAGACCCAGGCGAGATTCATGAACACTGCCGGGGAGGTGGATCAGTGTCAGGGCGCGTAGCCCTTTGCGACGCAGCCAGACGAGGCCGACGCGCGAAACGCACCAAGCTCGATCCAGAAGTGCACGAAGCCCGATCCCGCCAGGTTCTTGTTGCCCGTCGTCCACTCGGGCAGGAACGTCATGCCGCCGCCGTAGATCTCGCTTGAGGAGGGTCAGAAAGAGCCGCTGCGGGTGCCGGTCGCGTCACTCACCCAGTGCAGAGCACAATGACCCAGTAGTGGTACCTGCGATTGCACGATCAGCAAGCGCACCTCCCGTCTGCGCCCACGGGCACGCAGCCACTCACGCTGGCGAGTTGCGCGAGATGAGCCAGACACAGTAGGCGGCGATGGGCCCGGCGCCGAGCACGGTGAGGATCTCAATAGCGACGACCGTCGGATCGTCGGTGGCCCAGCGCGCGTCGGCCTTGGCATAGTCCATCCACAGCTTGGCGAGCGGCGAGTAGTGCACGGCGTTCTTGACGCCGCCGTCGTAGAGCGAGTGGAAGAGGAAGCTGGCCTCGAGGGTGAGGTGGCAGATGGCGTCGAAGGAGAGCCAGATGGCGATGAAGCGCATCTTGCCCGACGCGCCCGTGCCGTGCAGCGCATAGTTGCCGAGGCCGATGCCGAGGGCGACGAGGAAGGCGACGAAGAGGTTGGCGACGAGCGACGTGCCGTCGGCGACGGGCGCAGACGACATGCTGGGCGGGCGGTGAGGTTGCGATGCTCAGGAGCGGCGGGGAGAGGCGAGGTCGGCAGCGCGGCCTGTGCGTGCAGCTGGCAGAGTGTGTGCGGCAAGGGATGCTCGTGGTGGGAGGAGTGCGCCGCGTGGATGGAGGACAAGCGCTCGCGCCGCTGATGAGGGAGGAGCTCGGGCCGCGAACAAAGTGGCCTGAGCGCACGCCGCGGCGCCGCGCCGCGAGAAGGCCGACTCCCGGTCGCGCCGCGGCCTCCTCGATCATCTCTCCCCATCGCGCAGCCAATTCTTATTTGTCGCTGGCCGACGGCGGTATGCTGCTAGGAAGAAGGAAGCGGGCAGGCGGCAGGCAGCGTCAAGCAACAGCCCAGTAATATCATGTCAGTACCTGCACGGGTTGGCTGGGCCGGCGGCCTCGGCGATGCAGCTGGCGACGGCGCTTGAGCGCTCCGGCGTGCGCTCCTCAAAACGCGGCCCTCAGCCTGCTGCCGTTGCCCGCACGATTCAACTAAGACTTAGGAGGGATCCGTGAGCTCAAAATCGCCGGCATGTGTTGTCGCTGCGTTCCCACCGTCTGGCGAGTTGTTTGGAGTCCGTCCGGGTGCAGCAGCATCGCAGTCAAAAAGGTCGTGACGAGGGACTCAGGCTCGAACTAGACTTCTTGTGCTGCAGACACAGGAATGTCTGCAGCTCTGCTCCGCACCTGCGCTGGCACGGCCGCTGCTGCATCTCTGCTTGACCGACAGCTTGCGTTGTCGTGTCCTTTTGGGCTGCGCGCATACGCATCTCAAGTGCCAGCGGGCTACGAGGCACGCAGGCGGGAGCCTCCCCGCAGCCTCAAGCTGCTGCGGCACGCGGACGGCGCCGTGCCCCACATGCAGCGGGAGCCTGGCGGGATGCAGCGCTTGCGGTGGTCCCACGCCAGCGCAGCCCGGCCAGCACCCCCACGGCGCCACGAAGGCAGCCCTACAGCAGCCTGCAGCAGACCCTCGCTGCCCTTGCCTGAGGCCGCTTCTGCACCGCAAGCCGAGCGCTGCTTGCTGTGCCGGGAAGTCGGGCAGCAAGGCTAGCGTGGCTGGGCTGCGGAGTGTGGTGCGCGGGATGCGGTCGCTCGCGTGAGCGGGACGCCGCACCGCAGCAGCGGCAGCTGCGACACGGCAGCGGCAGCCGGCAGTCGCAGCGCTGCAGCGTCGCAGCGTGCAGGCGTGAAGGCCCATATCAGCGGCTCACACAGCTCGCCAACAAGCTCTTGCTAGCCGCCTCTCTGCACCTGGCAGTGGTGCTGCATCTGCACCCGCGAGCGCTCCGAGGGCTGCGCTGAGAGGGTGCGCCGTGGTGCAGCGCTGCGCTCGGCTTCTGGCGCCCTGGGCAGGCGGGCTAATCCTTGGGCCCGGCGGAGTCTGCGGCCGCGTCTGGGGCCGCGCCAGATGCATGCGCATGTGCTTCCCTGCGCCGGTCCGCGTGCCGGCGAGCGGCCAGACCCTCGTGCTCGCTGCGGTACCTGCCTCTCGCGTCTGCACGGTGGCTGCACCGGTGTATGCTGGCGCGCCGACCACTGCGGCTGGCAAGCGCGCCGCTCTTCTTGCCGAGCACTTGAGACTGCGCCCTGGCGCAGCTGCATCTGGCTGGGTGCTGAGCTGGCAGAGCATGGCGCTGGCCAGGCTACCGCGCCAGCATCATGCAGCGTGGTCGCCTGCGCTGCTGCTTGGCGGAGCACAGCATGCCGCTGGCACGGCCTCTCACTCGAGGGACCCGCTCCTGCACGCTGCGGCCCGCTTGCCAGCGCAGCACCCCGGCCTCTATGCGTTTGCCCGCGGTGGGGTGCTGGCCGGATGTGCAAGACGCTGCGTTGCTGGTGGATGCAAGCACCCTGCAGCTGCATTCCCCTCCACGGTCCGTCGGCGTTGATGCTGATGCTGCGTCTGTGGGGCTGCGCTCCCGTACGCGGCTCCCGTACGACTCTTACTGGGTCCCACACGCTGCGCTCTGAGCTGGCGGCTGCCCGCTGGCGGCTGACCGCAGAGACGCCGCCGCAGCGCAGGCCGGCGGCATGGTGCGGGGACCTGGAAGGTGCAGCTGCAGCTGCAGGCCGAGGCAGCATGCAGAGGCAGCGAGGGCCCGCGCAGCGCCAGGGATGCGCAGGCGAGGTCCTCTCTCTCCGCGGTCTGAGTCGGAGTGCGGCGCTGAGGCGTGGCGCGCTCTGCACGCGCGGCGGACGACGGTGGGGCGGCGCTGCGTTTTGCCTGCATCTGCGACGCGGTGCCGCCTTCTGCCTGTACTCCGCCCGCCTCACCTCCCTCCTCCGCTGCGCTGCCCGGCGTTTGCGCCGCCGCTGCACCTGCTCTGCATCCTCGCTCGCCATGGCGATGGATGCGCCTCGCCGCTCACCGCCCTCGCGGCCGCCGCCGCCAGCTTCGCTTCCTTCCACCACCCCCTCCAGCGCCGCCGTGTCCCGTCCACCTGCCACGCCGGCCGGCACGATGACGCCGTCCGCCGCCTCGACCTCTGCGCCGGCGCCTGCCGCAGCCGCACCTCTACGTTCCGACATCAAGCCGCCGCCGGCGCCCGCCGCAGCAGCCACAGCCCTGCAGAGCGCTGCGGCGCGGCCAGCCGTCGTCAAGCCGCGGCCCACCTCCATTGCGGCGCCCGCTGCGCCCTCACGGCCGCTGGGCAGCGAGCCGCGCCCGCCGCTGCCGGCCGCCGCCGCCTCGTCGGCCGCAAAGCCTGGCCTTGTACGCACGCCCTCGCACACCGCAGCGTCCACGCTGCAGGCGCTGGCGTCGGCCGCCTCCTCGGCGCCGCAGGCCCGGCCCGTCGCGCCGGCAGCAAAGCCCTCGCCATCTGCAGCTGCCGGTCCGTCGAACGCAGCGCGGCTACCGGCTGCAGCAGGCGCAGCGCCCGCGAAGAAGCTGGCCGCCGGAGAGGCCGCCACAGATCGACCGCGTCCGCTCGGTGCGGTCGTTGGCGCTGCGGGCCACAACGCAGTTGCAAGCGGCTCGGCGCTCAAGAATAGGCCGGCCGGCGCTGCGCTGCCGAGCGCGCCGCGGCCAGCGATTGTGCCAGGCGCAACTGCAGCGCCCGTCAAGGCGGCACAGGCACCCAAGCCCTCGCCAGCCTCTGAAAAAGCCCTGGCAGACAAGGCGACCGCCAAGGCCGAGAAGGCCGAGAAACGCAGAAAGGCGAATCGGGCGTGCAGCGCGTGCCAGAAGGCGCACCTGACATGTGACGACGGTGAGTGTCGCGCCTGTCGGGGCTCATGGCACGCAGATGATCTGCTGCTGCGTCGAGATGCGGGTCCATCGCAGCCGCTCACGTCCCTTTCCCTTCTAGCGCGCCCTTGTCAGCGCTGCGTGAAGAAGGGACTGCAGGACTCGTGCACAGACGGCGCCCGCAAAAAGGCCAAGTACCTGCTCGACGAGGAGGAGGTCTGTGAGTCTTGGCGTTGGGCGCCCGTCCGCGAGCCGAGCGCTGATGCATTCGGTGCGACCCTCTAGTGGCCCTGAAGCGAGAGAAGGAGGAGCGGAAGAAGGTCAAGACGGAGCGCCGCTCTGTCCTGCCGCCGAATGGGCCAATGCGCTCAGACAGCCACACATCGGGCACAGTCAACATCATGCCCGATGGAGTCGCCGGCGGGGACGAGGTGGAGGAGGAGATGCATTCGGAATGGGGAACTGAGAGCGCTTTCGATCAGCGTGAGTGGTGCCTGCGCAGCGAGTCCACGGAGCGCGCTCTCACACCGCCAGCAGAGAGCGTCATTTCGCACATGCCTGCGGGAATGTTTGGAAGCACTGCAGACGCCGCAACCGGAATGGCGAGCGGCGCCGGCGAGCAATCGCCTGACTACTTCGCCGGCATGAGCGCGTATTCGCCTGGCATTGGCGACGGTGTCAATGGCTCTGGCTCGGCTTTTGGCTCCGATCCGTACGGCGGCGGTACGGGAGACGTCTATCAGGGCCCGATCGAGTTCGGCTCAGAGACCACAAGTCTGGAGTACAGCTTCCTCAGCTCGATGCTGCACAGCATCGATCCGCACCTGCTGCGGGCAACGCCAGACACGGATGCGACCTCGAACACGAACAGCGGACCGAGCGCAAATTTGCCTCACTTGCAGATGGGCAACGACAGCCTGCCAGGCTGGCGTTGGGAGGGCGAGGTGCCGGCGTGGCAGGCCGGCTATGCGGAACCGCAAAGCATGCCGCTGCAGCACGCCACGGGCCACCAACAGACGCCGCAGCAACAGCAGCACCTGCAACAGCAGCACCAGGCAATGCCGCCGCCGCAACAGCCTTACTCGAGCAGCGTGCAGCTTCATGCGCCGCACTTGTACAGCAGCAGCAGCTCCGTCTCACGACCCGCAACTGTGGGATACGGCAGCGAAGGAGGCGGCGTGCGCACGATCCACGCCATGGAAGGCGCGGTCCGGCATGCTTCGACCTCGAGCGGCGCAGGCGGCTCGAGCGAAGGCGGCTACGGCGCGTTGGAGGTGCCCTCGCCCGCCGGCAGCGTGCCCAGCTCCGCAGCTGCAACGCTGGCACCAGAGCCGATGCTAGGCAGTCCGTCGAGCCCGCACGATGTCGCCGCTGTGCGCAAGACGATGGACCAAGATGCAGTGTGGAAGGAGCGGGTCAAGCACGTGTACTCGGATCGCTGCAAGCCCTTCCCCTACACCGAGGGCTACCATTTCCTGCTCAAGCACGTCACGGCGAAGTGAGTGCTCCTGCGCCTGCGATGCCAGACTGCGCCCTGACACGCCCTGTCGCAGATTCGAGAAGCAGGAAGTGCTCCGCATCGTGCGCGCCCTCGCAATCTTCCGGCCCAGTCTCATCGCACTGCAGATGCCGCTGACCGAGGACGACGAGGTCTTCGTTGAGCGATGCATCTTGCGCACCGTCCTGGTGCGTACATCCCTCATCCTGCTTCCAGCCCGCGCTGACACCGCTCGCCCCTGCAGGAGCTCGAGAAGCTCATCTCATTCTCGGGCACGCCGACGGTCGTCTGGCGCCGCACGTGCGAGATCGCCGTCGTCGGCATGGAGTTCTGCATGCTCACGCAGCGCACGCGCGAGAGTTTGCTCGGCAAGTACATCTACGAGGTGAGCCGGCGCCGCCTCGAATGTCGACGAGTGGCCACTGACCGCTGCATTGCGCTGCGCGTCCTATCTGCAGTTCCTGGATAAGGCGAGCACGCTCGAGTACTGGGAGGCGTTTGCGCTGCACGCCTTCGAGGCGTCTGCGCAGAGCATCATGATGCCCGTCTCGCTCGTGGGCGGCAGCGGCAATCTCGTCAAGTGCGCCGCGTGCTTCAGCATCAAGCGCGATGTCTTCGACCTCGTGAGTTCTTGGCGTCGCAGTGCCGTCGGCTGGCGTGGCTGACCGACCCGTGCCCACAGCCGTCGCTCGTCGTGGCCAACTTCCTGCCCATTCTGTAGCCGCACCGCAGCTGCTCTTCTCTTGCGGCGCACGGATCCTCATCCTCCTGGTTCTGTCCCTCTCGCACTACATCGTCTCCACGACTCCCTCTGGACTCCCTCCGCCTGCTTTCCGCCTGCACGCCGTCGCCTAGCCCGCTGCCTCCTCTCATGTAATCTCACCGTCACCGCACGCTCATCCATCACATTTGCTTCCGCTCCTGCGTGCACTCGGCCTCCTACACCTGGTTCGCCAGCGGGCTCGGGCCCTTTTCCCGCGAGGGGCTCTTCTGCGGCAGGCCGCCTTCTGTTGACGGCACCGGCAGCGGCGCGAAGAAGTTGGCCGGCGACGGCGGGTCGGGCTTGGTGTACGAGCTCGTCGGGCCGGGCCCGCTGCTGCTGGCGCCGGCGCCGCCCTGCCGTTGTGCGAGCGAGCGGTAGGGCTGCGTGGTGTCGAAGCCGTGGTCAAAGAGCGACGAGATCGACTCGCCAAAGTGCGACCGGCGGATCGCTTCGGAAAGCATCCCAGAAATGTCCATCTGGGCGAGGCGTGAGCAAGGCGGTCAGGTCTGCGGCGCGCATGGTGCTGCTCACCTCCTCAATCTTCGGGCACAGCGCGCGATTCGCGGCCTGCGGCAGCGTGTTCGTCACGACGATCTTCTCCAACCGCGAGGCATTCAGCCTGGTCGTTGCCGGCGTGCTGAAGAGGCCGTGCGTGACAATGGCCAGGACGCGCTCGGCGCCGCTCTCTGCCAGGCGCTGGGCGGCAAGGTCCAGCGTGCCGCACGTGTCGGCCATGTCGTCGACGAGGATGGCAACCTTGCCCTGCACGTCGCCGACCAGCACCATGCGCGAGACCTCGTTGGCCTTCTTGCGCTCCTTGTGGAAGAGCGCAAAGTCGACCTCCAGCCGGTCGGCCAGCGACGTGGCGCGCTTCGCTCCTCCTGCGTCCGGAGACACAATGACGACCTTCGTGCAGTCCACGTACTCGCGGATCCACTGCAGTGCGGTCGGCTCCGCGTAGAGCTGCGAAGATTGTGAGCACCGCGAAGACATGGATTGCACATCAGCAACTTACGCTGGGACCGACGTGAAAAGGCACGAGAAGACCAGCGGTCAGGAGGCGCAGACAGAGAGCTATGCGGCCCCACTCACTTGTCGACGGGCACATTGAAGAAGCCCTGGATCTGCGACGCGTGCAGGTCCATCGTCTACGCCGAGCACGGGCATCAGTGTTGGCTGCACCAGGTCGCTCGTGGCTATGCGCTCTTCGCTGCTCTGAAGCGCCTCGCTAGCTCTGCTTCCCGCTCTCGCCGCCAGGGCAGCCTCTCTCTGCACCCCTCATGCCGCACTGCCTGCTCACAATGACGTGGTCGCAGCCGGCGTTCTCGATCATGTTGGCAATAAGCTTGGCGGTGATGGGCGCGCGGCTCTTGTCCTTCTTGTCCTGGCGCGCGTAGAAGAAGTGCGGGATGACGGCGGTGATGCGCTTGGCGCTCGCCGTCTTGCAGGCGTGGATCATGATGAGCAGCTCCATGAGCGACGTGTTGGGCGACGCCGCCGAGCCCGATGGCGTCGGCGACACGCACGACGTGTTGATGATGTAGACGTCGTGCTCGCGCACCGACTCGGCAATGCGCACAATCGACTCGCCCGCATCGTTGCGCGTCACCGTCGCACGGCCGAGCGGCTGTCCAAGGCTGCAGCAGAGCGTCAGGCTGAGCAGCAGGGTGTAGACCAGCTTGCAGCACAGCTCTGCGGCAGACACCTCTGCGTCCTACGCTGCTCGCAGCGCAGCTCCACGACAGAGGCTTGCGTGCAGCGGGTAGCTGTGACGCAGCTCTGCAGCAGAGGCCTGCGCGCCCTCTCGCAGCACAGGCCGAGCTGGAGCTTGCACTGCGGCTGACGTGCCTTGCGCCGTACGGCAGCGCACCGCCCGCAGCTCAGTGCGCTTTGTGGACGACACGCCGCCCGACGCCTCGCCCATGGCGACTCACCGCTTGGCCACGAGCTGCGCGAGCTCGGGGTGCGACGTGCCGGCAAAGACCTTGATGCCGCCCGAGAGAGACGCCATGGTCGCGGCGGCGCGGAGCTGGACACGCGGGTGATGCGGTGCAGCGGCGGGCGACGAGCTGGCGCTGAGTGCCAGGAGTGTGGAGCGGTGACGGGGCCGGAGGAGCGGGAGCAGGAGCTGCTGGAGCGGCGGGAAGAAGGCGGCGCCTCGAATGTCGAGGATCCCCGCTCAGCGCGGCCGAGGATTATCTTTTTTGGCGGATAAGGGCGATTAGAAAAGGGCAGCGCGGGCTGGGCGCGCGTCACGTGCGCCCGTGCCGCCGGGGCCGGCCAATCCCGCTCGCGGGCTGGCCGCGGTGCGCCGGCCGTCGTCAGCAGCGCCAGCAGCTCGGCGCGGCGGCGGCACGTTGCACACGGCGCTCCTTCGCGCGCCTCCGCCTTCCTCCTCCCACATCCCCACACGCCCCTCCCCTCCGAGCACCGCCAGCATGTCCGACGAGGGCCGCACCTTCACGCTGCAGAGTACGTGCACGCAGCGTGCCATCGCAGCGCGCCCGGCGGCAGCAGCAGGCGACCAGTGCCGCTGCCGCGGCGTGCCCGGCCACGCACGGCGCCGAGCCATGCTGACGTTCCCTCGCTGCAGCTGCGTCCTTCGACGCCCGCTTCCCCAACCAGGTGCGTGCCTCTGTTGCGCTGGGCCAGCGTGGCTGCTGCTGACGGCCGAACCTCGCACCGCTAGAACCAAACGAAGCACTGGTGCGTGCACGCTGCCACGAAGACCCTGACGCGCACCGGCTGACCCTTGTCCTCTCCGCAGCTGGCAGAAGTGAGGCGCACACAGTCAAGACGTGCTTCTTGCCCGGCTGACCGCCATCTGGCACACAGCTACGTCGACTACTTCAAGTGCGTCAACGCCAAGGGCGAGGACTTTGCGCCGTGCAAGCAGTTCTTCCGCGCCTACCACTCGCTCTGCCCCAGTGAGTCGCCAGCCGTGCTTGCGTGTAGCGGCGCTCATGCTGACGCTCTTCTGCAGACGAATGGGTAAGTTGACATCAGATTTGAGGCCGCCATATCGGGGCTGTGGCGGTTTCTGGACACGCGTCGAACGGAAGGGAGCATGGGAAAGGTCCACGCCTCGACGGCCCGAGTCAGACGAGCGCCGCCCGTCTGCGACCCGCTCAGCGGAAGTCGTGTCAGACGCGTCGAAGGATGCTCGCATCGGCGCAGGCAGGAGGCCGAGTAAGGGTGGGGTGGATGTGAAGGCGTGGAAGGCGAAGCAGGCGAAGTTGGGCGGCACCTGCTCCAGCGCCACATTCCGTGGAAGAAGCGGTCGCGAATCTGCTCGCAGCTGGAAGTTAGGACCCGCGACCTGCAGCGCAGCGTTCAGGCTCGTGAGGGCGTGGCCTAGAGCAGCGCTGTGCACTCGTCCAACTCGTAGCGAGTGCTCGAGTGGCCCAGGCGTTGGCGTTGCGCGTGCGTTGCGGAGGGTCTGCGGACGAGTATGGAGCTCCCTGGACATGAGGGGCAGGCTCGGAGGGAGAGAGACAAGCTGGACTGCGGCCTGGCGCATTTTCAGACCGCACAGACTGACGCATCTTGGCGCTCTGCAGATCGCCAAGTGGGACGAGCAGCGCGACGAGGGCCGGTTCCCGCACTCGCTTGACCCCTGAGCGGGCGTAGGCCGTTGCCTGCGGACCCGAGGTGGAGAGAACACAAGCGCGCGAGCCTTCACAACTGTGCAATGCCAACACTGCTCTGACGCGGCGGCCTGTCTCGGGTGACGAGCGAAGGACAGGGCAGACGCGCACGCGCACGCGAGCCTGTGACTGTGTCTGCATTGCGAAGCGGCCGGCATCACCGCCGACGGTGCTCTGCCAGGTCCTTGCCCTCGAACTCGTGCTTCTGCAGCTCCTTCTTCCACTCGTCCGTCTCGCCGTACAGCTCGACGAGACGCGCCAGCTCGGCCCGTTGGTCCTGACAGCTGCTGCGTGAGCAATGTGCGGCGACAGGGCGCGCCTCGGCGCGGCTACTCACCTTGAGATTCTCCGGCATGTCGACGTACGTGTCGTCGAACATGCTGCTGAGGCTCGGGCGCTTGAGCTTCTCGGCCTTTGACATGGCGGCGACGATGTCGCGGCGGTAGCTCTTCTTGATCTCCTCCTCCTGCTTGTCGTTCCACCAGCCGCGCGCCTTGAGGTACTCGGCCATGCGGTGCAGCGGGTTGTCGGCCGAGCGCCGCCGGTCCACGTCCGAGGCGGAGCGGTACGCCGACGAGTCGTCCGACGTCGAGTGGTGCCCCACGCGGTACGTCATGCACTCGATGAGCATTGGCCGGTGCTCTGCGATGGCACGGGCGCGCGCCGTCTGCACGGCAGAGCGCTGTGAGGTTGCGGGCGGTCAGCTAGCGCCAGCAGCAGCAGCAGCAGCAGCAGTGACAAGACGCACAACCGCAAGCGCATCGTTGCCATCGACGCGGATCGTCGGGATGCCGTAGCCAGGCCCTCGCGACGCGATGCCGTCGCCGCAGTACTGCTCTGCAGAGGGCGTAGAGATGGCGAAGCCGTTGTTGCGCACGATGAAGCTGCGCGATGCACATCTAAGCCGCTCGCCCGTGGCTGCTCATCACAGCAGACTCACAGCACCGGACATCTGAGCGTGGCAGCAATGTTCATGCCTGCGTGTGCGTCGCCTTCGGACGCCGCGCCCTCGCCAAAGTAGCACACCGCCACATCCTCCTCGCGGCCCGGACTGCGCTTGAGCGCGTAAGCAGCGCCGGCGGCCTGCGGGATCTGCGTGGCCAGGGGCGAGGAGATGGTGTGGAAGTGGTGCTTCGTGGAGCCGAAGTGCACGGGCATCTGGCGCGCCTTGCCGTGGTCGACGGCGGTACCGAACACCTGCAAGCGCGCACACATGAGCCACTACCACGGACACATGCCCGCCGCACGCACCTGGTTCATGACTTCGTCCAGCCCATAGCCGCGCCAGAGCAGCACGCCGAGCTCGCGGTACTGCGCAAAGACCTCGTCCGTGGCACGCAGGCCGGCGGCCGAGCCGACGATGGCCGCCTCCTCGCCCGAGCTCGTCATCCAGAAGCTGACGCGGCCCTGCCGCTGCGAGGCGTAGAGGATGAGGTCGAGGGCGGGCAGCAGCTGCATGGTGCGGTACATGGCCACGGCCTCCTCCTGCCCGAGCTGCGGCGCACAAGGTGAGCTCAGCAGCACACGCGGCCGCCGGCGCACGACTTACGTTGAGCGACGCCTCATCAACCCCCTCGAGCAGCGTGCCATGGCCGTCGGTGAGGCGATACGTGGGGATGCCCGCCGGCCGGCCGTCGAGGAAGGCGGCGTCGAGGCGCGCGACGTACGGCGACTCGGGGTGGCCGGGCAGGTGCGTCTTGCTCGGGCGAGCGGCGGCGCGGGCGGCGCTGCGGCTGATGCCGCGGCGCAGCAGCGGCTGCGGTCCCGTGCGTGGCAGACGGGCGAGTGTGCGGAGCATGGCGTGTGGATGGTGGTGGTGGTGCAGCCCTGCGAGGCGCACGTCCTTGGCGCGCGCGCGTGGGGGAAGCCAAGGCCAGCGCTGGCCGCGGTGCAGCGGTGCGTGCGGTGCGGGGAAGCGGCCCGGCTCCTCTGCGCCGCTGTGCCGTGCCGTGCGGCCGCGAGGCCGCGGCCGGCAGTCCGCCGCGAGCGCCGCTCACGTGCGCCGCGGCGCCCGCCGCTTCCTCCTTTTCCACCACACCGCTCAAGGGGCCTCCTCAAGATCGCGCTGGCGCAGCCTGGACACGGCGTGGATCGCACCGGCAGCCAGTCGCGTGTCGCAGGGGGGAGCGTGTCACTCGGGCCGCGCACAAGCCGCCGTGTCTCCTACCGCTGGCCTTCCCATGGCCGCTCTGACGTCGTCAGTCGGCCGGGGCTGTGCCTTCTTGCGCTCGCCGCAGCTGCTGCGACAGCGCCTCACCGCCCGCCTGGCGCGCACGCAGGAGCCTGGCGAGGCGTCGCAGCATGTTCGCTGGCTCCTGCAGGACGGCGACTACGGGCCGCTCGACGGCCGCGCCGCACGCCGGCGCCTGATCGCCGACGTCGCGCGCCTTGCTCAGGGCGAGCCACTGGCGTACGTGCTGGGCACGCAGCCCTTCGCCGGCCTGCTGCTCAAGTGTCGCGCGCCCACACTCATCCCTCGGCCCGAGACGGAAGAGTGGGGCCTGCGCGTGGCGGACCTCGCCCGCAGCTGGCTTGCGACACTGCCAGAGCGCGAGAGGGGCATCCGGGTGCTCGACCTCTGCACCGGCAGCGGGTGAGCAAGACCGCCTGGCCGCCTGGTGAAGCATGCTGCTGACCTCCATCTACTTCCAGCTGCTTGGCTATGCTCTTGGCCCATACGTTGAGCAAAGCGCCGGGCGCAGCCGCGACTCGCGTGGTGGCAGCCGACGTCTCGCCGTCGGCTCTGGCACTCGCAGCGGAGAACATGCATACGCTGCCGAGCTTCGCTCAGCCCTCTGTCGTGCGGGCGGACATCTTCGACGACGGAGACATGGCAGGGCTCGTGCGCAACGGGCCATTCGACCTGCTCGTGTGCAACCCGCCATACATTCCCGCGCGCGATCACGCATCGCTCGACGCCAGCGTGCGCCTGTTCGAGGATCGGCTGGCCCTCATCGGCGAGCTTCCCGCGGGCGCTGGCGCTGACGCCGATGCGCCAGACGGACTGATCTTCTACAGGCGCATCGCCGCGCTTCTGGCCGAGGGCAGGCTGCTGCGTCGCCCGCACGCGCCGCGCCAATGTCCCAGCATCGTGCTGGAGGTGGGCAAGGGCCAAGCACCGGCGGTGCAGCTGCTCGTCGAGCCCTTCAGCGAGCGAGTGGAGATCTGGCGCGACGGCTTCGGCGTGGACCGCGTGGTCGCCAGCTGGCTGCGCTCCGACGAATCGGGCCGGTCGACGCCTGGGTGACATGTCTCAATTGCAGTGGCCTCAGACAGCAACTCCATCATCCAACCACCTCCTCGAGCTTCTCGGCCAAGGGCTGCGACTGCGCTGCCGGCAGCCTGTGTATCAAGGCGCTGCGGCACGGATCATAGGGCGTCAGCGACCGCAGCTCGTCTCGCAGCGCAGACGTGCTCACCTTAGCCGCGCACGGTCGGCCTTGTCGCTCGCGCACTTCTGTACGTAGCGCAGCGCCTCCTTCGTCTGTCCCGCAGCGACGAGGCGCGACACAAAGTCCGTGTAGCCGACCGGGCTCTTCTTGGACCCGGCAAACGTCCACAGGCCCTCCCAGTCTCGCGTAGCGATCAGCGCTGATATCCGGATGCTGTGGGCGCAAGCGCGTGTCAGTGCAGGCAAAGCATGCATGTGGCTGCGGACGCCTGCGCACCTCCAGTAGCGCTTGTCGGGCACCTTCCAGTCGCCGCGCAGCTTTTCGGCCTTCTTGACGTTGCCCCTGATGAAGCACTGGCGGATCGTCTCGTTGAGGCTCAGGCCGACCATGCCAGGCCGCCCGCCCTCCTCCTTCTCAAGAGCGGCCTGGAAACCCAGCAGGCGCACCTGCTCCTCGGTCATCTGCAACGCAGGAAGGTCTCAGCGCCATCAAGCGAAACGCGGCTAGCGCTAGACGTACCTTAGCCTCGAGACTCCGGTCAGTGTCCTCCGAGAAGAGGCGCTGCGCTTGCTTGATCTTGGCAATGCGATCTGTGAGCTCGACTTCTCGTGATGCCTCCTCCAGACTCAGCACGGCGCTCTCCGTGCGCCGGTCGTCCTGGTAGTAGAAGTCGCGCAGCAGCTCGCGGTCCTCCGCGCGTGCATACACCTCCAGCAGGTTTGCGGCGAGGTAGATGTGGCTGCCCGGTCGTGCCGCCCCTTCGCGCACGGACGCTGCCGTCGCCTCGATGGCCGGCGCCTGGACGATGCGGAAGAACTCGCCGCGCGACAGCTGCGACTTGAGGCGCAGAAGAACGTGGTACACTGATGCAGTCGTGATGAGCCTGTGTGCACGGGCAGTCGACTGCGGCCACGCTCACCGAGGTCAGTGTCTCCACTCTCAATCGCCTTGACGAGCGCAAGCTTGTCTTCGTGCATGTTGAGAAGCAGTGGCACTTGGTCGACCGCACGCGGCTCGTAGTCCAGCAGCTGCGGTGCCTCTGTGAGTGATGGAGATCATGTGTCGGCAGTTACGGCTGCTCACCTTGGTCGCAAGGCGCGTGCGTCCCTGATTCCACGCCGTGCGTGCGATCTCCGCGTAGCTGACGGCCGGCTGGCTCTCAAACTTGGCCACAATGGCCCGGCAGATGTCGTCGTCCGTCTGCGCGCTGACCTGCGCCGAGGTGTTGCCCGGCGGCGGCCGTGAGCGAGCGATCTTGGCGCGCGCCCAGTGCTTGAGGATCGCGTCAGGCCGGAGATTGAGGTGCTCGGACATGCGCAGGCACAAGAGGTGATGGTTGCGCGCTGTGAGGCGGGCGATGAGCTCTGCGGCACCGATGCGCTCGTACCTGGAGTGGACGGGTCAGCGCGAGTGCCGTCAAGTTGTGTCTTCATCTTACTCACTCCTCGAAGGTGATCGGCACGCCGATCTCGGCCTGCCGCGCCGCATTCAGCACGCGCAGGCTGCGGGCCATGTTGACGAACATCGTCGGGTCGTACGAGTCGATGAAGGCCTTGCCAAACGAAGCAGCCTAAGCGTGAAGACGGCATCAGCGCCACGCGCCGCAGTTGGCAGCACCGGCAGAACTCACCTTCAGCAGCTTGCGCTGCCAGGCGGGGTCCCACTCGTGACCTGCAGCCTCGATACAGGTGTCTACGGCGCTCGCGAGCTGGGCTTTGATCGCGCGAATGCCCTCGTCTGCCTTGGCACTGCGTTGCGCGAAGCACTCCGAGGCATCGAACAGCAGCGCCGCGGGGTCGGTGCTGCCAGGCCGGAAGACGGCGCTCGAGGCGTCGGGCACCTTCTGCAGGAACTCGTGCCGGTCGGCGCTCAGTATCCGCACGCCATCTAGCTCGGGCGCCAGCACCACGGAGCCGGCGTACGGGAAGCTGCAGCACTTGGGATGAGCAACAGAGGCCTCGCCCGGCGTCGATCGCCACTCACCGAAGCACGTCACCGAACGGCCCAAACATCAGCACCTCGGACTCGGAGCTCAGCACGACCGAATTGTCGCCGCACCACTCGACGGCCTCGACGCCAGTCCCACCAAGGCCGCGCCCGCGGTTCTCCTCGAATGCGTCCGCGTCTGCCACATCGAATTCGGACAGACTGCGCTGCAGGTCCGCGCTCACGACCCAGAGCTTGGCGTCGTAGGTCAACAGTGCCAGCAGCTTGCCGTTGGGGCTCGGCCGCACGGCGTGGAAGGGCCCGCGCGTCAGGCGCAGGTCGGTGCAGCCGCTGAGCGAGTCGATCGAAAGCAGCGTGCCGCCGCCGTCGCTTGCGGGCGAGACGAGAATCTCGAGCAGCCCAGAGGCAGACATGTGCGGCGGCCGGACCGCCCATGTGCTAGGCGGGCCGACGGGATGTGTCTCGCTTGTAGGTGCTGCACTCCCGTTCGCCGGCCGCATGCTTGGTCCCGGCCCCGAGATCACCGCAGGAGGCAGCAGAGTCGGAGCAGACACGACGGGCGGGCTCGACCAGCTGCTCTCTTCGACCTCGCGGCTGGGGAAGGACCACTCGACAAAGCGGTTGCCGCCGGTGAGCGCCACGAGGCCTTCGCTCCAGATGCGCGCGTCAAGCACGCCCGTGTCCGCCGCCTCGCTGCCCAGTGTGTACTGCACGTAGTAGCTCGTCGGGCCGGCCTCGACGGGCGTTGGCGCGTCCTTGTCGCTGCTGCCTTGCGGCGCCGACGCCGGGCACGGCGATAGGAATGTGTAGAGGCGCACTACACCTTCCTCCATCACCACGGCGAGGCGCTCCTGTGCGGTGAAGCCGAGCGCAACGATGCGGTTCGAGGCGTCCCACTGCGGCATCGTCTCTCAGCGTGTTGCAGAGGCGTCCATGATCGGCACAGACACTCACCGGCACGGCATCGAGCAGCACGCCGGCGGCGGTGAAGATCTGGATCTTGGGCTTGAGCAGCGCGGCGCGGCCGAGCGCCACGAGGCGTGCGGGGTCGCGCACGAGGGCGACGAGGCCGCTGTTCGGCGCGACGGCGACGAGGTGCTCGCCGAGGTTGTCGAGCGCCCACGGCAGCTCGTACACGTCCTGCCGGCGGTAGAAGACATCCTGCAGCGACGTCCACTCGAGCGTGGGGTGTGAGAGCGGCATGTGCGCGGGCACGCCCGTGCGGCAGGGCTGAGAAGGGTGGGACCGGAGGTGTCGTGGAGGTGAGCAGCGGTGCGAGGCGCGGCGTCTCGGGTCTCGGGCACGGCGCGGGTCCGTGCAGCAGCTGCGCCGCTCCGCCTCCGGCTGTGCTTACGCGCGCCGCCCGGCCTTGTCCTCTCACCTCACTCTCACCAACTCGGCCCGGCGTCGACGGCTCGCTCTTCGTATTGCTGCAAAAATCCTGCAATAGCTCCTCTGCATTGGATTTGCCACTCTCGAAGCGCCACAAGACCGAGGCCCGGGTGATGCGCGCGTGCTTGGTTCGTCAGCACTTCTTCACCTGCGTCTCCCGTCCTCCACTTTTTGCCCTTCAGCGCCCTCGCTCAGCCCGAGCTTCCTGGGTCAAATCACCGCGAGCACCTCAAGTATCTCTGTGTGCAGGCATGCCCCGCGCTTCATCCTCATCCGCTACGGCAGAAGGGCCATCGGTAGCATCCCTCTCTCCCAAGCCGTGCCATGTGAGACGGAGAGTGTGCACCTCCACTCTTCCACCACTGACCCGCCGCTCTGCCAGACGTGCGGCCGCGTGATCACGCCGCGAGCCAAGTGGGCGAAGAACTGGAGCGAGATCAAGCTCTGCTCCGACGGCTGCCGGTCTCAGCGTCCCGGCCGACGCACACGCTGGTCATGCGGACCCGAGGAGCCGCCGCTGGCAACTGCACTGGCGCGCAGCTCGGAGAGGAACGAAGAGGCGGAGACGTGCAGCACCGACGTCGAGTGCTGGACCGAGCTCGCCGTCCTCGCGGTGGCGCACGACGGCAACGGCGTCAAGGTCGCGCCCACGTGTGAGGACGTGGAGCGACGCCTGTTGGAGGAAGGCCGTCCGCACTGGCCCGCCGAGACCCAAGCTTCCGAGGGAGACGGCGGCGAGAAGGATCAGCCTAACGGCCATCCCCTCTACACGGCGCTGCATTCGGCGCCCGGGCTGCGTGAGCGTGTGCGCCGAGCCGCCCGCCGGCTCGTCATTCTTGCGCCGGAGCTGTGTGCCCACACGGCCGCCGCGCCGTTCGACTCGGCGCCGGCTGGGCGCGTCGAGCTCGTGCAGGGCTCCAAGACGCTGCAGACGCTCGACGACGTCAGCTTTGCCAAGGGGCCCATCGGGCTGCGCTGGGTGGCCGAAAGCCGGCCGAAGAATGCATCTCGATGAAGACGTGAAGGCGAAGTGGGCGCAGCGCCAGACCACAGAACGATCTGGCTCGCGCTCGGGCCGCCAGAGCCAGGGTCAGGGCGATCACACGACCTCAGCCGAGCGTATCCTCCCGGGGTCTAGCGGCCCTCAAGAGGCCCGAACGCACAAGTTGGGAGCGCTGATGAGCAGCTGCGAGCATGGCCCCGACGCCTTCGCCACCCCTGGGTGTGATGGTCGCGTCGATGGGCCCGCTGGAGCGAGCCGTGCGCCGGCCCTTGCCGGTGTGCTCCCGGGTGCCGTGAGCGGGAGCGGGCGGCGGCGCTGCCAAGGCGCGGCCCGTGGGAGCGAGGCGCGGGCGCCGGCACGCCGCGAGCCCCTCCGACGCGCTGCGTCACCGCGCCGGGCGTGCTCCGCGCGCCGCGAGGCGCAGCACGCAGCAGCCGAGATCGTCCCTTTGTCGGCGCGGCGCAACCGCTTCGCAGCGCAGCCTAGAGCACGCAGCGAGACGGCGAGGGCGGTGCGGTACCGAGCGGCTTCATCTGCCACCGGAAGCACCAGCACCGCTGCACGCTGGCGGCTGTACCTGCGTGTGAAGCATGTCTGCGCCGCCAGATGCAGACGGCAGATCTGCATCTGCGCTGCTGCATCGCCGGCCGAGGGCCGCGATCCTCGAGGCGGCCGCGGTGCTTGGCGCCTGCCCGCCGGCGCGCACCGCCTTCCCGCCGGCGCGACGGACGCTGGCAACGAAGCACGCCCGGCGGGCAGCTTGGCCACCGCCTCGAGCAACAGAGGCACGCTGGAGCACCCCGACGAGGCAGGCGTCTTCGTGCAATCGAATTGGCGCCCTCGACGGGGCAAGTGGCCCGGCAAACGCTGCTCTCTCTGACGGTGCTGCGGCGTGCTTGGCAGACCCGCGCGTCCCGGCCGCCGGTCGGGATCAGCTGCGCCGCCGCTTCGTCTCGCAGGCGCCGCCTGCTGATGCTGAGCGGGATCCACGTGCTGCATCTCTGGCACACGGCGGTGACCGCGAGCCGCAGCTCATCTCGTCTGGAGGGCCTCGCGATGCTGATGAGGAGATTCCCATCTGCGCCATGGGGTGCGCTCGCGCGTGCAGAGAAGGCCGCACGTCGTCTGAGGCTCGCTCGCGGCGACCGCACGCATCGTGATGATGAAGGAAAGCAGCGAGCGGGAGGGTGCTGCGTCTGCGTCTGGGGTGCACCCGGGCTGCTGCGTGCGTGCGGCTCGTGTTGCATGGCAGCGTTCAGACGCTGCAGGCGCATCCTTCGCTGCGCGGCCGCTGTCGCCGCGCCGTGTCGGGGCGCGAAAGCACGGCGCGGCGCGGCGAGGCCGTTGCTGGGGCTGATGGGGGGCTGGCGCTGCGCCTGCGCCGCGCGTGTGTCGCCGCGCGCGCGTCTCGGGGCGGCCGATCGACACACACATAGCATGTGCAGGTGCAGCGGCCCGCTCTGCGTCTCCTTTCACCACACCCCACCTGCTGCTCCATCCACAGCTCCTCACCTCGCCGCGCCTCCGAGTCGCACCAGGCTGTCGCCCTTGCCTCGCCTTGCACGAGCAGCCGCAGCAGCACGCCGCCGGACGTGCCTCGGCGAAAGCCTTGGAAGCAGCCCGCATTGCACACAGCACCGGTGAGTGCCAGGCGCTGCGCACCGCAGCTCGCCTCGGACAACAGCAGAAGACGCAGGCAGCACCAGGGGCGCTCGAGAGGAAGCTGGCGCTGGCGCGGCGTCGTCTTGGCCGCATCGGCTCGCCGGCGTCTAGATGCGGGAGCGTCAGGGGCTCCTCCCGTGTGGCGCTGCAGACACCAACACAGAGCGTGCCTCGGGCCTCTCGCGCGCCGCCGCCGGCTGAAATCGCGATAGACTTCGACTGCGGTGCAAGAGCTCGCCACGTCGCGTCTGCGTCCACTCCGCGAGAGGGTCAGCTTCCCGAAGCAATGCTGCACCGAGGACTGCCTCATGAGGTGCGCGAGGAGGCGTCCGCAGCCAGGGCTCAGCACCTAGCAGAGCGCGCCGTAGTGGCGCACTCTACTTTGACGGGCCAGGACAGCGGTGTGACATGCCGCGCGCGGCATCAGCTTGTGCCCTGACGGCACGAACGGCACAAGCAAGCCAAGATCGATTCCGGCCGCGATCCGCTCCATCGTCACTAACACCACCTCGCATCGCAGATCCCACCTGGCCGCGCTCGCGTCACCTCTTCTCGCGCGTAGTACTATCTGTCCGCGCACGTAGCCTCGCCTGGGACTGCCTGCCGCGCGCGGCAGACGTTCGAGAGGCTTCGTAGCTGCGCAACCAGCACAGTGAGTGTCTTGCGCTTCGGCGGCGCGCAGTGCCGCGACGATCGCCACGCTCCCGGCGCTCGCGGGGCGCTTTCCGCGTAGGTCACTGACATGAGACGACAGCAGAGCTAGCTTGAGAAGCGCTGCATCGCCATGGACGCACACACGCTCAATGCGTGGACGCGCTTCGCGCTGCAGAAGGGCGGCATTGGCAGCTGCACGGCCCTCATCGACAATCCGGCGACGGAGCCGGAGGATCTGATGTTCATGACGGGCGAGAAGATCGTCGTGCTGCGCCGCCTCGACGAAGAGGGCGGCGCAGAGGGCAGCGGTGCTGCGAAGCGCAAGAGCGGGCATGGAGACGCAGACACGTGGTTCCTGGTGAGTTGCACAGGCGTGGCGATGGAGAGGGCGTCGCAGCCTCGGGCTGTGCAGGCAGCACGCTCGACCTCCCCAGGCTGGCGCGTCCAGTCAGGCCCGCTGCTGACCGCTGCGTTGCTCCAGGGCTACTGCGAGGGCGTCGTCGGGCGCTTCAAGGGCGGCCATGTGCAGTTCCACGGCAAGCTCAAGAAGCCCGTGCTAATGCGCCGCAGCGGTGCTGGCAGCATTCGCGAGTCGAGCACGCGCCCGATGAGCAAGTCAGAAGCTGCGACACTGCATGCCTCGCAGGTGCCGCCGGGCATGCCCGTGTCAGCGGTCGACTCTGACGGCGAAGAGGCATCGAGCATGAGCCGCCTGACCGCGCGCACGTCCACGCTCAGCATGGACGGCAGCAGGAGGACGAGCGAGGGCGGCTCGGGCAGCTCGCACGCTCGTGCGCCGCCGGCCAAGGGGCCTTCAACCTCTCGGTGAGCGCCTCGTGAAGCATACTGGCGGCAGGACTTGCTGACCACGCCTGTCCAGCAGCAACGCACCGGCAGCCAGTGGCCTGGCCAGCGGCTCGACCTCGCGGGCGCGTGCATTCGGCGTCTCGACGCCGCCACTGTCTGACGAGACGCACGCGCGCAATCGCGCTGCCGGCGGATACACATCTGACCAGTCGGACGAGAGCGAGACGATGCTGCCCTGGGCGCGTGCCAGCAAAGACGGCGCCCCAAAGGCGCAGGAGAGCGCGCAGCACATCTACGAGCGGCCTGCTGCTCAGAGGCACAACGGCGTCAAGCAGCAGCTGGGCAGCCATCTGCCGCCATCTCCCATCTCATCGCAGGAGTCCCCTCTCACAAGCAGGCCGACAGAGCAGCAGCAGCGCATCATGGGCTCGGGAAAGACTCCGCCGCAGTCACGCGCAGGGCGCGGGCACCTCTCCACTGCTTCGTCTTTGGAGACCTCGGCCACGTCGGACTCGGGCGATGGCGACGACGAGGCGACGCGGCGCCGCGACCAGACGTTCAGCATCTACGACGTGTACGGGCGTGACTCTGTGGCGTTCCCCAACTTCAACTACACCGAAGCGAACGGCCGCCTCGGTGCTGGCATGCCGCGCGGCGAGAGCAACCGCTCGCTCCCGGCGAGCCGCTCTGTTGACTCGCTCGCGCCCGGCGGCGGCAGCGACGCGCGCTCGAATTCTACGACGCCAGAGCCGCGCACGCCGGTCGACCGTCATCCGCAGCTGCTGCCGGACCCGTCTCAGGCAAGCGCACAGTCGCTGGCCCTGCGCTCGCCCTCTGGCCGGCGGCCGAGTGCCGCGCCAGATCCGCGCGCGAACCCCGGCCCGGGCGGCAACAACATGGCAAGCAGCATTCGGCGCAAGGTCGAGGCGAACGCCGCGTCGAGCAACACTCCGCCGCTGATGGCTTCGCCGCCGCGAGCGGGCGTCTCTCCGGTCAACCCGCGCAGCGCGCCGCCGGGTGTTGCGGCCTTCGATCCAGCTCGGCGACCCTCGGGAGGCGCCATGCCACCGCCTGGTGCGCGACAGAACGGTCCTCGCGGCGGCCCTCAGGAGATGATGACTCGCAACCACTCGTTCGACGCAACGAGCCCTGCACACGCCGGCGGGCCGATGTCGCCGCCGCTTGGCTACCGCGCTGACGCCTTCGCGGCGCCGCGCTCCGTCAGCGGTGCGCCGCAGACAGGCTCAGGTCCGCCGGGCGCCGCACCGGGTGGGCCGCAGCCGCGCCTGCAGATGCCTGCGAGCTACAGCGACAACCGCAGGCGCTCGCAGTCCGTGTCCAACATCGACGTGGCCGCAGCCCAGGGCCTCGTCGGTCCTCCTGGGCCTGCATCCGGCCGCAGCACTGGCTCGAGATCTCCGTATGACGTCTCGCCCGGGGGCGAGCCGCCGCAAGGGATGCGCCAGAGCCCGTCATTTGGGCCCGTGCGCTCCTCGTCCGACCGCTCCAGCGTGCGTGAGCGCGTGGGCAGCGGCCTGCTGAAGAAGAATCCGAGCAACCCCGGGCCGGGCACGCATGGCGGCATGCCGCTGGGCATGAGCAGCCTGGCGCCCGGCCTGCTCGGCGCTCCCGGTCCCTCGCGCAGCCCGAGCCCGCTCTCGATCAACTCGGCCAACAGCGGCGGCAGTGCCCGCTCGCCCGTCGGTGAACGACCGCAGCTCTCGCCGATGTCGGCTGGACCTCCTGTTGACGATGGGCGGCCCGTTGCGTACGACGCGCTGGGCTTCGTCATGACGCCTGACGCGCCGGGCGCCATCATCCCGCGCGACGACCCGGAGGCCGTCAAGGAGTGGCAGAAGCTGCTTGCCGAGAACGACGTCGCGGCGGCGAAGAAGAGCCGCAAGGTCAAGAAGATGATCCAGGCGGGCGTGCCGCATTCGCAGCGCGCCAAGGTGTGGCTCTTTCTCGCGAACAGCTACCACCGGCGCCGCGCGGGCCTCTTCGAGCAGCTGTGCAAGCAGAGCCGCGACAAGAAGCTGATGAAGGGCAAGGAGGCGCTGTACGAGGCCATCGAGAAGGACATCGACCGCAGCTACCCGGACCACAAGCTTTTCCGCGGCGAGGGCAGCACCGGCCGTGCCGATCTCGAGGCGATCCTCAAGGCCTACGTGCACTACAGTGAGTCGCGCCGCTCATTGCCCGCAGCGCAGCGCCCTGACTCCTGCCGCCCAGACCCCATCATCGGCTACACGCAGGGCATGAATCTCATCGCCGGCTTCATGCTGATCCTCATGCCCGCCGAGGACGCCTTCTGGCTGCTGTGCGCCATGCTGCGCGACGTGCACATGGAGGGCTACTACTCGAACAACCTGAAGCAGCTGCACGTCGACGGCATCGTGTTTGGGCAGCTGCTGCAGTCCATGGACGCGCCGCTCGCCGAGCGCCTCATGGACCTCGACATCGAGCCCATCTCCTTTACGCCCAACTGGTTCCTCCCGTGAGTGCCGTGCACATGCGTACTGCCCCTGCTTGCCAACGCTCACGCCGATCCTCCCTCCAGGCTCTTCTGCCGCATCCTGCCGTGGGGCACGACGCTGCGCGTGTGGGACGTCTTCTTCTTTGAGGGCCCGCCGTTCATCCTGCGCACGGCGCTGGCGATTGTGCGCATCGTGCGCGACTCGCTGATGGATGCACGCGCCGTGCCCGGCCACGGCGAGGCGCTGCAGCTGCTGCTGCACCCGGGCCCGCACTCGCAGCTCTCGGTGCAGCACGTCATTGAATGGTGAGCCGTGATGGCGCGGCGCAGCGGCCTGTCCACAGCACTGACTCTCGGCCCCTCCGCAGCGCCCTCTCGGTCAAGCTCAAGGAAGGCTCGCTGCGCTCGCTCTCGCGCAATGCGTCGAAGCTCGTGCGCCAGGCCGGCATTGGGCGCGGGCGCGGGCCCGGCGCCGCACCTGGCACGCTGGCGGGCGCGAGCGCGTCCGTGAGCCGGCCGACGACGCCGTCGAGCATGGCGCCGACGCAGCGCTCCGCCTCGTCGGCTGCGCGACGATAGCACACCCCCGTCCCTCTTCCCCCATGCACTGCACCGCCGCGCCTCTCGCACACATACCCCCGCCTGTGACCCGGGCCGCCAAATGCATGATGCTCGTCTGCCATCCGATGTGACACGCGTGGGAACAGAGACGTGTGTCACGTGCACGTGGCCGCCCTGCGCACGCTGCGGCTGCGGCGCCGCGCGGCACAGAGAGCTGCAGCGCCGCCGCTGGAGGAGAACGAACGACGCGCGTGCGACTCCCCTGCCGTGCAGCAGCTGTCGTCGACGGCGGCGCCGCGCGCGACCTTCGCACTGGCGCGCCGTCTCCAGCCTCCCGCCTCCCACCCATCCCGTCCCGTCGCACCCCACGCCTCAAGGTGATTAGTCCTGCCCGCAGCCGCATTCCGCTCCGCCGCCGGCGTCGTCGACTGCTGCAGCCGTCGTGCTGCACCTGCGTTCCGGGCTGCCGCAGCGCACCGTGCGGCCTGGCAGCGCTTCTGCCCTCTTGCGGCGGCCTCGACGCGCTCCGAGCGCTGCGTGCGCTGCCACACGCGCCCGGCCGGCGATGTGCTGCCGCTTGGAGGCGATACGTCGAGAGACACGTCCAGCCGAACAGAGCGCAGCACGCCCGCATGTTGGCATGGCGGCGGCTGAGGAAGTCCGCGCTCGGCCCCTCGGCGACCATGCTGCGGCGTCGCCTGTGCAATGGCTCGAGGATGCGCGATGCACTGCGATGGCTGCTTGCGCAACATCGGACGCACAGACGGCTTGCGTAGCTACTGCGCTGCAACTCGCGCAGGCACTGCAGGCATGCTGCCAAACGGGGTGCCCGAGCGGCGAGCTCGCGCAGGCGGCGGTGCTTGCCGCAGCGACTTGCGCCAGACGTGTGCCGATGCAGACGTCGCAGAGCGGTACCGGCGAGACTGCGCGGGGCTGGCACGCCATGCTCCTCTCGCACACGCATGCTGACGCACGCACCCTGCAGACATCATGGCCTCTGTCAGCGCCAAGATCTTCCGCACCGCCAACGCCCCGACGGGTGCGCCGTCTGAGATTGAGACGACCGTTGCTCAGGCTCTGCTTGACCTCGAGGCCAACGTGCCCGAGCTCAAGGCCGAGCTGCGGCCGCTGCAGTTCAGCGCCGCGCGCGAGGTCGACGTGAAGGGCGGCAAGAAGGCCATTGTGGTCTTCGTGCCCGTGCCGCAGCTGAAGGCTTACCACAAGATCCAGCAGCGGTGAGTGGTGCAGCAGAGCAGGAGAGCGCTAGAGGTTGCAGTGCAGGGCGGACAGGTGGAGCATGCGCAGCGGCCGTCGGGACCAGGCAGCTGGGCACCATGCTGTGCGGCGACTCATGCTCACACCTGGCGCCGCAGGCTCACGCGCGAGCTCGAGAAGAAGTTCTCGGACCGCCACGTGCTGTTCATCGCCCAGCGCCGCATCCTCGGCAAGCCGAGCCGCCGCTCGCGCGTGCAGCAGCCGCGCCCGCGCTCGCGCACCCTCACGGCCGTGCACGACTCGATTCTCGAGGACCTCGTGTTCCCCACCGAGATCACCGGCAAGCGCGTGCGCGTCGCCACCGACGGCAGCAAGCTCGTCAAGTGCTTCCTTGACTCCAAGGACGCCACGAGCCTCGAGTACAAGCTCGACAGCTTCTCGTCCGTGTACCGCAAGCTCACGGGCAAGGACGTCACGTTCATGTTCAAGGTGAGTAGTGTAAAGAGAGCAGAGGGAGAAGCGGAGCGGACGGCAGAGTGGCAGGAGAGATAAGCCGGACTGCATCAGGGCCGGCCATGATGGAGACCGCTCGTCCTGACACCCTGCTCGCTCAGGACGCCGACGGAATCTAATCGCGCTCTTCCGTCATTCATTCCGTTGTTCCGCTCGCCTTTCATTGCCCATGATCCCGGGCGCACACGTGCTCGCCTCGAGGGCCGTGTGCAGCCTCTGGCGCGCCGTGCGTCGCTATGCCAAGCCACTCCACGCACACCACACACACACACATCTCTCCCACCACATCCCTCTGTACACAAAACCCTCGCAGCACTGAGAGGGGGCCTTGATGCCGAATACGCAGTCACTCGCAGATCCGGACGTCGTGCTGATCTATGGTTGCGCCGGATACGGGACAGGAGGTATGTGCACGGCGACAAGCGATCGGAAGCGGGGACTGGAGCAATGGTAGAGCAGAGGTGCAGGCAGAATGTGGCCGCTGCATCTACTTCTTCGCCGCCGGCTTGTCCTTGGCGTCGCCGGTGAGCCACTTGTGCCCGTGGCCCATGACGAGGTCCGAGCCCATCGTCACGAGCTTCGTGGCGCCGCTCGCGTCGGCCGCCTGCTTGGCGCGCTCCGTCCAGTGCGGCTTTGTCACGCTCTCGGCGCCGACGACCTTCATGGGCGCCGACGAGGAGGCAGCAGCGCTCTCGCTGCCAGCGGCAGGCGTGATGGTCTTCTGCTCGGTCGGCAGCGGCGGTGCCGGCGAGCTGCGACCCGAGGCCTGCGGCGAGGGCTGCTTGGACGCGGCTGGCGAGTTCTTGTACGGCGTTGCGATGCTCGGCGCGCCCGACGTGCTGGCGTCCGAAGGCGCAAGGTGGCCCATCTTTGCCGTCTCGCTCTTGACGTACGGCACCTGCTGGTCGGCATGCTCAAAGAGCCAGCGGATCGCCGCCTCGATGGTGCCCTCGCGCTCGGCACGCGCCACCTCGGCGGCCTCTGACGAGCCGACGGCCTCGGACGGGCGCGCGTCTGGGGTGCCGACGGCCTGCAGCGCCGCGCTGACCTGCTCGGCGCTGAAGCCCATGTCCGTGAGCACGGCCTCGACGCTCGGCGGGTGCTGCGGGTCGTCGTCCGGCGGCGGCATCGGACTGGCGGCGACCGCGGCGCGTTCGTCGGCAGACAGCGGTGTCTCGTCGTCGCTCATCGACTGGCGCAGCTCGCGCACATCCTTTGGCAGCGGCGGCGACGTCGCCGCGGGCGTCGAGCTGCCGGCGAGCGATGCGCGCGACACGGACGCCGAGAGGGCGCCCATCTGCTCGGCGCGGTCGGCGCGAGCCTTGCGCATGCGCGCGTACAGCGACTCGCCCGACTGGTTGCGCCGCATCTCGGGCACCTCCGGCGGCGCGCCGGCCTTGTGGAAGTCCGGACCCGGCGGGAACGGCGAAGACGTGCGCGAGACGGGCGACGAGACGTCGGAGGAGCGCGGGCTGAGCGGCGGCGACACCACGCGGTCAGCCGAGACCTTGCTGTGCAGCGAGGCCGGGCGGTGCGACGCCGTCTCGCTGGTCTCGTCTGCCGAAGCGCCCGTGGCGGCAGCTGCTGCCTCCTTGTTCTTGCCCTTGCCGCTCGCGCGGCCGAAGCTGAGCCACTTCTTGAGCCCCTCGCCGGCGGAGTGCGTGTCATCGCCGAGCTCATTGCCGCCCGACGCGAGCTCGCCGTCCTTGACCTCCGGCTCGTCGGCGACGACCTCGAACGGCTGCAGCGTATCCGTCTCGATGACGAGCACGCCGTCGAGCTCGGTTGCGCGCGGTCCGCCGCGGATGCGCAGCGTGCGGTCGCGCGACATGTACCAGCCCGGCGAGCTGTGCGCCAGAGGAGTGAGCAGAGGGGAACATGGGAGGACGTGCTGGAACGCACCTGACGACGCTGCCCTCGAGCAGGTTCTTAAGTGTCTTCTTGGCTTCCTTCACGCGCTTGTTCTCGTTCCAGTCAAGCAGGCCGCCGAGGATGCCCTTGGCGCTGCCATCGCCCACCTTGCTCGTCACCTCGGTGTGGCCCTGCGGCGCCTCGCCGGCCTCGCCCTTGCCCGCCAGCGCCTTGCCGGCGAGCGCGCCGCCGCCGATGCCGAGCACCTGGCCGATCTGCACCACACGCTGGCCCTTGCGTGCGTACTTGTACAGCCGCCGCGCCGTGGGCGCCTGAGCCGCCGCCGTTGCGCCGACGCGCGCCGAGATGGCCGCCACGGCCGCCGACATGCCGCCCGCCGCCGACGCCGCGCCGGCGACGTAGATGGCGCCAGCGCCGAGCGAGAGCGCCGTCAGCGTCACGGCCACCGGCGCAGCGAAGGTGTCGATCTTGGTGTAGCCGTTGCCGTCGCCGCGGTCGACTGCGGCGGTAGGTCAGCCACTGCTGCGCCAGTGTATGATGCGCTGTCGCAATGCTCCTGCTGCCAGAGCAGGACAGCGCTGCAGATGTATGCCGCATCTCCTTGCTTGGCCCTTCCATCTGCACGCTCATCCACGCCGCATCTCCCTCCCCCAGCCCGCTGCGCGCACTCACCGCGGGCCTCGACTGTGAACCAGACGCGGCCGCAGTTGAGCTGCGCGCTCTCGCCGGCGCGCACGCTGTTGGCATAGTGCAGCGGCGAGATGTGGCGCAGCGAGAGGTGCAGCGGCAGCTGTGTCTCGTTGACGAGCGTGATGCCTGTGTGGCCGGGTGAGTGTGTGCGCAGCGTGAGCGGCGAGTGGGCGACGCACGCGGCATGCTGGGCGGTGCGTGGAGGTCTTGCGACGCAGCTGCGCTGGAGACAAGACGGCGAACGTGCGGCCTGCAAAGGGCAGAGACAGGAGCGAGCTTGACGGCGGTGCGAGGCGTGGACAGGAAGGAAGCGCGAGGCGGCGTGGAGTGGAGGAGATGGCCGAGCGGCGAGCGCGCGGCGGCGGTGCTGCGCTGGTCTGGGCCCGCGTCCGCGTCCGCGCCCGTGCCGCGCTCGCCGAGCGCCGGGCAGCCGCTCAGCCACAGCGGCGCCGCGATAGCAGAGCCGCCGGCACCGGCACCCTCTAGCCTCCGCACCGTTCACACGACATGGCATCAAGAGGCTGCGTCGCAGAGCATTCACAGACGTCTCTGGGCGCATCGTCCAGGCAGATGCTGCATTCCAGGCAGGGTATCACACCAGCGCGCACACGCCTCACAGCCACACCGTCTCGCCGTGGTCGAGCGCTGCGAACGCCCCGCCGTCGGCCTCGCTGCGGCTGCCAAGCCACGCCTGCGTCTGGGCGGCGCCGCGGCAGAAGCGCACGCCGCCGGTGCCCGTGGCGTCGCACGCCTCGCGCAGCTGCCGCATCGACGCCTCGGCCTCGGCGGCGTCGGCGACAAACGTGCCCCAGTGCACCGCCAGCGCCAGCGGCGCCCGGGGCGCGCGCACGGCCGGCGGCGTCGCGTCGAGCGCCTGCCAGTCGTCGGGCACGCCGGCCTCGTCGGCCGCCTCGTCGGCCTCGCCGTGCTGCGCGTCCGTCATGATGCGCATGGCGCGCACGGCATCGCGGGGCCCCATGTGGTTGGCGCCCGTGAGGCCGTCGCTGATGCTGGGAAAGAGCTTCAGCGCCACGGGCAGCGGCGGCTCGTAGCTCTTGAGAAAGGAGAGCGTGGCGCCGACGCTGATGGGCAGCAGCAGCAGGTCCGGCACGCCGAGGCGCCGCCGCACCTGCGCAAAGAGCGGGCAGATCGGGTACGCGGCGCGCGACGGCGGCAGCAGCGGCGTCGCGGCCGACGAGAGCGCGGCGTTGGCCTCCTCCTCCTCGCGCGCGCCGTGGAACTGGAAGCCCGTGTCGCCGCCGAAGAAGGCGGAGAAGCGCTGGGACGCAGCAGGCGGCGCAGGCCGCGGCACGTGCTGCATGTACCAGCTGCTCCACAGCGAGACGCCCGAGTCGAGTCCGCACCGCCCTGCCACAGCTATGTCAACAGACCATCTCGTCGGCTCGCGAAGTCGACTGACCTGAGCCATGCTGTGCCGGCGTGCACACAATGCGCAGATACGGCGCATCTGCGTCGTCCTTGTCCGCGTCTGGTGCATACAGCCGCACCTCGTCCCACCAGTCCATCTCCGTGACACGCTCCTCAGGGATGCCGAGGCCCAGCTCGCCGAACCAGGCGCGCAGGCCGAGCGGCACAAAGAAGCGCAGGTGCTCCGCGTTGGCCGTCCACAGCGCGCTCAGCGACGCCACGTCGAGGTGGTCGTAGTGCGAGTGGCTGATCAGGCAGCCGTGCACGGGCGGCAGTGCGGCGGGCGCACATGGCGCCGGATAGCTGCGCAGCGGGCCGAAGTACTGCGACGGCGAGCAGCTGAGCGCAGCGGGCGTCAGTGCGGTAGCAGCGGGCAGCGGCGAGAACGCGGAGCTGCGACGTGCGCGCAGCTCGCGGCAGTGCGGCCAGCGCCAGGGTGCCGCAGCGCGCATGCTCTTGCCCCTTCGTCCCGCGCACGCCGCGCCGTCGGCACACTCACCGGTCGCTGAAGATCGGATCGCACACCAGCCGCACACAGTCGTCCTCACCAGCGTCGGCCGCACCACTGCGCAACGACGGCAGCTGCAGCAGCACGCCGGCGTGGCCGAGCCAGGTGGCGCCAACGCGCCGCTTCTGCGTCGCCGGGGCGTGGAAGTCGGGCGCGAGCACGCGCAGCGGCGCCAGCTCTGCCGCGGCCTGCTTGTCATCGTCGGCGGCTGCCGCATGCAGCTGCTCCTCTGCGTCGCCTGGAGCCGCGCTGCTGCTCTGCGTCTCGTCGGCGCGCCACGAGAGGCCGTCCCAGATCTCGCGCAGCGTCGGCGTGTGCCAGCTGGGCCACGGGTTGCGGAAGCCGGTGCGCACAAGGGTGCCGCCGCCGCCGCCGCCGCCGCCGCCGCCGCCGCCGCTGCCGCTGCTACTGCTGCTGCCCTCGCTTGCCCCCTCTTGTGCAATGGATGGGCCTGGAGTTGCGACGGGCACGGGCCGCCAGTGCGGCAGCAGTGCCGAGCGCGAGAGGACGTGGTGCGCGGGCGGCACAGCGTGCTGCTGCGCGTGCAGCGTGAGCGCGAGGGGCTGCATGGCGCAGGAGGAAACAGCCGCGACTGAGCTGACGAAGAGGCGGCGGTGGTGGTGGAAGGAAGGAGGGAGGGGTGGCTCGGAGGCGCATCGCCGGCGCACGGGCTCGCGCCTCGGGACTCGGCCTCCGTGCGCCGCGATAGGGCCTCCGTGCGCCGCGATAGGGCCGCCGATGCGCACCCCTCAAAGCCCTCCGCCTTCGCCAACTCACGCTCGAGCAGAGTGGAGGTCATCTCATTCGAGCTGGTGCGCATTCAGGAGGCATGCGCAGAGGTATAGACGGGATGCACACGACGCACGGGCCAAGCACGCTCAGGCTGAGTGCTCCGCCTCGTACTCCTGCTCGAGCCACTGCTTCCACGTCTTGAGCTCCGGGTTCTTCTGGCGCAGCGCCGCGATGTCGGCCGCGTAACCCGTCTGTGGAGCGAGACGTCAGCACCTGCACGCCACACTCGCACCACCAGCACGCACCTCGTTGAAGAAGCGGATCATCTCGCGCATCTCCTTGACGCCCTTGGCCAGCGCCCAGCCGAGGAAGCCGAAGCTCATCGGCGCGCCGCGGTGCTTGACGTCCTTGAACTGCTCCTGCAGCTGCTCCATCGTGAGCTCGTCGCCGGCAATCTCGAGGCCGTCGTACTCCTGCGGCGCCTGCAGCGCCAGGCGCACAAAGCCGCCGATGTCGGAGCTGCGTGGGAGGTGTCAGAGAGCGAAAGGGTGCAATCTGCCTGCGCGAAGCATGCACTGCACTTGCGCGCGCCAGAGCATATGCAGCACTACTCACCAGGCAATGAGCTGCAGCGGCTTGTGCACGCTGCCGGCGAAGGCGCTCAGCGAGAGGCGGCCCATGAAGCCCTGGTCCTGGGCGAAGTTGTCGTAGAAGGCGGCGGGGCGCAGCACGGTGACCTTCCAGTCGGCGTGGCTCTTGCGCAGCTCGTCGATGTGCGCCTCGATGCGCATCTTGCTCTCAAAGTGCGGCACGCGCTCGGCGCTGGCGCGCGCCTCGGGCGAGCCGGAGCCCATGCCGACGGACGAGTAGACGAGGTGCAGGCCGCGCTCGGCGGCGGCGTCGGCGATGGCCTTGCCCTGCGCCACCTCGCCCTCGAGGCCCTTCTCGGGGTTGTCGAACGACTTCTGCACGCTGTGTGGATGGATGTGTCAGCGATGCAGCGGCGAGACGCACACAGCGCGGCATAAGCGAGGCGGGAGAACGGCGACAGATGGCACATCGCACACAGCTCGCATGCCGCACAACACACAGCTCCGCCGCCCCGCGCGCATCACACAGCATCGCACTGCGCCACGACACAGTACAGCACACTCACGAGAAGACGGCGTCGCCCGTGGTGAGGCCGAGCTGCGCGGCCTTGTCGAACACCTGCGCCACGTCGTACGGCGCCTCGACGAGCTGCACGCCGGGCAGCTTGGCGAGCGCCTTTGCGGCGCCCGACTTGGCCGAGCGCGTCTGCGCCAGCACTGTGTAGCCGCCGGCGGCGGAGAGCGCCGAGACGACGCCGCGGCCCTGCTTGCCGGTGGCGAGGAAGACGAGGACGCGCTGGGGAGACTGCGACATGTTGGGTTGTGTGTTGGATGTGCGGTGGTTGAGGACGTGGTGGAGAAGGAGGGAAAGAGCGGGCACGGTGCCGCTTATGAAGCTTCGCGCGCGAAACGCCGAGCACGTTGCTCCGCCATGCGCGCGTTGCCGTCTCCTCCACCAAGCTTGCGCTCGACCGCAGCAGACACTCAGCACGCCCGCAGCGCCGCGCCGCTTGCGCCCGTAAGCAGACCAGCTGCCGGAGGGTCGTCCCGTCGCTCACAGTCATGCGCATGCTTCCATCGTGCTGCGGGCGTGCGATGCCGCGACGAGGCCTCGACAGGAGCATGGCGTAAGTCCGGCGAGTGGCCGGGATCGGCCGGCGTTAACGCGTCATCGGCGCGCCACAGCTTGGCGGCGCGCATGGCGATGGGCAGGAAGGCCGAGTGCCGGCCGCTGCCAGCTTTTGGGCCTCTTCACGTGACACCACCACCACCTTGCCCCCTCTCCCCGCACCATGTCCGAGCCCGCCATCGACCGCACGCTGCACCCGCTGCCCGCGCCCGCCATGAGCGACGCCGACGCCGCCGTGCTGCAGCAGAACCGGCGCGTCGCGAGCGCATTCATGGTGGCGCGCTGCGAGCGCGAGGCGGCGCGCAACTGGGACCGCTTCTACACCAACAACCGCGGTGCGCAGCGGGCGCGATCAGGGCAAGCATGGCGCAGCACTGACGCTGATGCTGCGCGCAGACAAGTTCTTCCGGCCGAAGAATTGGACGGACCGCGAGTTCGAGCAGCTGCGCGCGTCAGGCAGCGATGCCGCAGGGCCATCCACGCCGGCAGCCGCACCAGCAGGGGCCAAGCAGGACGGCGCCGACGAGACGGCAGCAGCCGAGGCGCAGCTCGACGAGGCAGCAGGGGCATCGGATGAGAATACAGTGCTGCTGGAGGTGAGCACAGCGGTATGGGCAGCGCGAGGCAGCGCTGATCAGGCTGTGCTGTCCCGCAGGTGGGCTGCGGGCCGGGGGCAATGCTGTTCCCAGTGAGTGCCGGGACTGAGAGAGCACAGACATGCAGAATTGCCAACCCCTCCTTGCCCTCTAGGCCCTGCGCAAGCGCCCGAAGATGCGAGCCCATGCCTGCGACTTCTCCAGCAAGGCCATCGAGCTCGTGCTGGTGCGTGCGCCGTGCCTGCTGCCGTGCTGCTCCGCTCACCCCAGCGCAGGAGCACCCGACATACGACCCAGCACGCATGCATGCCTTCGTCGCCGACCTCACGAGCTACCCGCTAGCGTCGACGCTGGCAGCGCACCCCTTCGGACGGCCGACCGTCGTCTCGCTCATCTTCGTCCTCTCGGCCATCCCGCCACGGCAGCACGCGCACGTCATGCAGGAGCTGGCGCGCTGCCTGCCGCTCGGCGGCAGCCTCATCTTCCGCGACTTTGCGCACGGCGACCTCAGCCAGCTGCGCTACCACATGCGCAAGGACAAGACGTGGGAGGAGCCGAGCCTGCTGCGCGACGAGGAGGGCGACATGGCGGCGCTGTACCGGCGAGGTGCGTGCAACGCCTGCTGTCACGTCAGGAAGGGCGCGGTTGTCACGGCGGAGAGCGGTGCTGTCATGGCGTGGGGGACGTGGCTGCTGGGTTGTGGAAGACATTGCTGCTGCTTTGTGAGAGGAGCTGCTGCCAGGGCCGTGCTGACCTCTCCACCAGGCGACAACACCTTCACCACATACTTCCGTGCCCACGACCTCGGTCAGTGACTCTGCGCCGCGCACACCCTTACACTGCACTGACTCGCCCCCTGCAGCCCGCCTGGCGGAGCTGGCGGGCCTCGAGGGCAGCATCGAGGCGGTGCACCAGGAGGGCTTCAACCGCAAGACGGGACAGAAGCTGCCGCGGCGCTTCCTGCAGGCCAACTGGCGCAAGGTGCGCGAGCTGCCCGAGGAGCCGCAGCCTGCCGCAGAGGGCGCCGAGGGGCAGGGCACATAGCAATGCAGATGCCTGTGCCTACTGTTCCGCTCTGCAGGAGCTGTGCTGAGGGATGCCATCCATGACCCGGGGCTGTGAGGCGGGCGCATGGCCAGAGCCGCTGAGGCAGAGGCAGGTCACGGTGAGGGGTTGGGCGCGGAGCAGCCCCTCCACTCTGACTTCAGCGCGCGTCCGTGCACGCTGCCGCGCGTCCATTCCTTCCTGCCTCCCAACCAGCTGCTCCTTGCGCCCCTCGTGTCTAGCATACCCACTCTGCACACCTGCTGCCACCTAGTCTGGCCGACACTCCGTCCGCTGCAGCAATGCCGTCGCCCCCCTCGTCCGCCGCTGGCAGCGCCGTCGTGGCGCTCGCGCAGATCCCGCGCCTAGCGGCCGTGCTGCGTGGCGCCCGTGCCCGCTCGCCGGCGTCCGACGCCGCCGAGGGCAGCCAGGGCAAGGCAGCCAAGTTCGCGTGTGCAGACCGAGTCGGCCTGCTGCAGGCGTGAGTGCTGCGTGGCAGGTGTGGTGGCGAACAGCTCGGTGCCGCCCCCAGCGCGCCAGTGGGGCATGGCTGACGCCCTCTGCGTCTGGCAGCGACATTACCACTCGTGAGCCAAAGTGCTTGCAGTGCCCCTGCAGCCTCACTGACACGCAGTCCAGTGCGTGTCGATGCCATCGTGAACGCCGCGAACCGCTCGCTGCTCGGCGGTGGAGGAGGTGCGTCGTGGCTGTCGGCCAGGAGCTCTTGTCACACACGCAGCTCACCTTGCCCGCTCAGTGGACGGAGCGATCCACCGCGCCGCGGGAAAGGAGCTGCTTGAGGCCTGCCGCGAGCTCGACGGCTGCGATACGGGCGACGCCAAGACGACGGGCGCGTTCAAGCTGCCAAGCAAGCACATTGTGCACACCGTCGGGCCGGTCTGTGAGTGTCGGCGACGTGCGCTTGGCCCGCTGCTTCCATGCTGAATCGACCCACAGACAGCAAGACGAAGCCGGAGCAGAGCGAGGCACAGCTGCGCTCGGCGTATCGCCGCTCCCTCGAGGAGGCAGCGGCCGTGGGCGCGCGGAGCGTGGTGCGTTGGCCGTCAGAGCGGTTCCTGACTGCATGCTCACCTCTCTCCACGACTCCAGGCTTTCCCGAGCATCAGCACGGGCGTGTACGGCTACCCCATCGAGGACGCCACGCGCGTGGCGCTGCGCGTCGTCGGCGAGTGGCTGACTGCTTCTGAGGGCGCGGAGGTGCGTCACTCCTTGCTCTGACTGCTGCAAAGCGTCGCTGCTGACTGGCCCTGTGTCACGGCAGACGGAGCTCGTCGTGTTCTGCACGTTCAGCAAGAAGGACAGAGACGTGTACGAGCGCCTGGCGCCCGAGTACTTCGAGGCCGGCGAGGAGGCAGAAGAGCAAGCCGACGGTGCTGCGCCGGCGGAGCAGGAGGCAGAGGCAGGCGCGACCGCTGCACCGACGGAGCAGGAGACAGAGGCAGACGACGCTGCGGCGTCTAAGGCGCAGGAGGCATCGGCGCCGCCCGAGAAGGTGGAGCTCGACGAGGGCGTCACGACTCGTGCTCAGGCCAAGACGGTGGCCGAGCGCCGCAGCGCCAGCCCGCAGCAGGAGCGTGCCGCGACGAGGGACTAGGGCGGCGATGGGACTAGGTCAATGGCATCGCTGTCACCATGAGTCTGGCTTGCTGAAGCATCATGCATCGAAGTGTGAGAGGCGACCTGCTCTCGCCGGCCGGGTGCTCCTTCGCGGCGCGAAACGCGGGTCCAACAGGCGTGACGGGCGTGGGAGCAGGTGGAGCAACGCGTGCGGGCTGCAACACGCGCGCTTCCCCCGGCTGCGACGCTTGTCTCCGCACCACAAGCATCTCCGGCCACCTCCTCAACCACACACACTCGCACGCGGACGCCGTCGGCACAGACTCGCGCTGCACCGCTCTCACGGCCCTCGTCGCCTGGCAGCTCGAGCACGCCAGCCAGGCCGGCCGCTCGGCCCCCTCCTTTGTCCGCCTATCGCGACTGGCCGGCGCATCGCCGTCCCGCACGCCAGCCCGCCATGCTCGGCCTGGCGCAGCTGCCGACGGAGCTGCAGCTCGAGGTTGTGGCGCACGCTGCCGCCGCCGACCGGCAGCAGGCGCTGCTGCTGACGCGCGTCTCGCGGCGCGTGCGGCGGGCCGCGCTGCCGGCGCTCTATGGGCGCGTGCACCTCGTGCACGGCGACGGCGTGGCGCTCTTCCTGCGCTCGCTCGCGGGCAACGCCAGCCTCGAGCCGCTGGTACGCGAGCTCGCGCTCGAGGACCGCTCGCGCGGCGGCCTGGCCTCGTGGAGCGACGCGCCGGCGCCCGACGTGCTGGAGCGCGGCACCGTCGAGGAGCGCAAGCAGTGCGCCGCCTGGCTCGCCTTTGCCGCGCTGCTGCGCCGTCTGGCAGCGCGCGGGCAGCTGCGCTCGCTAGCGCTCTCCAGCACAGCGCTCGTGCGTCTGCTGACGACGTTCCCTGAGGCACCGAGCCCGGCCTCGGTGCTCTCGGCCGAGGTGGCCTCGCCCTGCCCGCTGCAGCACCTGGCGCTCTCCGGCGCAGACGCGGTGCAGCCGCAGGTCCTGCGGCTCTTCGCGCCCGAGGCGCTCACCATCTATGGCTGCCACTGCGTGTGGAGCCAGCCGGCAGCATGGCAGAGCCTGCTTGCCGCCGCTGGTGCAGCAGACGGACCTGGCTCCACGCGAGGACCGACGGCAGTGCAGCTCGTGCTCAGCACGCTGCCCGCGCTCGACTTCTTCCTGCCGGCGCTGCTGTCCATCACGCCCTTCATGCCGGCGACGACGGTGCTGAGCGTGCGCGACGGCAACGACCGCAAGACGCTGCGCAAGATGCTCCAGGCGGCGCGGGCGCTGCAGACGATGCCGCCCGGCGCGTGGGAGGTGCGCCGCTGGCACACGGGCGTCCGCACCTCGCACACAGCGGCCGAGCGTGCAGACTGGCTCAGCGGCGCGTGCTTTGCCGAGCCGGAGGACCTCTCTGCGAGCGCGAGACCCGACGCGGGCTCTTGCGCGTGTCCCACACGAAGCTCCGGTGCAGGAGCCGAATCGTCTGCCGTAGCACAGGCTGTAGCAATCGCCGACGCAGCTTCACCACCACGAGGCTCTCCAAGCAGCCGACAAGCACGCATCTCCAGCGGCCGCGTCTCGAGCGGCTCGCAGCGGCCGGAGCGCTGGTGCGGCTGCTACATCCCCACCACGGCATACGACGCCGGCGGGCGCGGCAGTCCGAGCGTCGAGAGTGTGCTGGCCAAGCTGTCCCTGCCGCCGCTCGGCCGACAGATCGGCGGCCTCGCGACGGACGACGTCGTCAAGGAGGCCATCCAGGCGGCGCTGAGACCCACGCGGCGAGCGCTGCCGGGCCTGCCTGCCGCCGCCGCCGTGGCCGAGATGGCGAGCGATGCGCTCTGCTCGCTGCATCGCCGCCCGCCACACGCGCCAGCGTACGTCGCCGTGCCGTCGCTGGAGGACGCGGAGCGGCAGCAGCACGCGGCTGCCGCCACGCAGGCCTAAGGGAGGGGATGCGCTGTCTCGCCGTGGCTTGCCCGTATACCCTGCTTTCACCTCGGCCGTGCATCGGCCACCCTGGTCTGCAATCTGTATTTGTTCCGTGCATGATGCTGCCGAGCCTCGCAGCGAATGCGACTTTCGCTGCGATTGCGGAGATCGCTGCGAAGAGGGCGGCGTCCATCTGTGTGGAGCTTCGTTGCGGATGGCCAAGACAGACACGCGGCAGCGCGAGCAGAAGCGTGGGCAGACGCCGCCCGCCGTCCGGCAGGGCGTGGCTGGGCCTCACTGTCTCGCGAGCTCTCTCACCGCGCAGCCAGAGCGAGCGATGCTGTAGCTGATGCCTTTTGGCGCCGCGAAATGTCGAGAGCTCGGCGTCGAGTCGAGACGGCGTGGCTCACGGCTCTGCTGCTGTGTGGCTGCTGCCCTGCTGCTGCGCTCCTGCCACGCGAGGGCGGGCGGGGCGAAGCAGCGGCAGAGCAGGCACGCCGCCTCTCTGCTGCTCCCGCACGAGACGCGCCTGCCAGCCGTCGCTGTCGCACGCGGCGGGCGCGGCGCCTGTGCCGCTGGCCCGCCGCCGGCCGGCCCGCTGCCGTCGAAGGGCTCTCGGCCGCCGCTGCCGCTGCGCTGCGACGCCTGCTCTGTGCGCGCTGCTGCTCCTCCCGGTGCGGCTCTACGCTTCCTTCCTGCTCACAACCCTCCGGCGTCCGTGCACTCCTGCTTCCCGCCTCGCACCTCGCTCTCGCTCTGCATCTTCGCCGTTGCTGCGCCCAGGTCCGAGCACCGTCGCACGCCTCGACGGCAGATCGTCACTGCGTCTCTGGCGCGCACGGCACAGCCGCACCGCCTCGAGGTCTCGCTTGCAGCACCCGGCACCCGCCCGTCTCGCACGCCTGCGCCCGCACGTCCGTCACACCCAGAGAGGCTGCGTTGCACATCGGTGCGCATCTTCGCACGCAGCCACTGCCGCGCGCGCGCTGATCCGCAGGCCGACTCAGCTGCGACAGCGCCTCTTTGCGGCGACGTCACACGCTTTGCGACTGCAGCGCCCCGCCTACCCGAGGGCAGAGCTGCAGCGAGCCTAGCGACAAGAGCGTCCGAGCCTCGCGCATAGACCGCCTCTGCTGGCAACCGCAGGCCGCAGACACCTGACCTTCGCGTGCCGTCCGTGCGCGCCGAGAGTCGGCTGCTCCACCCGCTTGCCACAATGGTACGTCTTCTGCGAGGTGGCACGGCTGGGCGTGTGCGCTGCTGACGCGTGCCATGTCTTTGCGCAGGACCCGTCTCACGACCAAAATGCCGCGGCCGCGCCCGGTGGCGTCGACGAGAACGGCGCACTGGCGCCGATGGAGATCGACGAGCCGGTGTCGGTCCTTGATCGTGCGTGCCTGCCGCTGCTGCTGCGCTGCCGAAGCCACCGAGCTGACCGAGTCTCTCCTTTGCGTGCCTTCAGACCGGGCATTTGCGGCCAAGCACCTGGCAGATCTCGGGCAAGAGGAGGATGCGTTTGAGGTCTGCCACTGGGAGGTCAAGAGCTGGCGCTCGCTCGAGAAGCGCCTGACGGGCCCAGAGTTCGAGTGTGGAGGGCACCGATGGTGCGTATCGCGAGCGTGCGTCAGTGAGCGGTTCAGCCCTGATGCTGTCTCTCTGCTGCAGGCGCATCCTGCTGTTCCCGTTCGGCAACTCGAACGGCCAGCCAAACGACATGGTCTCGGTGTACCTTGACTACGCCAACCCGAAGGACCGGCCTGAGGGCTGGCACGTGTGCGCGCAGTTCGCACTCGTGATCTCCAATCTACACGACCCGACCATTGCCTCGACCTCGCGTGAGTGACGCCGGCTGCCGCACTGCTCTTGACGCACACTGACGGCGTGCCTTGCGTCTGCAGAGGCGCACCACCGCTTCACGGCCGAGGAGATGGACTGGGGCTTCACGCGCTTCAACGAGCTGCGCAAGCTCATCTCGCCGGGCGATGGGCGCCAGCACCCGATCATCGAGGCCGACGGCGCGCGCATCACTGCGTTTGTGCGCGTGCTGAAGGACCCGACGGGCGTGCTGTGGCACAACTTCATCAAGTGCGTTGCGCGCCAGGTGCGAGACTGCCGCCAAGCTGACGCCTGGCCCCTCGCAGCTACGACTCGAAGAAGGAGACGGGCTACGTGGGCCTCAAGAACCAGGGCGCGACGTGCTACATGAACTCGCTGCTGCAGTCCCTCTTCTGCACGCACTACTTCCGAAGGGTGAGCGCGCTCGCAGGCCGTGGCGACAGGCGCCGTGCTGACACCTCTGCAGGCCGTGTATCAAATCCCGACAGAGAACGACGTGCCGTCGGAGAGCGTGGCGCTGGCGCTGCAGCGCGTCTTCTACCTGCTGCAGAGCTCGGACCAGCCCGTGGGCACCAACGAGCTCACCAAAAGCTTCGGCTGGAAGAGCCTCGACTCGTTCATGCAGCACGACGTGCAGGAGTTCAACCGCGTGCTGCAGGAGAAGCTCGAGGGCAAGATGAAGGTGCGCACCGGCGTGCAGCGCGCGCGGCGACTTAGCTGACGCTCTGCGCGCTCACAGGGCACCGACGCCGACGGCGCCATCACGCGGCTCTTTGTCGGCCGCATGAAGAGCTACCTGCGCTGCGTCAACGTCGACTACGAGAGCGCGCGCTCCGAGGACTTCTACGACATCCAGCTCAACGTCAAGGGCATGGCAAACCTGCGCGAGTCGTTCAAGGACTACATCCAGGTCGAGACGCTCGAGGGCGAGAACCGATACCAGGCCGAGGGCCACGGGCTGCAGGATGCGCGCAAGGGCGTCATCTTCGAGCGCTTCCCGCCCGTGCTGCACCTGCAGCTGAAGCGCTTCGAGTACGACATTGAGAAGGACGCCATGGTCAAGATCAACGACCGGCACGAGTTCCCGCTCGAGATCGACCTGGCCGAGTTCCTCGACCGCGACTCGCCCGTCAAGGGCGAGGACTGGCGCTACTCGCTGCACGGCGTGCTCGTGCACAGCGGCGACCTGCACGGCGGCCACTACTTTGCGCTCCTCAAGCCCGAGCGCGACGGGCGCTGGTTCAAGTTTGACGACGACCGCGTCACGCCCGTGACGGACAAGGAGGTGCTGGAGGACAACTACGGCGGCGAGATCCCCAACGGCCACCTCGGCGGCCAGATTGGCGCGCGCGCGCCCGTGCGCGCCATGAAGCGCTTCACCAACGCCTACATGCTGGTGTATGTGCGCGACACGTCGGCGCCCGAGGTCCTGAAGCCCTTCACCATCGAGGACACGCCGGCGCACCTGCGCGAGCGCCTCGAGGAGGAGCGCCTGCAGCTCGAGGCGCGCAAGCGCGAGCGCGAGGAGCAGCACCTGTACCTGACGGTCAAGGTAAGCGGGTGAGAGAGGCTTGCCGTTGCACAGACGCGCTGACACGTCCTCCAGCTCATCACCGAGGACACGTTCAAGGGCCACCAGGGCTTCGATCTGGCGACGTTTGAGGAGCGCAACCTGCCCGCGTCGGAGCTGCCGTCGTTCCGCGTGCTGAAGAGCGACCTGTACCTCAACTTCAAGGCCCGGCTGGCGCAGCAGTACAACCTCTCCGAGGACCAGATGCGCCTCTGGGTGCTCGTGAACCGGCAGAACAAGACGGTGCGGCCCGACACGGTGATCCCCGAGACGGACCCCAACCTCACGCTCGAGACGGTGCGCGACCGCATGGCGTCGCGGCAGAACGACCTGCGCCTCTACCTCGAGGTGCTCTCGCCCGACGTGAATTACAACGACACAGCCAGCCCGCCGCTGATGATCTTCCTCAAGTACTTTGACGTGACGCGCCAGACGCTCACGGGCCAGGGGCGCGTCTACGTGCAGCGCAGCATGAAGGTCTCGGAGCTCGTGCCCACGATCAACCAGCTCATGCGCTGGCCGCCGACGGTGCAGGTGCGCCTCTACGAGGAGATCAAGCCGGGCATGATCGAGCAGATGAAGCCCAAGGCGACGTTCCAGCAGTCGGAGATCCAGGATGGCGACGTCATCTGCTTCCAGTCCGAGATGTCGGACAAGGAGTGAGTGTGCATGGAGAGGCAGACGATGCGCGCTTGGCTGACACGGCGCCTCTCACAGCGCACACGACTACGAGGCGCAGTCGCTCTACTCGAACCCGATCCAGTTCTACGACTTCCTGCAGAACCAGATCAAGGTGCTCTTCAAGCCGCGCTCCGACGAGTACGACTACAAGGGCGAGTTTGAGATTACGCTCAGCAAGAAGATGACGTACGACATGGTGCGTGACCGCGATGCGAGGCTGCGCGCTGTCTCGTGCTGACTCCCGCTGCAGATGGCGGCCAAGTTCGCCGAGCGGCTGAAGCACGACCCGCTGAAGCTGCGCTTCACGACGGCCAACGGGCCCAACGGCACGCCCAAGACGGTGCTCAAGCGCACCGCCAACCAGACGGTCAACGAGATCGTGTCGCCGAGCTACATCCAGGGCCAGGCCTCGCTGCTCTACTACGAGAAGCTCGACGTGAGCATCGTGGAGCTCGAGACAAAACGGAGCCTCAAGATCTGGTGGACGGGCGCGCACAACAAGGAGGAGGTGAGTTTGCGTGCGGGCGTGTGGCTTGCACACTGGGCTGACGTGTCTTGCCAGGCCGCGCACTCGTTCCTGCTGCCCAAGACGACGTCGTTCAACGACGTGTCGGAGCAGCTGGCAAAGCTCGTGACGCTCGACGAGGGCGGCTCGCGCACGATCCGCATCTTCGAGGTCGTCGCCGGCGGGCGGCAGCAGCGCGCCATGAGCGGCACGGACATGATCGGCAACGTGTCCGAGTCCGTCGAGCTGTTCGGCGAGGAGGTGCCGCTGGACGAGCTGCACGCGGGCGAGGAGGACAAGATCATCAACGTCTTCCACTTCTCCAAGGAAGCGCACCGCACCCACGGCGTGCCGTTCAAGTTCGTCGTGCGCCCCAACGAGCCGTTCACCGAGACAAAAAAGCGGATACAGGCGCGCCTCGCCGTGGCGGACAAGGACTTTGCCAAGTTCCGCTTCGCCCTCGTGCAGTCGAGCGGGTACAAGCAGCCGTCGTACCTGGAGGACTCGGACGTCATGTGAGTGTGCCAGAGAGGCGGTGCTGAGGAGAGCAAGTCAAAGCGGCGAGGTGCGGGCTTGGCCCCCTGCTGGCGCCGTCGTTCTTATGCGACGCAGACCAGCGGAGCAGCATGTGTAGTGCTGCGCTGCACCTGTCATCGATGACATGCCAGTCTTGCGCGGCACATGACCTCTCCTGCGCTGTGACCGCTCTGTCTCTTCTGCAAAGGCTGACCTCTCGCCCCGCAGCTACGAGCACAAGTACCAGCCCGACGACGTGCTCGGCCTCGACCACATCGATCGCGCGTTCAAGACGGGCCGCCTCACGACGGCGGTGCAGGACCGCGGCATCCGCATCCGCAGCTAGACGTGTGTGTGTGTGCGCAGCGAGGGGATGGAGGGAGGAGCGCGGAGGAAGACGCTTGGGGATCGGCGTTGTGGATGGAGCGGGCAGGCCGAGCGGACGGAAGCGATGGGCGGATCATGCGGCTCGACGCCGGCGCGGCCCCTCACCATCGCCGTGCGCCGTAGATGCCCGCTCATGGCCCTCATCCCCCTGCGCGCCTAGATGCCTGCGTGGCCCGGCTGATGTAGTTGACTTCGCCACTTGTACTGAATCACGAATCATTCTGCTTGTTGCGCACGGCGAGCGAGACGTTTCGGTGAGGGCCAGAGGGCGCCGGCGCGGCGCGTGGCGCGGCGCCGTGTGGAGCAGCGTCGGTGCCACCGCCCGCCGGTGCAAGCGGACCATGGCCGGCCTGCGACCGTCGCAGCGTGCCTGCCTCACATATTCCCAGCGATGTCACGGAGAGTCCTTGCGGGGTGCCCGCTGTCGGACGACACTCGCATGTATGCGCAGCTGCGGCCCGCCGGGATGCGCAGCAAGGCCAAGGTGGCATGATGGCGCATGACGCACGGTGCTGCGCGCTGCTGCGCCGCTGCTCCCACGCTCCCCGAGCCCACTGCGCACCCGCCGGGGCCGCCTCCTTCTCCTCTCGAGCGCAGCCTTGCTCCTTCTCTCCCGTCCACATCGCGCAGCACTTCCCGCTGTGTCGCCACCACCACTCATACCCGTTCCCGCCCGCTGCTCTGCCCCCACGCCTACCCGACGCTTGCCCACGTACCCCTGCTGCGTTCCCGGCCGCGCCGCCACACCCGGACTCCTCGCTCTCGGCGCGCTGCGACGATGCATGCCCCGCTGCCGACGCACCGAGCCTCTCGCTGCGCTGCTGCCGCTGCAGCCTCCCTCTCGCCCTGAGCTCTGCGACGCCGCTGCTCTGCCGCATGCCGCCGATGCACGCGTCGGCCGCGCCCTCTGGCAGCGCCGTGCTCGCCGTGCCGCCGCCTGCGCAGCCCGCCAGCACGTCGCCGCCCAAGCCCTCGCGCCCGTCGCGCACCGCCATGGCCGCCGCAGCTGCCGCTGCCGGCGGCGCACCCGCAGGCGATGCCGCCAGCCTGATGATTGCCTACCAGCGCAAGCAGGCGCGTGCCGCCAACAGTGGCGAGGCAGGCAGCGCGCCGCGGCGGCCCGGCGGCGGACGTGTGCGGGAGCGCGAGCGCGAGCAGGAGGCTGCTGATGCCGCCCGCGAGCGCAGCGCCTCCCGCCCCGCCACGGGCCGTGATGGCGCGCTGCGCGCCGTCGTACGCGGCCCGGCCGGCAGCGGCGGCGCTGTGCGCCTCTTCGACCCCGAGCGGGACGACATCCCGCGCGCTGCTGACGACGAGGCGCGGGCACGCGAGCGGCGCGACCGCGACCGCGCCCAGCTCGAGGAGAAGCAGAAGCGCCAGGAGCTGCGAGTGCGCGTGCTCGAGGGGCCCAAGAAGGACCGGCCGGCCCCGCGCAAGGGCAGCCGGCGCGGCGACGATGATGCAGGCGGACATGTGGCGCGCGAGTCCGACAGCCAGCACAGCGGCAGCCGCAGCGGTGCCGGCGGTGGCCAGCTCTTCGACCCACGTCGCGACGACCCGGTGCGCTTCGCCGCGCTGGCCAAGCGCGCGCCGGGCGTCGCCAAGCCGGGCATGTCCAGCACGCACGGCTCCACTACGAGTGCCGGCGGCAGTCTGGCGTCTGCGTCAGAGGCGCGCAGCAGCGCCGCCTCGACTGCGCCGCCGCCGTCGGTGACTTCGTCCGAGGCGTCGCGCGAGCGCCGGCGCCGCCGCGGCGCTGCGCAGTCGGACACGTCCGACGCCGATGCCGAGGCGCGCAAGCCGCAGAGCGACACGAACAGCTACGTGCTGGAGCTGAAGCGCACGTACCGCGAGATTACAACGCTCGAGACGAAGCTCAAGGAGGAGCACCAGACGGACGAACGCGAGCAGCGTGCGGCAGGCCGAAAGGCAGACGGCAGCCTGGAGCATGAGTTCTGGCTGCGTCTGACCAGCCAGCATCGCCAGTGAGTGGCGCGCATGCCCAGGCGCATTCGCTGCTGACACTTTCTGCAGGCTCGCCGAGACACATGCCGCGTTCATGGAGATGGCGCTGCGGCCCGGCCTTCCTTCGTCGCTGCACTCGCTGCCGCAGCAGTACAGTATTCCGAGCCGGCTATGGGCCACGGGCTTCCACGTGATGCTCGAGCGGCTGCGCCACGCGCTGCCCTCGGCGCCTGCCGCTGCCGCGACCCACGCGGCGCTGCTGGACCACCTCACCGAGTTCATCTACTTTGCGTATGCCTTCTACTCGAACCTACTCGAGGCCGAGACGTTCCGCACGTTCCGCGGCGCGTGGATCGAGAATCTGGGCGACCTGGCGCGCTACCGCATGGCGGTCGCCGGGCTCGCAGCGTCGCGCAGCAACGCCGAGCCGCGCCCACAGGTCAGCTTTGCGCGCATCGACGACGACGACGCGGACAAGAGCCGGCCCGACGCGCGGGCCGAGCAGGCCAGCATTGGCACGGCCGCGCTGGGCGATTGGGAGCTGTCCGAGGTCGAGACGTGGCGCGTGACGGCACGCGACTGGTACGCCAAGGGTCTGGCCGAGACGCCCGGCACGGGCCGGCTGCACCACCACCTCGGCGTGCTGGCGCGGCCCGACGAGCTGCGCACGCTGCACCACCTCTGCAAGAGCCTCACGAGCGCCCACGCGCACGTCGCCACGCGCGAGAGCCTGTTGCCGATGTTCGACGGCGCGCACCAGCGGCGCCGCGTGCAGCCCGACGCCAGCGCCTCGAACCTGTTCGTGCACCTCCACGGCATGCTCATCACGCGCGTGCAGCTTGATGACTGGGATGCGACGTTCGAGCGCTTTACCGAGGCACTGCGCGCGCATGCCGCCAGCCGCACGCCGGCGTGCTGGATGCAGCTGGCGGCCATCAACATCGCTGCGCTGCTGCAGTATGGCGCGGAAGACGCATTGCTTGCGCCGCCGGAGAACAAGGCCGCGCAGCAGGACGGCAAAGGCAGCCCGCCTGCCGAGCCAGCCAAGCCGCTGCCGGTCGATAGCGAGGAGCCGCCGCTGGTGCTGCAGCACGCGATCCGCCTCACGTTTGCCATCCTCGAGATCGCCCTCTCGCTGGATGCTGCGCCGAGCGCCTACGTCACGATGCTCCTGACCTTTCTCGCTTCGACACTCAAGCAGCCGCACTCGCTGCGCCTCCTCGAGCGCGCCATTCCGTGGGCGGCGCTCGTGGCGCTGGCGTCGCGCGCGCCCGAGACCATCGACCCGCGCTGCGAGATCGCCAGCAAGATCAGCACCGACATGCCGCTGCCCGAGGACTGGTGTCTGCGTGGCATGGCTTGGGTCGGCCGGCGAGTGTACGAGCGTGGCTTCTGGAAGTCGCGCGGCGCCCGCCCGGCGCTGTGCTTCGAGTCCGAGGTCGACGTGCTGTCGCGCGACTTTGAGGCGGATGAGGACGAGGCTGAGCCGAGCCTGGCCACGCTGCGCTGGCGGCGTGCGGCTTACGCCCTGACGGTGCTTGCCAAGACGGTGCCGGGCCTTGACTTTGATGCCGATGCTGCAGGTGGACGCGGCGCGCTCGTGCTCGTCGACCCGCTGAGCGCCAAGTGCTCCACCTGGCTGGCCGAGGACCTCGAGGCGCGCGAAGCCAGCAAGCGTGCGCAGCTGCAGGCTCTGCCGAGCGAGGCCGTCGACGATGGCGAAGAGGACGACGACTCGCTCAGCGAGGAGGAGCCCGACGACGCCAACGACTCGCCCGAGATTGTCGAGCTCAAGGCGCGTCGGCGCAAGCTCAAGGCGATCCTCCGAGCCGCACGCTCGCACACGCGCTCGCCGGCCACGCCCTCGCGCCGCAAGACGTCGGCACCTGCTCGCCGTGCTCCCGTCCCGCTGCTGCCCGGCTACACGATTCTCGTGCTCGACACCAACATTGTGCTCACCGCCGGGAGTGTGCTGGAGCAGCTCGTCGACTCGGCGCGCTGGACCGTGGTCGTGCCGCTGTGCGTCGTGACTGAGCTGGACGGACTCAAGCGCAACGCGACGCCTCTAGGCGCCGACGCTGCGCGGGCCATCGAGTATCTCGAGACGCGCCTGCCCACGCACGCCAAGTGCCTCAAGATCCAGACGAGCCGCGGCAACTACCTGCCCGACCTCAGCTTCCGCACCGAGGAGATCGACTTTGGCGCGCCCGCCGACGATGCCACTGCGGCGGCGCGCAGCCTCGACGAGATCATCCTGCGCGCCGTCGAGTGGCAGGAGGCGCACTTTGTCGACCGCCGCGCGCTGCTCGCCGCACCGATGGAGGATGTCACGCCGGACAAGGCACGCGCCGTGCTCGTCACGCTCGACCGCAACCTGCGGCTGAAGGCGCGTGCCCGGGGCTGCCACACGATTGGCCACGCCGAGCTGCTGCCGATCCTGGCGCCCGAGAAGGGGTGAAGGGCGTCCCCAGATCAGGTTACTATCTCTTCACTCTGCATCGTGCAGACATCCTGCTGCGTCTTAGCGCGCGCCCGCACAAGGGCTGCTCGACGCCTGCCTCTGTGCGCTGCTCTGCGGCTCTCCTGTATGCTGCTCCGCGCACGCCGTCTGGCGGGTATTGACAAAATGCATTCCGGGTATCTAGTGCCCCTCTGCCGCGGCGCCCACGCGTGCGAGCGTCGCCAGCGAGCTCAGCACGCCGCACCAGCCCTCCATGACGGTCCAGTCCTGCCCGCGCCCGAAGATCTCGAGCGCGGCAAAGACGGTCTCGGGCAGGACCGAGAGCCGCTCGAGGCGCAGCTGGCGCATCTCGCGGCGCAGCCGGCCGATGTCGGCCTCGGCGGCGCGCAGCAGCGGCTCGGCGCGCGAGCGAGGCGCGCCCTTGGCCGTGGCCGAGGAGCACGAGGACGAGACCGAGTCGGGCGACGCGCTGCGCGACGAGCTGGCACTGTCGGGCAGCGGCTGCTTGCCCATCGCCTCGAACACGCTCAGGCGGCGCCCGCGCAGCAGGCCCGCAGACGCCGCGGGCCCGCTCACGTCGAGCATGTCCGTCGCAGCGATGAGCCGCCGGTTCGCTCGCGAGAGCTGTGCGCGACACAGCCGCATGCATAGCTGCAGCCGCACTAGGGTGATGACCTGCGCGATCAGCGAGAGGCTGGGCATGTGATCAGTGGGGGCAAGAATGGGCAAAAGGGCGCGACTCACATGACGCCTATCCGCTCCAGGCCCAGCCGGCTGCGGCCTCGTATGCCTGCGCGCAGCCGCCATGCCACCGACGTGCCGCCAGCAAAGGCTGCGAGCTCGGCAGCGTCGGCCGTTGTGCCCAGCGCCGCCGCCACGTCGTCGAGCCGCGCCGCCATTGTCTGGCGCCACGAGTCGATGGCCTGCTGCTGGCCCTCCTCGGCATCGTCGCCCTCGGGCGCCTCGGCCTTCGGGTCGTCGTCGTGCGCTGCGACCGGCACGGCCGCCCACCGCATGATCAGCAGCGCACGGCGCACGCCTGCCAGCGCCTCGGAGAAGACGAGCAGGCGGCGCAGCGCCAGGCGCCGCGTGCGCGGCTGGAAGAGCAGCAGCAGCAGCAGCGGCGAGATCGGCGACAGCTGCCGGCGCCGCGACGAGAGCTTGGCGTGCAGCAGCAGCAGCGCGCAGCGGACGACGTTCTGGCGGAGGTAAGAGTGCGCCGATGGCCGCCCTCGTTCGTCCCACTCACCACCGCAGCGTCCCGTCCATCGTCGTCGCGCACGCACGCCGCGGCCGTGCGGCGCCAGCTGAGCGTGGCCAGGCGGCGCGCGTGCGGCGGCGCACTGCGCTGCGCGTGCACGCCGTCGGGCCGCTGCGGCACGTATGTGGTGACGAGGCGCGCCCGAGACGACATGGCTGCGGCCGCGCGAGGGAGTGGTGGGGCTCGGGGAAGGAGCGGGGCGCGTGCTTGTGAGGCTCGTGCGCGCCACAAGACAGTCACACGCCTGTCTCAGGCGCGCTCACTAAAAATAGGCTGAGGCTCAATTTCAAGTCAGAGCCTGTGCTTCAGGCTTGGCTTGACCCCTCAGGGCTCAATGGCTCCTTCTTGGCCTAGCCAGCAGCCTGCCAGTGTACCAATCCTGCAGCTGCACCTTCTGCTTGTGCATGTTGCGCTTGTAGGGTGCATCAGCATCTGCTAGCGCCAGCCTCTGTCCCTCCTTGGCCTGGTCCTGGGCAGGAGGTCAGCATCAGGCAGTGCTGCTGCTGCCAGTGCTGCTTGACTCATTCATGCAGCCCTTGCTCTCCAGGCCCTGCCACAGCTGCATGCAAAGGGTGCAGCTGCCTGGGAGCTGGTTGCCTCTGTCGGCCATGTTGCGGTGCAGCGCAAGTGCAGAGAGCTCTTGCCCTAGAATGCAATGCCATTGTACAGCACAGTGATGTACGCATCAGGCAGCAGCGCCTCAAGCATGTGTGACAGGAGTGGGCTGTGCTGCTGCACCCAGCCGTGCAGGCGCAGTGGCATGCTGCCAGTGAGAGGCACAAGCTCTGCTGCCGGCAGCAGATGTGCATGCCTGCGCCGTGGCAGTGCCAGGCATGGCAGCAGCAGTCCTGCCATGCGTGCACACCCCGTATGTACACATGTGCTGCTGCCCACACCATCCCAGGGCCGCATAACTCAGTTGGCCAGAGTGTGGAGCTAATATAAGGCATTCCTGTGTATTACTCCAAAGCCGGCGGTTCGAGCCCGCCTGTGGTCAGTTCTTTTGCCCCCCAGCGGCCCGGTTCAGAGCCTCCTTTTGCCCCGCACCCTCCACGTGGATCACGCACCCGGCCCGCGGCCGCTCTCAGCGTCCCACCACCACCTCACGCCATGTCCGACCCGTCCGCCTCCTCGTCCAGCGCTGGGCCGTCGTACGCCCATCTAAAGGCGTCCTCGTTCGCGCCGCTGCTGCGCGCCCTCGACCCGCCCGCTCCCCGCAGCAGCTCGCCACGGACGCCGGCACAGACGTCGCGCACCTTCCGTGCTCTTGCCGGCGTGCGCCTCGGTGCCTTCCAGAAGGAGCGGCGGCGGCATGAGAGTCGTGAGGATGCGCCCAGGGCCAAGGAGCAGGCCTCGCCGGCGTACACGCCCTTTTCCCGGAGCGAGCTGCGCCGCCGCGTCTGTGCCCTCGCTGCGCACACGCCACCAGACGAGACGGTCGCATCGGCACGGGCTGGGTGGGACTGGCACGGCGACGCAGTGCGCTGCCAGGCGTGCCAGGCGTCGTGGACGCGGCAGAGCGACGAGCGCGAGCACAAGGAGTGGTGCCCGTGGCGCGTGAGGGGCTGCGACGGTGAGTCGAGAGCGCCAGTATGGCCCTTCTGCAGCTGAGACAGCTGCAGCCGACATGTACGCCCTGCCGTCGCCATCACGAACGGAACTGCTCGCCGAGCTCACTGCGCAGGCTACGGCGCTCTCCCAAATACCCAACATCGAGCAGCTCTCCGTCGTGCACCCGCCGCTGGAGCCACTGGCGCTGCCGTTCTCCGCATCTCTCACAGCGCTGGCCCTCTTCGGCTGGCACCTCGGCGGCAAGACTGCGCCGACCGCACTCGACAGCACCCTGCTCAGCTGCGACTGCTGCGGCCGGCGCCTGGGCCTCTGGAGCTTCACGGCGTCGCCCGGGCGCTCGCTCGATGTGCGTGCCGAGCATCGCGCCTTCTGCGCATACCTGGCGACAGACGTGGAGGGGCGTCCGGCGTGGCAGGCGCGCCTGCAGACAGCGTCGGGCAAGCGCCAGGCCGGAGAGGAGAACGCACAGGTGCGCAAGCTGCGGCGGAGCGAGGTGCTGGGCAAGGTGCGCGGCATGCTCGGCGAGTAATGCAGCCAGTGAGAGAAGTGTCATTACGGATCGGGAAGTCGTGCAGAGGAGAGCTAGAGCGGACACGTAAACTAGGCCTGGGAAAGACGGAGCAGGGAGAAGGAGAAAGGGTGACGAGCGGACAGAGAGCAGCACTCCCTCAGTGCTCATTCACAATGGCGTCGCCGCCGCGGCCGCCCGTGGCGTTGCCCGAGTTGGCCGAGCCGCCGTTGCCGCCGCCCGAGTTGCCGCGGCCGAGGCCGCTGCCGAGGCTGCTCTTGTTGTTGCCGCCGGCGAGCTTGTTGAACTTGACGGCGTGGCTCTGCGCCTTGTGGTACGTCTTGCGCGACGACGAGAGAAAGTCCCACTGGTCCGTCGTGAGCAGCTGCGAGAGCATCTCGAGGTCGATCTCGACGAGGTTGTGCTCGCTCGCCACGGCGGCCGTGAGCGGCTTGGCGCTCGAGGCCTTGGTGGCGAAGCTCTTGGCGCGCTGCTGCGACGAGCTGCCGCTGGCACGGCTGCTGTCGGCGTGCGCCGAGCCGTGGTTGTTCGAGTGGCTGTTCGAGTGGCCGTTCGCCTGGCCGCCGTTGCCCGACGTCGCATCGCCGCCGTTGCCGGCGTTGGCGACGGTGACGCGGCCGTGGTCGGCCTTGCCGGCGTGAATCTGCGCGCTGTTGCTGCTGCGGCGCTGCACCTCGGCCGCCGAGTCCGTGGCGCTGTTGACGGCCTGGAGCTGCTGCTGCTGCGCGTCGTAGGCCACGTTGGTGGCGCGCTGGTGCACGTCCGACGTCGCCGGCGCGGCTGGCGCGGCGGGAGCCTCCGGAGCGGCGGCGCCGTAGACGACGTCGACATCGCGCTCGGTGGGGATCGAGGCCGGCACGTACTCGATGTTGAGGTCGCGCGTGGGCAGGCCGGCGGGGACGTACTCGACGAGCACGTCGCGCTCAGTCGGAATCGACGCGGGCACGTACTCAACGAGCACGTCGCGCTCCGTGGGCAGCGAGGCCGGCACATACTCGACGAGCACGTCGCGCTCGTCGAGGTCCTCGCCGTCCTCGTCCTGGAACTCGCTCGGGTCGGCCGAGGCGTCGCTGTCGCGGCCCGTGAGCTTCTTGGCCGTCGAGAGCTTGGCGTGGTGCGTCTCGGCCTTGTTAACAAACTTGCCCGCACGGCCGCCGGCCGCCTTGCCCGAGTTGGCGAGGCCGCCTGCGCCGCCGTTGTTGCTGCCAAAGTTGAGCGCGTTGACGGCGATGAGCGAGTCGGTGATGCTCGAGTCGGACTTGCCGCCGTTGGCCGAGCCGCCGTTGCCCGACTTTGCGTTGCCGCCCTTGGCGCGGCGGCTCAGCACGGCGTCGACACTCTCGGGCGCCGCCGTGGCGTCGACGTCGCGCTGGACCAGCACCGAGTGCGACACGGCCTCATCGGCAGGCACGGCGTAGTCGGTCGTGCCGCGCGGGTTGAACTTGCTGGCCTGCGCCTGCACACTGCTCGGGCTCGTGGCCGCCGTGAGGGCACGGCGCAGCATGCTGCCAAAGGGCGTCGTCGAGGCGGGCACGGCCGGCGCCGCGGGTGCCTTGGCGGCAGCAGGGGCGTCGACGGGCACCTTGGCCGCAGCGGGCGCCTTGGCCGCAGCCGGGAGCTTCGCAGCAGCCGGCGCCTTGGGAGCAGCAGGGGCCTTGGCGGAGGGCACCTTGGCGGCGGCAGGAGCACCAGCAGCGAGCTCGGCGGCCTTGGCGTTGAAGTCCGTGGGGATCGTCGCCTCGGGCAGGCCACGCTCGGCGTGCGAGAGGGCTGCCTGCACCTGCTGCTGCGACGCCGTGGCGTCGAGGTCGCGCTTGGGCATGGCCTGGCCGGGAGCGGCCGGAGCAGCGGGCGCCTCGGGCGCCTCGGGCGCAGCGGGCGCCGCCGGTGCCGCCGGCTCGTGCGTGGCGGCAAAGGTCTGGATCCCCTCGGGCGTCGTGGCGGCGTTGATGTCGCGGCGCGCGGGCAGCAGCTTGGCCTGCGACGCCGGCACGACGGCAATGTGGGCGACGCCGCGGCGCACGTTGGTCTCGACGTCGTCGGCGCTGGCGACGATGCCCTCGGGCTTGGCCGCCGCAGCGACACCGCGCTGCTGGAATTGCGCCGTGGCAGACTGGGCGTCGATGTGGGCGGCACCGTCGCGCTGGCTCAGCTGCGCCGTGGCCGAGTTGGCATCCACGTGCGCGGCACCGTCGCGCGAAAGCAGGCTGTTGAGCGAGTCGCCGCCGCGGCCGCCCGTGGCAATGCCGCCGTTGGCCTCGCCGCCGGCGCCGCCGTTGCAGGAGTTGAAGTTGAGCGCATTGACGCCGATGAGGCTGCCGCTCGTCGAGCAGTCGGCGGCGCCGCCCTCGGCGTGGCCGCCGTTGCCGCCGGTGGCCGAGCCGCCGTGCGAGTCGTGCTTGTCGTTGATCTGCACCTTGTGCGCGCCGACCTTCTTGGTCGACGACGACTTCTTGCCGCTGCCGATGTTGTTGGGGCGCGGCTTGAACTGCTTGGGCAGCGACTGCTGGACGACCTTCTTGGGCTTCGACGTCGACTTGGTCTTCTTGGGAATGGCGTTGCTGTTCACCTTGCCGCCGGCGGTGGCCGACTTGTCGCAGCCGATGCCGAGCAGGCCGCAGAGGTTGAGGTCGGCGTCGATGACGTCGCCCTTGCTCGTGTTCTGGCCGAGCTCGCCGGTGAGCAGCGGCGCCGAGGCGCTGCGCCAGGGTGTCAGCGCACTGGTCGCCGCCTAGAGCGTGTGCAACTGCGACTCACTCGTTGTTCAGGCCGAGACCCAGCAGGCCGCGCTGCGAGATGGCCTCGGGCGCGGCAAAGCCCTCGCTACTGCCGGCCGGGTTCGGGCTGGCGGCCGGGCTGGCGTCGGCGGTGGCGCTGAGCGGCGCCGCGGCGGCAAAGAAGCCCGAGGAGAGGATGGGCGAGCCGGCGCCGAGCGCGAGGGCGACGAAGGAAGAGGAGACACGCATGGCTGGAGACTAGTGGGTGGAGTGTGGAGTGGAGTTGTGGAGACGTTCGTTAGGTGAGTGGAGTGCGGTGTGGGCGTGGGTGGAGCGTCGAGGCTTGAGGTCGTTAGTGTTGCGTCGTAGAGGGGACCTGGGAAGTGGGGAGAGGGGAGGGGAGTGGTGCTTGGATAGAGAGGCAGAGGGAGGCGAGACGCAGGCCGAGCATCTTATAGGCCGAGTGCGCGCCATCGCGATGCCTCGCCTGCTCCACTCGGCCACGCGCAGCTGGGCCGAGGGCCGCGTGGCCGTTGAGCGGCCTGCGGTGCGAAGAAAGGACGGGCGCCGGCAGCGCAGGCTTCTGGTGCAGCGCGCGCGGCCACACTGCCGCTGGCGCGCAGGCGGCCGTTGCAGGCTGCGGTCACGCGGACAGAGGGCCGTGTGGTGGCGGCGTGTGATGGGCGCGAGAGGCGGTGAGGCAGCGCACACGGCAGCCGGCGTCGAGGGCGGCGGCGCACAACGGCGCATGCGCAGGCAGCGCAAGGTGTGCGCACGGCCGATGCTTCGGCGCTCGTGGCGCAGCGCAGCCGTTGCGGGATCTGCGGCGCATGACTCGGGCGAGGGAGATGGCGGATGCCGGCGGTGGAGATGGCAGATCAGGGTGCGCAAGGCCGCGCGTGCCCAGCCCAACGGCCCGCGCGTCACGGCGCGCGGTGGCGCGCGGCGCGCACCCGCCGCGAGCTGGCCGGGCGGCAGGCAGCGCGCCGCCTTCGGGCACATCGCTGCGGCGTGTGGCAGACTTGACATGGCCGAGAGAGGCAGGGCGGGCGGCGCTGCGGGCTGCGCGCCGGCAGGTGAGAGTGGAGACGGTGATGAGGAGAGAAGATCTGGCGGCGCCAGGACCCGCGGCGGGCGCCGGCAGGACAGCAAGGCCCGGCGCGTCTAGCGTGGGAGCAGCGCCACGGCCCGTCAGACGGGGCCAGCGCCGCACGCTGGGCACAGCGACGGCCGCCGCACGCCGCATCGCTCCCGCACTCGGTGCCGCTGCAAGCGCCGTGCTGCTGGCGCTGACGCTGCGCGGCCAGGCTGAGCCTCTCGGGGCACCTGTCGCTGCTGCAGCGCGGGATGATCTGCCGTGCGGGCCGCCGGCGTCATGCGCGCCGACGCAGCGTGCGGCGTCTGCCGTCCTGCCTCTTGCGTCTCGTGTACGCAATCGACGCTAGCTGGCCTCGCCTTCCTTCGTGAGGACTACCGGTGATGTTCTGGAAGAAAACCGCTTGCGCACGCGCGACATGCGGCAAGTCGTGTGATTGCTCGGCGAGGCGCGCAGCAGAGCGTCGCCAGCGCCTCTGCGGCACCAGCAGGCGATTGGCGAGGGCGGTGCAGAGGCGTCGGAACATGGCGTGCCATGCGTTGCGCCAGCCTTGCGGCCTGCGGCGCCATCCTGTCGATGACCCGGACGTCTTCGTCCATCGGAAGCCGGGTGTGAAGGGTGTATATGCATTCGTCAATGGTGAAAGTGCGCGCGCTCTTGGGAGCGTCGCAGCATCGGTGGGTCCAAGGTGGTAGGGGGCCATGCGTCTCCTCCAGGTGGTGTGTGTGTGTGCGTGTGCGGCCCGTCCCGGCAGCTCAGCACGACACGATGCCGTCCTGCACGGCGCCATCGACGCTGGCGTCGGGCGACGGCGCGTCTGTCGGGGCGTCGGCCGTATGCCGCGCCGCTGCGCTGTCGCCGGCAGTGGGCAGCAGGGCGGCGTCGAGCTGGCCGATGGTGATGAGGAGCAGGCCGGCGGCCTTGATGCTGTGGATCAGTTGCGGCACGTGGTTCTGCGCCGGCGAGTCAGTGCCTATGCTGCAGATGCGGCGAGACTGGCGGGCACTCACCAGGATGACGGCGTCGACCATGATGCCCAGCAGATTGTTGCTCTTGGCAAAGCGCACCGCCTCGGCCACGCTCTGCCGCCGCGGGTCCGGCTCGCCGCGGTCGCACGGCGCAAGCAGCGTGTCGCTGTCGCTCGTGCGTGCCAGGCCGCAGTACGAGGCAAAGAAGACGGCGTCTGCAGTGCCGAGGGACGTGTCAGCGAGGTGGCTGCAGAGCGGAGCACAACGGCACGCACAGTTCGGCTGCTTCCAGTTGAGCGCCGTGCACACCGTCGGGCTGCGGCTCGAGAAGAGAATCTTGCGGCTCTGCTGCCGATTCTGCGTGCCGGCGCGGTAGACGGCGTGCAGGATGGCATCGACAAAGTGGTTCACCTCGATCTTCGGCAGACTCGGGTTGCCGCGTACGTCGGCCGACGACGGGTAGAGCACGTCGAGGTCGATGCCGACGGAGACGGGCAGCATCTGCGAGCGGGCCGGTCAGATATACAGGAAACGTGCTGCGGCCGGCGGACTCACCTCCAGAAGCTCGTCGAGCGTGACCATGGACCGCTGCAGCGCCGTCTTCCACTCCTGCAGCGAGAGCGAGTCGCGCCGCTCTGGCGGCACCTGCAGTGCGCGGCCCGTGCTTTTGGCCAAGCTGGCAAACTGCGCGCCCGTGACGGAGCCGACGTAGACGTCGAGTTCTTGCACAGGCAGCGTGAACGCCGGGTACACGACCGCCACGCCGTCCTTGGTCACCTGCACCGCCACACGCAGGTGCTGGCCCGAGAGCGACGAGGCAGTGACGTACGACTCGGCCGCCAGGGCATTGGCGGCGGCGCCGCCGGCAGAGACGGCCACGGGCGCATCGCTCGTGCTGGCAGACAGCGACGTGGGTGTTTGCCGGCTGCCGCTCGGCGTCGCAGAGTCCATCGCGGCGGCAGCAGCGGCGGCCGCCGACGTCGGCAGCGTGCTCTTCCAGTATGTCTCGACGCGTCCGCCAATCTCGAGCTGCACGCCGTCAAAGGGCTTGACAAAGTCGAGCTCGAAGCTGACCTCGCCCACGATCTTGAGGTACACGTCCTGCAGCGGCAGCGTGAAGCGCTTGCGGTCCGTCATGCCGTCAAACGAGCTCGGCAGCGCCACGGCCTTGCCGATGACCTTGGAGCCAAACGTCGGCATGAGCTCCCACTCGAGGTAGAAGCGCTCCAGGCCGTCCACCTGGAAGCTGAACACCTCGCGGTCGTCGGCCAGGGGAAGGAAGATGGTGTGCGGAATCGTCGTCGTCGAGGCGTCGGGGCGCGACGTCATGACGAGCTTGAGCGACGACGTCGAGAACTGCTCTGGCCGGTTTGGGTCCTGCAGCTTGTACAGCTTCACCGACGAGTTCGTCAGGCTCACCGTGACGAGCGCGCGCTTGTCCAGGTAGTTGTGGCCGTACGTGCGGAACGGGATGATGGGCGGCGGCAGCGAGAGCGACGGGATGCCGTCCATCTCCATGTCGAGATCAAGCTGCTCCAGCTCCTCGGACTCCCGGCTCTTCTTGCGCGCCGCCTTGGGCGACAGCTCATCGCGGCCCCGAGACTTGGAGCCAGCCGCCGCTGCGGCCGCCGCTGCAGCCTCGGCAGCCTTGCGGCCTGCATCCAGGAGGAGCAGCAAGCAGTCGATCTGCCCCCGCCATGCCGCATAGAACGCTGCTGTGCGGCTCTTCTCATCGCTCGCGTCGACACGCGCGCCGGCGTCAAGCAAGATGCGCACGCACGACGCGTGGCCACTCTCGGCGGCAAAGAAGAGGGGCGTCCAGAGCGTGCCCTTCTCGAGCGCATCGCGGTCGGCGCCGGCGCTCATGAGCAGCGAGAGACACTCGGCGTGCCCTTCCCGTGCCGCGAGTGCCTGCGGCGTGAGGCCCTCCGGATTCGCGACAGCCAGCTTGGCGCCGCGCTGCAGCAGCATCTGCGTGATCTCGGCATGGCCGCCTTGCGACGCCAGGCAGAGCGGAATGAGATCCGACGTGCCTGCCGCCTCGACGCTGACGCCGTGCGCCAGCAAGATGCGGACGACCTCGACCTGCCCGCTCATGACGGCGAGCACAAGCGGCGAGAAGCCGTCCAGATCTGCGCTCGAGGCATCGACGGCGTCGAGGGAGAGCAGATAGGTGCAGACGTCTGCGTGGCCGCTCATGGCGGCATACGAGAGCGCCGTGCGCCCGTAGATGTCGCGGCGCCGCACGTCGATGCCGCTCTGCACGCATGCGCACACGAGCTGCAGGTTGCCCGCCAGCGCCGTCTCGTGCAGCGACGTGCGCGAGTTGATGTCGTCGACGAAGGCGTAATCGGGCAGGCCGCTGTTCATCGCCGCCTGCACTGCTGCTGGCGGCGCGTCGAGCAGTGCGCGCCAGACGATGCGCGCCACGCTGGTTGCATCCTCGCTCTGGCACGCCGCTGTGGCCATCTCGCGTGCGGCGGCGGTGCGCCCGGAGCGCACCGCCTGCAGCAGGTTCTCCTCGAGGTCCGAGAGCACGTCCACCTCCTGGCTGCGCGCCGCGGCAAAGTCGAGACGCTTCTCCGACGAGAGGTCGTCGCGCATCAGCCCGCTCGGCGAGATGCCGTCGGGCCCGCGCGAGACGCCGCGCTCCGAGATGTGCTCCAGCTCGAGCAGGTTGGCCGCGGCGATATCGCTGAGCTCGGCGATGAACTCGCGGTTGAAGCAGGCTGCAGAGAAGCACGTCAGCCTGGCCGCGCCGGGATAGTGCCGCTCGGCAGCTGCTCACGCTGCACCTCCACCTGCCGAGCCAGGTAGAGCTCCTTCGTCTGGCTCTTCGAACGCTTGTCCCACTTTTTCAGGATCTTGCGGAAGCCCGTCGCGTTGATCTCGATGAATTGCTGCGGCGGGTGTGAGCTAGGAGACACGCCGAGACGCGCCAGCTGCAGCGCCGCTTCCGCCCGACCCGCACACCACTCACCTGCAGCTTGCTGAGGTCCTTCTCAAAGTAGCGGAAGCCCTCGTACAGCGCATAGAAGCTCGGCGACTCCTTCGTCATCTTCGCCGCGCCGCCGCGCCGCGCCAGAAGCACCTGACGCTTGTCGACGAGCGTGCGCAGGCGCACCTTGAGCTCGGCCTCCTTGGAGAGGTAGAAGGCGTTGATCTGTGCGAATGCTATCAGCGCAAGCTCGGCGCGGCCTTCTTAATCTAGCAGGCGCACCTTCTCCAGCTCGCGCTCCAGCTTGAAGAAGAAGGCCGCCTTGTGAATGCGCAGCTCGTCACCCATCTCGCCATGCCGAGCGCCGCCGCTGCGGCCGTTGGCGCTAGGCGCGAGAATCTGCGCATTGGTGCCGACGCCGTTCATGGCCGCCGGCTCGCCGCCGGCAGTGAGCGTGGAGATGGCCTGCTGCTGAGCACTGGCATCATCCAGCGGGTGCGCGGCCACGTCGCTCGCCGACGAGGAGCTGGAGAAGCTCGGCCGCAGTCCCGAGGCAAAGAGTGCCGCATCACCTAGCCGGCCCTTTTCGAGCGAGTTGATGATCTGGTGTGGAGGGTGGTGTGGGCCATAGCACACATAGAGGAGCAGCATCGCATCGCAGCAGGCGTACCTTCTTCAGGCTGGAAAGGCGCCGAGGCATCAGCGTTGGCTCCGATCACTTTGCTCAGCAGTCCAGCTCACCTCTTGTAGTCCAGGTAGTACGAGCCCCATCCCGAGATCTGCTGCGAGAGGATCTGCTTGCCGAACTGTGGGTGCCGGCGGGCCGACGCAGCGCATCAGCACTCGGCGCTTCGACGGCACGCCAGGCCGGGCGGCGCACCTTCATGGCGGCGGCCTCGAGCGAGCGCCAAGGGCGCCGCTAGACGGAGCAGTGCCTGCTGTGCTGGCCTCGGCTCGGCTGCGCGGGGCAGCTGCGGCGCGAGACGCGCGAGCGGCCGGCGAGACGCAGGCGCAGCGGAGAGCGTGGGCGCGCGGCAAGGAGCGTGGAGGCGCCGGGCAGCGCGGCTCGTGGGCTCGACAGGAACTTGTCGCGGCGCAGCAGACGACGCAGCGGTGCGCCGGTGCGGAGGGAGCACGGTGCGGAGGGAGAGGCGAGGCGGCGGCGATGGCGGTCTGGAAGAAGGCCGCCGCCGCCGAGCAGCGCCGTGAGCCAGGTGCAGCTTTGGGCGCGCACAGGCACCGCGCGGCGGCGGGTGGGCCAGGAGCGCCGCGCTCGCCCGCACGCCGGCGCCGTTCACGCTTCCTGGCCAGCTCCTCGCCGCGCAGACGCTGCGCTTCTTTCATCCACCGTCTTCTGCCGCTCCGTCTGCACCCGCCCATACGTCGCTCTGCATGCGCGGCGAGAGAGATGCGCACCACGGCGCTCTCGCCGAGCTCTCTCTCGGACGCGCGCTTTTGGCTCGGACACAGCGAACGTGCGCGAGCTCCCACGCTGCCCAGCTCCGGCGCGGCTCCGCCATCAAGCCGCGACATGCGCCCTGCTGACTAAGCGCCGCCTCGGGGTCCAAGAGAGCAACCCTCCCGCATGCTGGCCTGAGCGCGCCGTGCCGACGATGCCGAGATGCCTGGGATCTGCCTGGCTGACGTCGAGAGCTTCACAGGGTGCTGCAGTAGAGTGAACAAACTGGAGCTAAGGATGCCAGGACGCTCTCGATGTTCCTCCGAGGGCAGTAATTGGGCGGCTGGCGTTCCAGCATCTCGGGTCCGACCACAACGCGCATCGCTCGGCCGCGGCTTGAGGGGGGCGTGCCGCCCGGCTTGGCCTGCTCGCACGTCCGTCTCAGCCAGGAAGCCGCACAGAGGAAGCTCTCTGCTACCGCTGCATTTTGGGCAGCATACACTGGTGCTGGGACGAGGAGTGGGCGAGCCAGGCCAGCCGATTGGACGCGTGTGCCGCTCGACTGCTCCTGTGCCGCTGTCGCGAGTGCATTCCGCGGCGCGGTGCGTCGTGCCTGGCCGTCGCGCCGCGCAGCACGGGCATCAAGCGCAAGCCGCAAGCAGAGCGTCGGGCCGCGCGCGCGAGGTGCACGTCATCTCCACCACCTCCCTCGCTCTCCTCCTCGCCAGCTCAGTGCTCACTCTTGCCTGTGCTCGCACATACCCTCGCGCGCCCACCGACGCATCCGCCGGCATCGCCTGCCGCTGCGCCGCCACTCCGCGTCGTCCGCGCTCTGGCTGAAGCTGGCGCGTCCGCCCTCGCCTGCTGCTCGTGCCTTTGCGCACACGCCACACGGGCGCAGCTCTCGTCGCAGCCTCGCTGCTTGCTCGCCGCCGCTGCTTTTCAGTCGGCTGGCATCTCGCTGCCTTTGAGCGTCTCCTCCTGCCCGCGGCTCCGCCACGATGGACGTGAGTGTGCCGCGTCAGCTCCTCTGCGCTCGTGCCACGCTGATCCCTCTCGCGCTCGACAGGGCATTCTTGACTTCAGTCGAGACCTCGACATCGGTCTGATGGACCGTGTCGTGGGTGCCATGTACACCTCCGTCGGCGCAGACGTGAGTGCACTGCTGCCGCTTGCCACCTCTTGCACGCACAGCGCAGCACTGACGCACGGCCCCTTCGCGATCTGCAGCAAAGGACGGCGCAGCAGGTGCTGGCGCAGTTCCAGGAGCACCCAGAGGCGTGGCAGCGCGTGCCCGCCATTCTGCAGCAGAGCTCCAGCGCACAGACCAAGGTGAGTGGCAGCGGCCGAGCAAGGTCCCGCGAGCGAGGCAGCACGCGCGCAGGCGCAGCAACCCGACCCGCTGTGCCCTACAAAGCGTGGTCGGGCTCAGCTAGCCCAAAGCGCACCGACGGCTTGATGTTGCCCTCAGTGCCTCTCAGCGAGCGCTGCGCTGACTGCCGCTGTCTGCAGTACATTGCGCTGCAGATCCTCGACAAGCTCATCACGACGCGCTGGAAGGTGCTGCCCGTCGACCAGCAGCAGGGCATCCGCAACTTCATCGTCGAGACGATCATCAGCGTCTCGTCCGACGAGGCGGCGCTGCGCACGCAGAAGACGTACATCAACAAGCTCGATGTGACGCTCGTGCAGGTGCGTGCAGCAGTAGGCTGATGGCTGCCGGCGCCTCGTGCTGACAGCCCGCTGCAGATCCTGAAGCAGGAGTGGCCGCACCGCTGGCCGACGTTCATCAGCGACATTGTCTCGTCGTCGCGCACCTCGCTCTCCATCTGCGAGAACAACATGGCGATTCTGCGCCTGCTCTCCGAGGAGATCTTCGACTACTCGGCCGAGGCCATGACGCAGGCCAAGACGAAGAACCTGAAGAACCAGATCTGCGGCGAGTTTGCCGATGTGTTCCAGCTCTGCATCGAGGTGCTGGAGAAGGCACAGAAGCCCAGCCTCATCAAGGCCACGCTCGAGACGATGCTGCGCTTCCTGAACTGGATCCCGCTGGGCTACATCTTCGAGACGAGCGTGATTGACCACCTCATCGGGCGGGTGAGTAGCGTGGCGAGTGTGGCGAGGGAAGGGCAAAGGTCGGAGAATATGTGACGGGACGGGCAGAGCTGTGTCGCGCATGCTCTGCGCGCTGGGTGCTCATGGGCTGCCGCCGAGCTCGCGCAACAGGCAGGTCCGGGCTGGCAAAGCTCCCGCTGCCGCAGACGTTTCGGCCCACGCTGACGCCCTGCCGCCAGTTCCTCGAGGTGCCCGAGTTCCGCAACGTGACGCTCAAGTGCCTGTCGGAGATTGCGGGCCTGAACGTCGGGCCCGAGTACGACGCCAAGTTCGTCGTGCTCTTCAACATGGTCATGACGGCGGTGAACCGCATGGTGCCGCCGAGCACGAGTGAGTGGGCGCGCTGCACTTGGTGCGGTCAGGGCTGACGCGGGCGCTGCCAGACATCGCTGCCGCGTACGAGTCGTCGTCGGACTCGGACCAGGAGCTGGTGCTCAACCTGGCGCTCTTCCTCTGCAACTTCTTGCAGGCGCACCTCAAGCTCGTCGAGCACACCGAGCACCGCGACGTGCTGCTGAACGCCCACCTCTACCTCATCAAGGTGTCGCAGGTGCCGGAGCGGGAAGTGTTCAAGATCTGCTTGGAGTACTGGAGCAAGCTGGTGGCCGAGGTGAGTCTGCTGCGTGCGAACGTGCGATTCGCTGCATGCTGATGCGGTGGTGTGTGTCCCAGCTGTACGAGGAGATCCAGCAGCTGCCGATGCCAGAGATGAACCCGTTGCTCGGTCTCAACCTCGGCAACGGCGCAGGGCAAGGCGCAAACGCGATGAACCTGCGCAAGCACACGTACGCCGACATCCTCAGCAACCTGCGTCTCGTCATGATCGAGCGCATGGTCAAGCCCGAGGAGGTGCTGATCGTGGAGAACGACGAGGGCGAGATTGTGCGCGAGTTCATGAAGGAGAGCGACACCATCGTGCTGTACAAGTCGATGCGCGAGGTGCTCGTGTACCTCACGCACCTCGACGTCGCCGACACGGAGACGATCATGACGGAGAAGCTCTCAAAACAGGTCGACGGCAGCGAGTGGAGCTGGGCGAACCTGAACACGCTGTGCTGGGCGATTGGCAGCATCTCGGGTGCTATGAGTGAGTGCTGCTGTGGCTGTGCCATGCGCGCAAAGGCGGCTGACAGCTATCTCCAGGCGAGGAGACGGAGAAGCGCTTCCTGGTCACCGTCATCAAGGATCTGCTGGGCCTGTGCGAGATGAAGCGCGGCAAGGACAACAAGGCGGTCGTGGCGAGCAACATCATGTACATCGTCGGCCAGTACCCGCGCTTCCTCAAGGCGCACTGGAAGTTCCTCAAGACGGTCGTCAACAAGAATTTCGAGTTCATGCACGAGACCCACGAGGGTGAGTGGAGACAGCGTGCGTCCGAGCACGCAGCTACTGACCCGACTCGCTCCACAGGCGTGCAAGACATGGCATGCGACACCTTCATCAAGATTGCACAAAAGTGCCGGCGACACTTTGTCATGCAGCAGTCGGGCGAGCAGGAGCCCTTCATCGACGAGATCCTGCGCACGCTGCACCGCATCACCGTCGACCTGTCGCCGCTGCAGGTGCACACGTTCTACGAGGCCATCGGCTACATGATCGCCGCGCAGCCCAACAAGCCGACGCAGGAGCGCCTCATCGCCAAGCTCATGGAGCTGCCGAACAACGCGTGGGACTCGCTCATGGCGCAGGCACACAGCAACGTCGACGTGCTCGGCAACCCGGAGAACATCAAGATTCTCTCCAACGTGCTCAAGACGAACGTCTCGGCGTGCTCCTCTGTCGGCACCTTCTTCCTGCCGCAGATCGGCCGCATCTACCTCGACATGCTGGCGCTGTACCGCAGCGTGAGCGGCGTCATCAGCGCCAAGGTCGACTCCGACGGCCTCGTGGCGACCAAGACGCCGCTGGTGCGCGGCCTGCGCACCATCAAAAAGGACATTCTGCGTCTCGTCGAGACGTACGTCAAGCGCGCCGAGGACCTGGAGCAGGTCAACTCGAACCTCATCCCATCGCTCCTCGACGCCATCCTCAGCGACTACCACAACAACGTGCCTGCCGCGCGCGACGCCGAGGTGCTCAACGTCGTCGCCACGATCACGGGCCGTCTCGGCTCGCTGCTGACCGACAAGGTGCCGCCGATTCTCGACGCCGTGTTTGGTGAGTCGCTGCGCACGAGCCGCATCTGCTGCACCCGCTGACCACAAGCGCAGAGCCGACACTGTCGATGATCAACCGGGACTTCGCCGAGTACCCGGAGCACCGCGTGGGCTTCTTCAAGCTGCTGCGCGCCATCAACTTCAACTGCTTCCCGGCACTGCTCTCGCTCGAGCCGGCCAAGTTCAAGCTCTTCGTCGACGCGCTCGTGTGGGCCTTCAAGCACGCACAGCGCGACGTGGCCGAGCAGGGCCTTAGCACGGCACTCGAGCTGCTCGGCAATATCTCGACGCAGGAGCCGAGCGTCAGCGGCGGCTTCTACCAGCAGTACCTGCTCGCCATCATCCAGGGTGAGTAGCGCCTGCTCCGCTGCATCATCGCCTCGCTGACCCCATCACATCAGATGTCTTCTTTGTCCTCACCGACTCGGACCACAAGGCCGGCTTCAAGACGCAGTGCGCGCTGCTCGCACGCATCTTTGAGCTCGTCGAGAGCGGCAAGGTGCAGGCGCCGCTGGCCGAGGGCATCTCGGACAACCGCGCGTACATCCGGCAATTCTGCGCCAACCTGTCAGTCGTGCGGAGCGCTGCGACGTGTACGCCTGAGACTGACACGCTCTCCTTGTCGCAGGCTGAAGAACGCCTTCCCGCACGTCGAGACGGCCTACCTCGAGGCCTTTGTCAACGGCCTGGCGCAGGACGCGCAGGACCTGACGGCGTACCGCAACCGCATCCGCGACCTGCTCGTCGTGTCGAAGGAGCTCTCCGCCGGCGAGGGCGCGGCCGAGGAGCTCTTTGCCGCCGAGGACCAGGAGGAGAAGCGGCGCGCGGCCGCCGCGGCAGACGAGCGCCGCGCGGCGGCAGTGCCGGGCATGCTGAAGCCCAGCATGGTCAAGGTGAGCAGCGAGCAGACACGGTTGCACTGGCGAGCAGGCTGCTGACATCGCCGCCTCACTCGCAGGACGAGGACGAGGAGCTGTGACTCATTCACGAACTGCTGTACTGAGCACGACGCTGCGATGCTGGCGCCGTGCTGCCCGCCTGCCGCGCATTGCACGGGGCGGGCGCCTTCACCCTCACACTCCTCTCTGTGATGCCCCCACTCTCTGTTCCCCCACTCTACCCTCTACGGTGATAATCGACACGCTGTTGCAGTCCAGCGGATGCGCCGGCTGATGGCGGGCAGGCAGCGTTGCTCCACCTGCGAGGTTCGCACGCTCCCGCACGAGAGAAGCCGCGGATTTTGGCCTTCACCCGCTTCGCTTCGAGGCCGCCCTCCTGCCTCACCTCCACCAGCATCGTCCTCTCTCGTTCTTCGTTTGCGCCATGGCCGCCGTCCTGCCGCCGCCGCCGCGCGCCACCTCTGTGCTCGTCATCGGCATGGCCGGCTCGGGCAAGAGCACCTTTGCCGCTGCCCTTGCCCGCACGCGGCAGCGCGACGCCCTCGACGCCGCACAGAGCTCGGCACAGGGCTCGGCAGACGCCGCCGCTGCCGCTGCTGCAGCAGCAACGCCGGACACACGGCCGACGCCCGCATACCTCGTCAACCTCGACCCGGCAGTCACGACGCTCGGCTACGAGCCAAACGTCGACATCCGCGACACGGTCGACTACCGCCGCGTCATGGAAGAGTGAATGGGTGCCCCGCGCCGGCGGCACAGACGGGAGCGCTAACGCTGCTGCGTGCAGGTACAACCTTGGCCCGAACGGCGGCATCCTCACCGCGCTCAATCTCTTCACCACGAAGTTCGACCAGGTGCTGGGCATCCTCGAGAAGCGCGCCACGGACTGCCAGTGCGTGTGCTGTCTGGAGCACGGGCGCGTGCAGCTGAGCAAGGTAGCTGATCGCTTCGCTCGCGCAGAGAGATCATCCTGGACACGCCGGGCCAGATCGAGATCTTCACCTGGTCCGCCTCTGGCTCCATCATCACTGATGCGCTCGCCAGCGCCATGCCGACGTGCGTCGCCTACGTCATCGACACGCCACGCACGACGGCGCCGGCGACGTTCATGAGCAACATGCTCTATGCGTGCAGCATCATGTACAAGACGCGCCTACCATTCATCCTCGTCTTCAACAAGACCGACGTGCAGTCGTCGGACTTTGCGCTCGAGTGGATGAAGGACTTTGAGGCCTTCCAGGCGGCACTGGCGGGCGGCAACGCGACGGAGCCGAGCGACGTGGGTGCGCACCCTTCTGTGGCCGCAGCGACACGAGCGGCGCAGCGTGGCGAGGACCAGGGGTACATCAACAGCTTGATGAACTCGATGGCGCTGGTGCTCGACGAGTTCTACAACAACCTGCGGGTGAGTGGCGCGGCGTGAGAGCGCTTCAAGTGCAGCGGGCTTATACGAGGCGCAGGCGGTGTCCGTCTCGTCGACGACAGGCGACGGCATTCCTGCCTTCTTCTCTGCCGTGCAGGAGGCGCGGCAAGAGTACCTCGAAGACTACCGGCCCGAGCTGGAGCGCGTCAAGCGCGAGCGCGACGAGAAGCGCGAGCGCAAGAAGGGCGAGGAGGTGGCGCGTCTCATGCGCGACATGGCCATGGGCGAGCAGGCTGGTGCAAAGGAGGACGGCGCCGAGGAGGAGAAGATCATCGACCGGTATGAGGGTGACGGAGAGATCATCGAGCCGGTGAGTGAGCGCGGCATGCGGCAAGCAGAGCAAGGCTGAGCGATTGCGGGCGCAGGATGCAGACGAAGAGATGGGCACGCGCGACCCAGACGTCCCGGGCACCAATCAACGCAACACCCATGCTCTGCCACGTTCGTCCGGCTGGGACGATGGAGCACAGTGGCCACGACCCGCATGAGGGCAATGCAATCACTGTCACGCAGCTCGCAGAAGTGCATTATGCGAGAAGGCACTCAGTAGCCGCGCCCAGCGTTCTCTCTGAAGCCGCCGGTGCTGCAGGACGGCGTCAGCTGCAAGGTCGCTAGCGCTGGGAGTGCAGATCTCACGAAAGCGATGGTGGCAGATCCTCGAGGCGCGTGCCGAAGGCCGATGGCGTCGCGCCCATGGTGAGCACCAGCTCTCCGCCCTCGACGAACTGCGAGCACGCCTGTGTCAGCGACGCGCAAGCGACCTGTCCTGCGCAGCGCGCTCACGAAAGCGTTGTGCTCGAGCCAATTTTTGGTGTAAGGCTCGCCGTTCAGCGTCGCCGACACGATGTACTGCGCAGACACGCTTGTCAGCCATCAGCCGAGATCAGGCACGCTCGGAAGCCGCTCGCCTTGTTCTTCTTCGCGCCGTCCCAGTTGAGTGCTTTCACGGTGGCGACCTTGCCGGAGACACCAGACGTGATCTAGCCGCAGCGTCAGTCCTGCGAAATGTGGGCCGCGGTGGCGCGACGCACTGAGTACTCGGGGAACAGCGGCGTCGACAGCAAGTACACAGACGTGCCGGCGACCGGGTAGATGCCCAGCGAGGTGAACACGGCGTACGCGGCCGTGGCGCCCGAGTCGTCGTTGCCAGGGATGCCGCCGGCCGTCTACAGAGGCAAGTGTGAGCCAGCAAGGCCCTGAGTCGCAGCTCAAGTGCCACCTCACGGTGTTGAAGAAGGTGCGGTAGGTCTTCAGTGCGCGGTCCACTGTGTGCGGATAGCCGCCGACGGCATAGCTGTACAAGAAGTTCGGCAGGAAGCCCTGCTCGCTGATGCACGATCACCGAGCGTCAGCTCGATAGCCAGTCGCGAGGCACAGCGCCACTCACTCTCCGATGTCCAGGTACTCGCGGTCCCAGCCATGGTCGAGTCGCTTGATGAACGTCTCGGCGCCGCCCATCAGGTCGACGATCGTGGCCATGTCGTTGGCGGCGAGGAATGAGTCTGCAGCGGGAGAGATCAGCCTCGTGATCCAGCACGGCCCAAGGTTGCACGCACACTCCCAGCTCGAGGCCTCGTAGAACTGCGGCACGATGTCATACGGAAGCAGGTAGCACTGGCCGAACTCTGCGCATGCTCGTGTCAGTCAGTCGGAGTCAGCAGCAAGACACGAGCCGAGTCGACACACCAAAGGCCGGCGAGCACTTGCGCGGATCCTCGGAGTCTTTGCCAATCGACCACGATCCTGCTCACCCCATGTCAGTGAACCACGCAGCACTCGTCTGCCGCCGGTCTCACCGTTCTCATAGCGCGAGTCGAGGAAGCCGCTGAAGCCGTCAGACATCACATTGGCGTTCCACAGGTTGCGAAAGTCGAGTGAGCGCGCTGCAAAGTCCTTGTACGTGTCCATCTGGCCCACTCCAGCGGCAACAAGCGCAATCGAGAAGTCGTTGTAGCTGTGCTCGAGCGTGCGACTGACGCTGCGGCCACCGAGGACAGTGGGCCCATCGGGCAGATCGCCTCCGCCGTCTCGCGGCTGCAGAAGTGGTCAGCGCAACGAGCAGTGGCAGCTCGCATGTGAACAGCTCACGATGTAGCCGAGCCTCTTGCGCGCCTCGATGCCGCCGCGTCCCTCTAAGCCCCAGTCCGGCGGGCTGACTTCGGCATTCTTGCGCATCGCCTCCAACACTTCGGCCCAGTCGATGCGTGCGTCGCGGATGCCCTTGACATAGGAGTCGGCCAGCATCGAGTCGGCATTGCTGCCGCCCTGGGACTTGCCTTTGCACTTGCTCATACGGCAGTCGGGCAGCTGTCGAGGGGAAGAAAGTGAGAACGGACTGCAGGTGACTGCACTGAGTCACGTACGAAGCCTTCGTGGCGATAGATGTCCATGAGAGAGCGCACGACGTCCGTCTGGAGCGGCCTGCAGAAGTATCAATGAGCAGAGCCGAGGCTGAGCTTGGCCGGTGCACGCACGTATTCAGCAGCGTGTAGAGGGGATGCACCACGCGGAACGAGTCCCAGAGACAGTAGTACGAGTCAAACACCGGCTCGCTGGTTTCCCAGAGAGGCCAGTCGCCGGTAACGTTGGTCGGGCTGATGTACGTGCGCGCGAGGCTCGAGTAGAAGAGCTTCAGTTGGTCGTGCGTGACGCCCGTCACGTTTGTCCGGAATGTCGAGCTGAGGATGGCGTTCCACTCGTCTCGAGCAGCGGATCGGACGGCGTCGAAGTCAGCGCGGGCGGAGACGTTCGGAATCTCGGCCTCAGCAAAGTCGCAGGCCTGTGCGTACCTCGGAATGTCAGCGCTATCCACCTGTACATGCTGCTGCCCTCACCTTCTCGACACTGGTCCATGACACGCCGATGCGGAGCCAGGTTTGATGCGCGCTTGACCGCAGCGCGTGCTCATCGAGCTTCAGGACGACGCCGGCCTCGCTATAGATCGCTGGCAGGTGCTGTCAGTCTCGCGCAGCCCTGCCTGCGAAGTCTCGCCGAACTGACGCGGGTTTTTCAGGCTCGACTCGTGGCGGATCGTTCCGTTTACAAAGGTCACAGTGTCAAGCACACCCGGCGTCGTCTGTGTTGCGCTGTCAGTGACAGACTGTTGGAGCACAAGACCGGCAGACTGACAGCGCAGAAGTGGACCGTATACGGCGTGTCTTGCGGCCCGAACGACGGCAAGTAGGAGCCCCAGCCCTTTATTGTCGTGAGACTACTTCCATCGTCAACCGTCTCTGTAGAGATATCGACAGCACCACTACCCGTGTAGGAATGCGCCAGGTCGTTGGTCAGGTCGAAGAGAATGACCGGGCTAGCTTTCTGTTTGCTTGCGAGCGCGTACTGGGCGGTACGGCCAGCTGCTCCAGCAAAGCGCTCCGCCTGTTCGCCTGGCTCGGCAAAGGTGAACCAGTGCAGCGCAGTGTGAGCCGTCGTCGTTACCTCTGCCTCGATGTCGCCGTCGAGCGAGACGGCAAAGTAGCCGGGCTCGGCGCGCGCCGGGCGAGTCTGGTTGAGGGCGCGCTTCGTCTCTCGCGTGTGGCAGCCGCCGTGCTTCGGCTCGACGCCAAAGTTGCAGCGGCTTGGTAGCAGCTTGAACTGGCCTGTAGGCGGATGGGTGAGTCAGAAGCGCACAATGGCCGTCTGTTCACAGCTCGATGCTCGCCGAGACTGGGACTGCCGCCAGTGCCGTCGTCGTGCAGCTGCGAGATGCCGAGCACGGCCGAGCCGTCCGAAACGTAGCCGCCCTGGTTGTCGCCGCCGGCCGTGTCGGCGACAGCCTTGACGCTGCCACCAGGCAGGCCGGCGCCAGCGACTGCAGGCATCGAGGCGCAGGGCAGCGTGAGTGCAGCACGGAGAAGCGCACGCCGGCACACACTGACAGACGTGGCCGCCGTTGAGCGTGCCGATGAGCGGGTCGACGAAGCGTGCTGGATCGTGCAGTGCGTGGGCAGCGTGTGCGCCGAGCAGCAGCAGCGTCCAAGTCGCGGCTGCGGCGGGAGCGGGCGGCATGCTTGCGGGCCGGCGTGGGGCGTGTGTGGAGAGGCAAGGCGCCCTCCAGGACGCGTGGTCCGAGCGCCAGCAGACGCGGCACAGGGGCGCCCGCCGCGCGCTGTGTGCCTGACGCACCTTGCAGCGCCGCAGATAGCACCTTCTCGGCTAGCAGCTCCTCCTCACAGCCGCTCAGCACAAGAATGCCTCGATCTTCGTGCACAGGGCGACGCAGTAGGGCCCAGGACTCAGCAAGGTCTACGCTGGATAGAGCGCTCAGAGCAAGTCTTCGGCAGTGGAGACGCCATTCGGCTGAGGCCTCAAAAGACGTGTGCAGCACTCAGTAGCTTGCTTCTCTTGAGCAGCGCTGTAGAACCCTGCACCCTCAACGCCGCTTCTGTGCACTCAAGAGGTCGCTTCCAGTCACTTTCTAGATTATGCAGGCGAAGTAAAAGGGATAGAGGCGCTGTAGCCTGTCAAGAGGAGCGCTCGAAGCATGGCCGAGCTTCTCGGCGCGCGTGGCGCGCTGCTCTCACGGCAGCGGCACGGCAGCGTAGACGCGGCGGCGCGCAGCGCGCGGCAGGCTTGGCGCAGAGGGCGCGGCGCCTAGACGCAGCCTCAACACGCGCCGCATCCACAGCCTGACAAGTGAGCTGGCCGACGCGCACAGCTTGGCAGCGGGCCGAATCTCCAGGGCGGCGGACAGCAGCAGCAGCAGCAGCAGCAGCAGCAGCAGCAGCAGCAGCAGCAGCAGCAGCAGCAGCAGCAGCAGCAGCAGCAGCAGCAGCAGCATGCACGAGTCAGACCACACACACGAGCAGGCGCGGCGCTCCACGGTGTCATTCAATGGGAGAAGAGCGTGTGACTGAGGGTAAAGTGCGGCAGGCGGGACAGCGCGCGCAGAAGAGGGTGCGGCAGAAGGGAGAGAGAGGGAGAAGACTGAATATGCAGGTGGGCGGACGTGGGAGAGGGTGAAGCGGGAAGCAGCGAGGGGCGTGTGCGTCGTGGAGGTGGCGCAGCGGCAGGCGGCAGGACATCATCATCATCGTCGTCGTCATTGTTCAGGAGCAGAAGGCGAAGAGAGACGAGGCAGCGCGAGGCGCGACGCTGCGCCGCTTAGGCGAGGGCGGCGACGAGCACGGCGACCATGCCGCCGACGACGGCCGAGTAGCCGCGCAGCGAGGCAGCCGAGTCGGGGCGGCGCGTCGTAGTGGCGGCCGCGGCAGCGCTGCTCGACGAGCTCGACGAGCGCGACGACTGCGAGCTGCTCGAGGCGGCCGAGCTGCAGCAGGAGCGAGCGGCGCGTCAGTGCCAGCAAGGGTGTGCGACAGGCAGGGCACCACTTACGAGCTGGAGGCAGCGCTGGTCGCGGACGACGACGAGGCGGACGAGGACGAGGCCGCGCTGCTCGACGACGAGGCGCCGCTGGAGCTCGACTGGCCGACGCTGTGAAGAGGACGGGGCGTCAGCGTCGCGGGCAAGCAAGGCACGCAGGACAGCGGCACACGCACCAGCTGCTCGAGCTGCCGGCGACGACGGGGTTCGTGGTGCTGGAGTACTGCGTGAAGCCCGTCGAGTCCGTCACGGCGATGGTGAACTGCGAGCCGACGGCCTGGTTGACGGTCCAGACCTGCGACGTGCTGCTCGTCTGGTCGAACTGCACGACGGTGGTGCCCGAGGCGCCGGGCGTCGTGATGCGCGGGAAGTACGGCGCAGTGCCGCCGCTCCAGCTGAGGTTGATGGGCTGGCACTGCACGAAGGCCGGCGGCGTGGCGACGGTGAGGCCGCTCTGCGCGAGGGCGACGCCGGCGGCGACGAGGCCGGTGAGGGCCATGAGGGCGGAGGAGGCGTGCATGGTGGCGGCGGGAGGTATTAGCGGGAGGGGTGAAGGGTGGGTTGGGCTGCGACGGTGCGGAAGGTGTGGTGGCGGGACGGCAGGGTGCGATGCGGCAGGGTGCAGTGTATTTGAGATGCTGGGGCGTGCGCCGTGCGCAGCGCGATGGCGCGGGCCGAGGGGCTCGGCGGAGCACGGCTGCCGTGCGCCGAGCCAGCGCAGCGCCGAGCACGGCAGCCCACAGCGGCAGAGCGCACGGCAGAGCACCGCACGCCGCACGCCGCACAGCCGCAGCGACTCGACTCAACTTCGCTTGCCGTCCGTCTGGCGCTGGCACCGCTGGGGCGTGCGGCCCGGCTGGCTGGCTGCCTCATCTGCACGCGCATGCACCGCGACGGCAGCGGCTGCGTGTGTATGCACGCCGTGCATGCGAACCTCTGACAGCGCGCCGGCCTCAGGTGCCTGCCGCCGCATCCGCTGGACTGATGCGCTGCGACTGATGCACTCTCTCTCTCCTTCTCTGCTGCGGCGCTGTCCTGCTGCTCAGCGCTGTCCGGCACCGGCCGCCGAGCGTTCGACGGCGGCACGCGCATCTCACACCGCTCCCGCGCCGAGCGTTTGCGGCGCGGCTGCGGCCGCCGCGCCGGCGCCACCGCTGCGCAGCGCCAGAAGGGCGGATGTGCCGTGCGCTGCTGCCGCACCCGAGGCGCACAGAGGTTCTCCGGAGCACCGCGGCAGCGGTCCATCATGCCGCCGCGCACACAGCCCGGCCGCCCGCTGCGGCAGCCGCGCACGCCGATCTCTGCCCGTGCACACTCGGCAGCTCCGCCCCTGAGCGCTCTCGCACCTCATCACACCTGCGCGGCCGCGCCGCTTCTGTGCCTGCGCTGCAGCGCTGGAAGCTCAGCGAAGCCATCGTGCACGCCCTCTGCCTCTGCGCTGCCTGCTGCCGTGCCGCGCCGCCGCTGTCGGCCGCAAGAGAGCCAAGCCGCGGCGACGGCCGGCCTGCATGACGAGCGCTCCAACGGCGCCGTAGCGCGACCCTGAGCGCTGCCCGCCGAGCCGCCGCTTCGCGAGGGCGAGATGCGCGACGGACGCTTTGCTGCACGCTGCGCCGCTGCGCCACACGGCCGCGGCACCGCCCATCGTCGGGCGGGCGGCGAGATGCGGCACGCCTCGGCCCTGCGCTGCCGCCTGCGGCTGCGCTTGCGCTGATCTCGTCGTTCCCAGCGAGCCTTCTCCCGCGCTGCCGGCCGGCTGCCCCCTGACGTCGCTCTGCTGCGCCGCTAGAATCAGACGCGAGAGCTGACGCAGCTTTGGCACGTCAAATCGCAGATTGCGATGGCCTCAGGGGCGTCCGCTCTCCACCTGGCGAACAGCCCGTGACTGCGGCTGACGAGGGGCGCTGCTGTGCGAGAGTGCCGCACTGCTGTGGCGGGTGGTGCGAGACCCTCGTCGCATTTTGCCCCAGCACCGCCCGCGCATGCCGGGGCACCAACGCAGCGTGTGGCGGTGCCGCATGCTGTCTGGGTCAGGGTCTCGCGGCTCGCACCGCCCGCTGATGGCCTGCGCTGCGGCTGCGAAGTGCCGCGTGCGGCAGTGCCCCTCTCACTCGGCGGGAGCGGCACGCGCGCCAGAGAGCGCAGCATCGCAGCATGCAGGTGCACAGGAGGTGCAATCTGAGAGAGCAGCCGCTCAGACGCGGCCCGCGGGCGCCGCTGGCCGACGCCGTGGAGCGGGAGAGCTCATCGTGCCCCACTCTGGTCGCACAGCAGCAACAGCTGATGAGTGATGCCTGCATGAGCTCCTCCCCCAGCCGCCGGATCGCAGACAGCGCCAGGTCCTCGGCGCATCGGCCCTAGCCGGTCCGATGCCGGTGTACGTGTGTGTAGATCTCTCTGCAGGAGAGGCTCCGAGCCGCCGCTAATCGGACATCACGAGGCTGGACGTCCATCACACTCGCCAATCTCATCAGAGGGGCCACGCTCTCGCATGCAACATGACACTCGTCCGGATCGTTGCTAGGGTACATTTCATGAAAGCCCGGGAGGTGCAGCGGGCACGCAGCGGCCACAGGAGTAGAGAAGAGAAAGGAGTGGGCAGAGAGGAGACCACCAGATTAGGAGGACAGCGGCCGACGAAAGAGTGTGCGAGCCGCTGAGCGATTCGTCGACGGCTCTGTCGATCACCATGCGCGCATCGTGTCGAGCAGCAGCTTGTCGAGCGTCTGGCAAGGCAGAATTAGCAGGAGCTCGGAGCGACGAGCACGGCGGGTACTCACGTCTTCTAGCGCGTTAAGCTGGTTGTCGAGCCGGGAGTACGACTCGCGCGTCTTGGCCGGGCCTTCGAACGGCGGCACTTGCGGCGCAAAGAGGCCTGCCACCTGCGGCGACAGAGCTGCGGCGCGCGAGCGGGGCGAGACGGGCATGCTTGCCTTGGCCGACGGCGATGCACGCCGCGGGTCGCGACGTGCAGCTGCGTCGACGACAGCATACAGGTGCTCGAGGCCAAAGTCGCCACCAATGAAGGGCGCCGGAGTGCGGATGCGTGCGCCGCCCGTCGGTGCCGCCCGGCTGCTGGCCTCGGTTGGCGTTGCCCGCGAAGAGCCGTCGGCGCGCTCCTGGCCACCACCGACGGCAGTGCTCAGAGCGTTGACCGCACCCGCCGTGAGTGCTGCAGCGCCGGCAGCGACACCGGCTCCGACCGCCGCGACCGCAGCCATGGGTGCAGACATGTTGTCGGCGCCGCGCGGACTGGTCTGCGACTGCGAGAGCCCGCTGCCGTTGACGCGATGCCGGGCATCGGCCGGAGGCGTGACGGATCCGCTGCGGCCGTTGCGAGAGTCGTAGGAATCTCCGCCTCGCATCGACGATGAGCTCGCACCGGCGACGCGCGAGAGCACCTGGTCGATGCGCTCGTCGATGTTGGCCTCTGATGCCGCCGGGTTGCGCACAAATGTCTCGAGCAGGTCCGCATTGCCGGCGCTGGCCGCGGGCGCGCGGGCCGACTTCTTGTTCAGCGCAAGCGGTGCAGTCTGCAGATCGCCCTCGCTGCCGAACGCATCCAGAGTCAGGTTGACCTCGCGCAGGCTCAGCGGACTCGATGGGTTGAGCTCGCTCGAGGCGCTCTCGTAGCCCGCGTCGCTGACGAACGTGCCTCGGCTAACGTCGCGCGAGATCGGCGGGCGCAGTGCATCGCCGGGTGCGAGCGCATTATTCTGATCCCGCAGCACGTCCTCGATGATGGCGCTGATGTCCTGCTCAGCGCCGGTCTCGGGCACATACGAGTAGCGCATGCGTCCGCTCTCGGCCGAGCGCGAGCTGCGGATGCGGGCCTGGTCGGAGAGCACAACGTCGACGCCGTGCGCCTCGTTGCGCTGCGCACCGAGCACCGCAGCGCGCCGCTCGTGGGCCGCAGCTCGCTGCGCAGCAATGATCTCCTGGCGGCTCATGCCGGCCGCAGAGCCCGAGCCCGGCGCCTCGACGGCACCCTCGGCCGCGGCGCGCGGAGAAGGCGCTGGGGCGACAGTCTCCAGCTCGGCTTGCCGCCGCTCGTTGACCTTGTCGATGAGGACGCCCTCGGTGGGACTCAGCGCGCGTGCGCTGCGAGAGCGGCCCGTCTGGAGCACCTGCCGCAGGATGAAGACGGGGTCGTCGGAGCGAATGTCGCTCACCATCGACAGCAGCGTGGCCGGGTCGAAGCTGCGCCGCTTCTCGCTGCGGCTCTTGCCGGGCGCCTCGCGGAAGATCGGCTGCACAGGGTAGGCCTCGAGCACCTTCGACGCCGGAGCAAGCGGGCGTTCCTTGTTGCGCAGGTCCACTGAGAGGCCGTAGCGCACGCGGCCCTTGCTTCGCCGGCGCGACGAGCGCTCCTCGACATCGTCGCCGCCCTCGACGAGGCCCTCCATGATGCCGAAGCGCTCGAGACCCTGCTCGATGACCTCGGCGACCGTCGTGTTGCGCGGCAGCGCCAGGATCTTCTCGCGGTACTGCTGCTGCACGCCCTCCGACGCGACGTTGCCACTGGCACCGCGCTCCTGCAGCACGCTGGCCGGAATGAGCGCGTTCGTCTGCGGGTCGAAGACTGTGCCCTCGGGCAGGTCTGACGGAAAGATGATGAGGCGCAGCGCGAATCGTGAAGGCGCAGATGACTGCGATGCTTCCGAGGAGTCAGGCAGCATCAGACTCGAGGTCAAGCTTCCGTCGCCGAGTGCGCCGCGACCCAGGTAGGAGCCGTCATTAGACATGGCGACGCTCGAGAGGTGCGGCGAGGCGTTCGCCGAGCTGTGCCGCGTGCTTGCCCGCATGCGCCGATTGAGATAGAACTTGACGGCGTGGTCGTCGCTGAAGTCGTCGCCCAGGCGCGCAATGGCCGGGTTCAGGCTGAGGTTCGACGAGATCGACGAGATGGAGCCGACGCTGGAGCGCTTGACGCTGGGAATCGTCGGCGTCCCTCGCTCGGGTGTCGCATCGGTGAGCTGGTCGAAGACGCGCAGCGGCTGCTCATGCCCTGCCAGCGCGCGCTCGTCGCCCTCCAGCAGCTTGACGCTCAGGAAGTACTCTGACGGATCGTGCCCGGAGCCGAGGCGGAAGCGCTGCATCGACTGGCGCACCAGGTCGGCGGCCTGCGTGGCCTCGTTGAGCAGCACCGTCTTGAACGTGGCGTCGCTGTCGATGTCGTCGCCGGCGAAGACGCGCAGCACGTTGAGCATCGGCACAGTGCTCGGCGTGCCTATCAAGCTGCCTGGACGCGCACGGAAATTCTGGTTCGGCAGGCCGGGCGAGTAGTCTGGACCTGGGCCGCCCAGCGAGCTGTCGCCAGGGCTAAGCTGCGCGCGCGGCTCGGACAGGAATTGGCGCTGGTACGCCTCCTGCTGCGCGCGGTCGCGCTCCTGCACTGTGCGCCCGAAGCCGGTGGATGCGCCTGGCGACATGGCGCCGGAGCGGCGATTGCCCTGGCTGCCCGCATAGCTGTCTTCCGAGCTGCGGCCGGCCATGACGCCGTCGTCGCTGAAGGTGCCAGACTTGCGGTCCTTCTTGTCCTTGCGCGAGAAGAGCCCGCTGAAGACGCCCGAGCGCTTCTTGGCGCTCTTCTCCTCGGCGCCATCGTCCTCTCCGCGCGACTTGCGATTGCTCGTCCGCCGCTGCTCGCGCTCCTTCTTGGCGTCTGGCGACAGGCCAGGCGAGAGGCGCCCGGCCTGCACGCTCGAGTTGGCGCTCAGGTCCGAGCCTGAGCGCTCTCGCGATGCCTGCACCTGTGATGGCGCAGCCGGCTGCCCTGCCAGAGAGCTAGAGCTGGAGAGCGAGCGCTCGCTGGGCGGCCTGCGATCCTGCATCCCGGCTGCGTTCAGCTCGCCCGCGCGCGTCCCGCCCTGCTGCTGCGCACTCGGCCCAGCGACACCTTGCCGCTGAGCGAGAGCCATGCGCTGCTGCTGCTGGTGCTGCATCTGCCGCTGGTGCTGCTCTTGCTGCTGCGCCTGCAGGTCGCGCTGGTACTGCTGCTGGTGCTGGTGCTGCTCCTGCAGCTGCTGCTGCTGGGCGTGCTGCGCCTGCTGCGCTTCTTGCCGCTCGTTCTGCGCTTCCTGCTCGCGCTGCACGCGCTCTGCCTCGGCCGCGTCCCAGTCCATGCCGTCGTCGGGCTCCATGCGGTCGAAGCCCGGCGCGCCGGCCTGTGCAGCGCGCGGGCGCACGCCGCCACCGACACTCTCGCCCTCGGCGACTGCCGGCTCGAGATCTGCCTCCTCCTCCTCTTCCTCCTCGTCGTCGTACTCCTGCCCGTCCATCTCCATCATGTCCTCCTCGTCGAACTCCTCCTCGGAGCTCATCTCGTTGCCGCTGTGCTCGAGGTACGTTGGCGGGCCGAAGACGACGCCGCGCTTGCCGATGCGCTTCGTCTCTTTGGCCATGTGCTGCGGCTCGCCGCCTTCGCGCCGCCGCGACAGCGCCGACAACTTGCCCGAATGCGCGGAGATGCCGCCGTTGGGCCCGTACAAGCGCTGCTTGACGAGGTGCGAGACGTAGATCTTCTCTGGAACCTGAATGTGGTCGTCGTCTGTGGCGGACGTGAGCTGTGGGAACCGGATGTCAGCGACACGTTAGCAGCGGCGAGAGAAGAGACGCACGTCGACGTTGCGATGCTTGTTCAGCCGGGCCAGCCGCTCGAAGGGCGTCTCGATATTCTCGGCAGGAATGTAGCCGACCTCCTGCGTGCGCAGCACGCGCACAAGCCACCTGCAGACAAAGCGTGAGCCAAGCTCGGCATGAGACGACCAGGCGCTGCTCACCAGTAGGAGTTCGAGTCGTCGAGCAGCGTCAGGCTGTTGCCCTTATGCACCGTCGCCTGGCCCTCGACGGTCGCGACGAAGTTGTGCAGCGCGTACACGAGATCAAAGTCGATGTTCTCGTCGGGGATCGACGGGCTGCTCGACATGTCGTCGTCCTCGTCGTCCTCATCATACACGCCGTCTTCGTCCGAGTTGCCCTCCATCTCGGCGTCTTCAGGCCCGTAGTCTTCCCGCTCGTGCTCGCCCTCTTGCGACGAGTCAGACTCCTCGCCAGGGTACTGTAGAGAGACACTCTCAGCATGCAGACAAGTCATGCGCGTCCAGCGGCCTCTTCAGCACTCACCCTTCGTCGTGTGGTCTGCGCAGCGCCGTGCGACTGGTCACGCGTCGCCCGCGCACCCACGCTGGCGGCGCCGTTCTTCAGCCGCCGCTGCGCGCTGGCGTATGCATCCACACCGTCGCCGTCCTCGTCCGAGCTGAAGCCGTCTGCACCGTCGCCCGGCTGCGCCTCGTCCAGCTCATCGTCGCCGTCGCGCTGCGAGGCCGGAGCCTGCGCCGAGCGCGCGGCGTGGATGGCAGCGCGCGCCGCCTGCGTCGCGGCACGGCCCTGCGGCGCCGAGCCGCCCGGCTGCTGCGCCAGGCCGACGTCGACGGTGAGCGCGGGCCGGACCTGGGCCATGGCGGCGGCTGTCTATGTGCGAGAGACGTGCGCGGGCAGCGTGGATGCGCGGTGCGACTGATGGCCAGGCGGATGCGAGGTAGTGCGCGACGAGAGCAGCGGGCGAGAGACGAGACGCAAAGAAGTGCGCAGAGGTGCTGCAAGATAGAGCCGGAGATGAAGGTCGTGAGAGAGCGTGAGCGTGGTGCAGCACAGGCGGCGGCGCCGTGAGGGCGTGCGGCGGCGGCTGTGTGCGAGGCGGGCGTAGAGAGAAGGGGGTCGTGCGCGAAGGAGCGCAGCTCTCGGCGCGCGTGGACGTGCGTGGCTCGTGGCCTGCGACGAGGGCCGACGCCAAAGTAAGGGCGAAATGGGCGCGCGGCGAACGGCGGACGTGGACGTGAGGTGCGGCAGAGAAGGGAGCGGCAGAAGGCAGCGAGGCGGATGTCTGTGCCTGGGCCTGTCGGATGCGAGACGTCGACGGCGGGCCTTGGGCGGGGCGCGCGGAGCCAGACGCAGCGCAGGCAAGGCGAGGGAGGCGCGTCGCGGACTCGCGGTGCAGTGCGCGCCTCGGCGACGGCACGAGCGCTGTGTGAGGCGCAGCCCGAGGCGCCTCAGCGTGGGAACAGTGGCCGTTGGCGGACCTTGCTCGCGCTAATGCGGATACAACGGCTGTTGTATTGCGCCCGCCCGTTGTATTCGGCGCGCGCCTCTCGCACGTGAGATTAGATTTTGGCGTGCGCTCGAGGCCGCTTCCGTTCCAGCCTGCGCCGCCGCTGCTTCTTCCTGCCGCTCCTCTCCACATCCCGCCGCACTCTCTCCCTCGCGCACCTCGCTGCGCACCTTGCTGCTACTCTCGCACGGCTGCGCTTGTGCACATAAGCATCATGGAGGGTCGTACTGTCGGTGTGCTCGGTGCGTCGCCTCGCTCTCACGGCACCTCCACGCCGCAGCTCACGTCCGTCTCCTGCCAGGCGCCGGCCAGCTGGGCCGCATGTTCGTCGAGGCCGCGTCGCGCCTCAACGTGCAGGTGCGCCTGCTCGACGTCGGCGCCGGCGCGCCGGCCAAGCAGATCTGTGCCGTGCCCGGGCCCAGCGGCTCGGGCAGCGAGCACGTCGACGGCTCCTTTGCCGACGCCGCCAAGATCCGCGAGCTCGCCGCCAAGGTCGACGTGCTCACCGTCGAGATCGAGCACGTCGACGCGCGCCAGCTGCAGGCCGTGCTCGACGAGAAGCTCGTCGACGCCGTGCACCCGCTGCCGGCGACGATCGCGCTGATCCAGGACAAGTACGCGCAGAAGGCCTTCCTCGCCGAGAAGGGCCTGCCGTGCGGCGAGTTCGCGCCGCTGGAGGGCGCAGCGGGCGCCGAGGGCCAGGTCAAGGCGGCGCAGGAGATGGGCAGCCGCTACGGCTACCCGCTCATGCTCAAGTCGCGCACGCAGGCCTACGACGGGCGCGGCAACTTCGTCATGCGCAACGCCAACGATGCACCGGCTGCCATTGCGGCGCTGGGCGGAGGTGAGCGTGGCCTGTACGCCGAGAAGTGGGCCAAGTTCGAGCGCGAGGTGGCCGTCATGGTGGTGCGCAGCTCCTCGGGCGAGGTGCGGTCATACCCCGCCGTCGAGACGGTGCACCGCGACAACATCTGCCACAGCGTCTTTGCGCCGCTGCGCACGAGCGACGCTGGCGTACCGCAGCGGGCGCGTGAGATTGCAGAGCGGGCTGTGGCCACGTTCGGCGGCGCCGGCGTCTTTGGCGTCGAGCTCTTCCTCATGCCTGGCGGCGAGCTGCGCATCAACGAGATCGCGCCGCGGCCGCACAACAGCGGGCACTACACCATCGAGGCCGCCGACACGAGCCAGTACGAGAACCACCTGCGTGCCATCCTCGGCCTGCCGCTCGGCAGCACGGCGCTCAAGGTGCCGTCGTCGGCGATGGTCAACATCCTCGGCCTCGCCGACCTGGACAAGGACGCGCAGGCCGTGGCCAAGACGATGGCGCCGGCCGTCGCCAGCCTGGCCGTGCCGGGTGCCACGGCACATTTGTACGGCAAGGTCGGCTGCCGCAAGGGCCGCAAGATGGGCCACATCACCGTCGTCGGGCAGAGCGACGCCGAGGTGCGCGCCCGCCTGCAGCCCATCCTCGATGCTCTCGACGTGGCCACAGAAGCGGGAGCCAAGGGCACCGCGCTGCCTGCCTCGCTCACGCTCGAGGGCGCCTCCTCGCCGGCTGAGATCGAGGCCGCTGCTGCCGCCGCTGCTTTCTCCGCGCCTACATCGAACTCCAAGGTGCCACAAAGCGCGGCCGACTTCTCGCACGCGCAGCCGCTCGTGGGCATCATCATGGGCTCGGACTCGGACCTGCCCGTCATGCTGCCGGCGGCGCAGATTCTCAAGCGCTTCGGCGTGCCCTTTGAGCTCTCCATCGTCTCGGCACACCGCACGCCCGACCGCATGCGCGACTACGCACGCTCGGCGCCGGCGCGTGGCCTACGTGCCATCATCGCTGGTGCGGGCGGCGCAGCGCATCTGCCAGGCATGGTGGCCGCTCAGACGGCGCTGCCGGTCATCGGTGTGCCGGTCAAAGGCAGCGTGCTCGACGGTGTCGACTCGCTGCACAGCATTGTGCAGATGCCGGTGAGTCTGAGTGATGTGTGGGGTCAGAGATGCGGACAGGTCGCGACGCGGCGTGGCGAGCTGCGATCGAGGGTCGTCGCCATCAACGGCCAGCTGAGAGTCGGACGACACTCCGGGCCGTGACGTCCGGGCGCTGTCATGGTCGTCGTCCTGCACGTCCTGCGCGACTGCAGCCTTGATGGCCCGCAGCCTTGCTGTAGCGTGGGTCCTGCTTTGCCAGCTCCGCCGGGCATGCGTAGCGAGCGCAGCGGATATTCTACTCGCTCTGTCCGGACTTAGGCCCGCGGCGCGAGACCAGCTGACCCCTTCTCTCCTCAGCGTGGCATCCCGGTCGCCTCGGTGGCCATCAACAACTCGACAAACGCGGCGCTGCTGGCTGTGCGCATCCTCGGCGCCGCCGACCCGCGCTATCTCGCGGCGATGCAGCAGTACATGGACGACATGGAGGCCGAGGTGATGGGCAAGGTTGAGCGGCTCGGCGAGCTGGGCTGGGACTACGCCGTGAAGAAGTGAGCGCTGCGCCGCTCCGCTTCTCGACTTCGCAATAGATAATAGCCTCCGGACGACGTCTCTCCTCACCATTTCCGCGGCCAATGGCGTGCCTGATTGCTCAGGGCCGCGCGGACAAGAGTCCGTCGCCGCGAGTTCCTGGTGCGAGCTGCGGATGCGCTAGCCAAAGCGAAGCATTAGCCTGTGCCCCTCCGGCGGCTCACTGCCGCCGCAGCCGCCGCAGCCGTAGCTTGGCCGGGCTGCACGAAGGTTCATTGGACGCACGCCGGTGCGGGGTCGCCGCATGCACGGCGAGGCGGAAGCTGAGATCAGCGAGGGTCTGTGCGGCAAGGATGCGCCAAGTCAGGGGGCGCACGGCTCGGGCTTATGCTCAAGGGTGCGCAGGCGGGCCCGAGCGTTGGCTGGTGATGAGCGATACGGAGCTGCACAGGCTTTCTTCCTAGCGTGGCCGGCCCTCGCTCGGCTCGGAGGCCTCGCCGTGCGCGTGCAGGAGCTGATCAGCGGATCTTCTCGCCGGGTATGAGGGGCTGCCGTCGCCGGTGGCGCTCCTGTGCTGCTGGCAGCGAGCATGCTGCGCCGTGCACACGACAGCGGTGGCCGCAGCAGCTGCGCATGAAACTGAAAGTGTGCGGGCCATCCTGCGGTGCGTGCGTCAGCCGCCAGGCTGTGCAGGGCGCAGCGGCGCATCCATGCACCATGCGCCAAGGCGCTGAGTCTGGAGTCTGCTCGTCCACGCCGCTGCGGCTCCTCCGTCGGACCGTCCTTCCAGCGCCATCCGTGCTCTGCTGCGACTGTTGGTTGGCGCCGCTGCGCCTGCATTATCGAGCACGCCAGCGAGCGCAGTGGCGGACGGGGGCAATACGGCCGCCTGCAGGCCCCCACGCTAGCGCCTGCACTGCGGCGAAGCGGCCCTCGTGCGCCCGCTGCGCCGGCCAACAGCCGAGCAAGCGGCCCTCGTATCGGGGCTCGCGCTGCGGCAGCGGGCGGAGCACGCCTCGGCCCCGGTGTCCACGCTCGATGGTCGCTCACTCCGTCACCGCTCCGCCGCTCGCAGCGACGTTGCCAACCGTCTCGCCATCGCGCTGCGCGACGCGTGCCGGGTGACGCGCTCGCTCGCCCGAAGAGGCAGCTCCCGGGCGCACGCGCGCGCCGTGCCTGCAGAAGCGTGCTCCCAACGAGGCAGGAGGGGCCAGCGCTTGGCGCCAGGCGTGTTTGTGGTGTCGTGTGTGCCGCGCTGCCACGCTGCGGCACCAGGCTGGGCGAAGCACGAATGGGGCGCGGCCTGTTGCTGCTCGCCTCGGGCTCGGCCGCTGCACGTTGCGCGTGGCCCGCCGGGCCGGCGGCGAAGGCGCCGAGGGAATCTCGCTAGTCGCGCGTGCCAGCAGAGCAAGAACGCGCACGTCAGCGACGCAACTCGGAGGCAGACGCAGCCGCAGAGCGCAGCGCATGCTGCACGAAGCTTCGCTGTGAAGGGCGGCGCCGCTGCACGATGCGCAGCTGGTGACAGCGTGCGAGCTCAAGCCGAGCAAGGCGTCGCTTCGCTTGCGCTCGCGGAGGCGAGTCCGGCGCGGTGCGTCAGCGGGAATGCGAAGAAGAGCCCGCCGCGTGTTCCGCCTCGAGCCTCGATGCTGCTATCCTCAGCGAGCAGGCGTGCTGGCGATCATGGATGCAGCACCCCAGCAGACTCGACGCTCCGACTGGCGGCGCAACCGGCTTCGGGCGCAAGTCCGTCTCTGCTTCGCCGGCCTCCGAAGCGAGGGGGCAGCGCGTGAGCGTGGTGGCGAGGCGGTACCCCCGGCCTCGTGCCCCGCCTCGCTTCTCGAAGCACCAAATGGCCGCCCTTGCCTTGCACCCTGCAGCTGCGTTCGCCGGCTGCACTGACTCAGCGCTGCGCGAGGAAGAACCCCGTCGCCGCGTCTCACCGCGCACATCGCGCGCCTCGGAGGCACCTACGCTGCGTCGCTCGGCGAGCTCGCCGCGCCGGATGGGCGAACCGGAGCGGCGCAGCGATAATGTCCGCGGCGAGGAGGAGGTGCAGCGGGCGGCGGGCTGATGCTGCGCTGCGCTGCTCGTCACCACGGCGTGTTCTGCGAACGGCCCCAGACAGCGCAGCGCACGCACGCCGATGCACGCTGCTGCAGCTGCATCGCCCGCATGCACCGAGCTGCACGTCTAGCGCGGGCGGGGTGCGCCCGTGGAGCCAAGGCCAGGGCGCTAGCGTGGAGGAGCGCCGCGTGCGGAAGGGTTGGTGGCGCCACGCGCCTGCGCTAGCGGAGTGGGCGGCTGAGGCTGGGCGCTGCTGCGTGCTGCGTCTGCGATGCTGGTGCGCTGGATGTGCTACGCCGCCAGCTGTCGTCTCACAGCTCCGTAGCTGCCGCCGCCGCCGAGACGACACCTCGCCTGCACTGCTCCCCGTCAGCCCACGCCTCGCTGCGGCGTCTCCGTCGCGGCGCCACGGCACGCCTGTGCCTGCGCTGGTGCGCCGCCGGCCTGCTCCATCTGGAGCGCCGCGGGCCATCCGCGCGCGCTATCGGCCCACAGTTGTCCGGCCCTCCGCCGGCGCGCCGTCCCTGGGGTGTGCTCCTGTGGCGCTCGTCATGGCGCCCCTGGCACGCCTGCCTGATACGGCGGGCGACGGCATGAGCGGTGCGCCTGCTCCGTCTGTTGTCGCACGACGTTGCTGGCACGCGGCCTGCCTATAAGAGGTGCCCCTCCGAGCTGCCTCGTCTCTCATTCCCACATCCTCTCTCTCCCACCCGCTCCTCTCCAACCCGGACCCACCTCCCACCCTCCGCCACTCGTTGCCCTCCATGGTCCGCATCTTCTCCTTCGCGGCCGTTGCCGTGCTCTTCGCCTCGTCGGCCGCCGCCGCCGCCACGGGCCGCGGCAAGTGCGGCACGACGCTCACGCTCCCCTCCGAGCTCGAGAGCAAGGCTGCCGAGGTCGTCAAGACGCACAAGCTCAAGATTGCCTCGATGCCCTCGGGCAGCCGCGCCGCCTCGCGCTCCGTGCCCGTCAACTGGCACGTCATCGACGACGGCAGCAAGGGCAAGCTCACGTCGGCGCAGATCGCCGAGCAGCTGCGCGTCCTGAACCTGTCGTACTCGAACGCCAGCATGCCCTTCACCTTCACCCTCGCCAAGACGACGCGTACGACGAACAGCGACTGGTTCTACAACGCCTTCGGCGGCACCTCGCAGGAGTCTGCCATGAAGAGCGCCCTCCGCTCGGGCGGCGCCGGCACGCTCAACCTGTACTCGGTCGACCTCTCGGCGCAGGGCCTGCTTGGGTGAGTCGCCGCGAACGCGTCCGACATCGCCGCCCTTCCTGACCCGTTTTTCCAGCTACGCCACGTTCCCCAGCTCCTACTCGAGCGCTCCCAGCAAGGATGGTGTGGTCTTTGAATACAGGTTCGGACGACCTTCTTGGGCTCCAGGACGATGCACGATGCTGACATACCGCACGCAGATCGATCCCGGGCGGCTCTCTCGCACCCTACAACCTCGGCGCGACGCTCACGCACGAGGTGGGCCACTGGGTCGGCCTCTACCACACGTTCCAGGGCGGCTGCAGCGGCAACGGCGATTTCGTTTCGGACACGCCTGCTGAGGCCTCGCCGGCGTCGGGCTGCCCCAAGGGCCGCGACACGTGCTCGGGCGGCGGCCTCGACCCCGTGAACAACTTCATGGACTACTGTGAGTATTTGCTCGGAGCAGAAGAGTGCAGCAGGGATGGCGGTAGACCGGGAGAGTGCGGCAGAGCCGGCGGCAGGCCGGCAAGCGGCTGCTCGCGGTCCAGGCCGGCCTCGACGCGTCCCTCACCTGTGCACCCCACTGACACGTCCTCCTTCAGCCGACGACGCTTGCATGTACGCCTTCAGCTCCGGACAGGCGACTCGCGCCGCTGCGCTCTGCAACCAGTACCGCGCATCGGTCTAAGAGACGGGCATCCATCGCTCCTCCTCGACTCCTCGCACCCCCCATCCGCCTCCCGCCGCCACGGCCGGTCGCAGGCTCCCTTCCTGATGATTGATAATGACAGCGCCATTCCTTGTGCCTCTGATTGAGCTATGAAGCGAACTGGAGTTACGCTGAGCGTCTGTATTCAACCAGAGGAAGAGGTTGTTATCGGGAAGGAACAGCGCAGAGGGCGAGATGGCAGACGGCGAGGAGGAGCAGCACGACACGGCGCGCAGCTCGGCGCACTCGCCGCGCCGCGCCGGACTTAAGCCGCGTGGAGGCATGACGGCACGCAGGCCGCGGCGCGACTGCCGGGCGCGTGCGCGGCACGAGAGCAGTGTGCTGCTGGCAGGCACCGGCTCCGGCAGCCGGCGGGCCCGACGTGGCTTGTGCCCTCGGCGCCGTGCCTGGCAGCGAGGAAGAGAACTCTTAACGGCGCGCTGCAGTGAGCATCCTTGACTTCCCGCACCCACATCCTCTCTATCCCACCTCACACATCATGTCACTGCCAACGTCGACCAAGGCCTGGGTGCTGACGCAGTACTGCACCGGCCCGCTCAGCGAGTCCGAGAACTTTGCGCTCCGCGAATTCCCCATTCCCGAGCTCAAGGACGGCGAGGTGCTCGTCAAGGTGCAGACCATCGGCCTCGAGCCCGCCATGCGGCCCTCGTACTCGCTCGAGAAGTCGTACCGCGAGCCCACGCCGCTCAACGTGAGTGGTCGCGTGTGTGCGGCAGCGGCACGGCGGCTGACTGTGCCGTAGACGCCGCTGTGGGCGTTTGGCGTCGGCGAGGTCGTGGCGAGCAAGTCGGACAAGCTCAAGACCGGCGCGTGAGTACTGCCAGACAGGGCCACGTAGGCACGCTCTGAGGCCTTTCCCGCAGCATCGCGTACGGCCTCTTCAGCATGAGCCAGTACCACGTCGCCGGGCCCGAGACGCCCTTCCTCATGCCCGTCGACCCGAAGATCGGCAAGCAGGTGCTCTCGCTCTTCGCGCCGCCCGGCCTCGCCGCGCACGTCGGGCTCTTCGAGATCGGTGAGCTCAAGAAGGGCGACACGGTGCTCGTCTCGGGCGCTGCCGGCGCCACGGGCTCCATCGTCATCCAGATCGCAAAGCGCGTCGGCGCAAAGAAGATCATCGGCATCGCGTCGAAGCGCAAGCTCGACGCCGTGCTTGCCGACGGCGCCGACGAGGCCGTCGCGTACGACGACGACGACTTTGAGGAGAAGCTGAAGAAGGCGACGGGCGAGGACGTGAACCTGTACTTCGAGGTGCGTGCGATGAGCTGCGCCTGACTGCCGCATGCACTGACACTGCTGCACAGAACGTCGGCGGCAAGGTGCTTGACGCTGCGCTCGGCTGCATGGCGGCGTACGGCCGCATCGCTGTGTGAGTCAGGCGTTGTGCTACACTACTGCAGCACACTGACACTCTGCTCAGCTGCGGCATGATCTCGCAGTACGACAGCATCGGCGGCGACCGCAACAGCTTCGAGGGCATCAAGAACAGTCAGTCGAGTGGTGGCCTGCATGCTGAGCTTCGCTGATGCCTCTGCTTTCAGTCCGCTACATCCTCACCCGCCGGATCAAGTGAGTGTCGCGCGCGCTCGCCGCACTGCACCCGCTTCTAACACCGCCGCTTTGCAGGATGCAGGGCTACATCTGCTCGCAGGTCAACGACGAGGCCGTGCCCAAGGCCATCAAGGACCTCGGCGCGTGGGCACACGACGGCTCCGTCAAGGCTGCGTAAGTGGAGCAAGGCTACTTACACGCCTCACACGCAAGCTGACCACGCCGCACAGCATCTACACGCACCCCGACAAGGGCGTCGAGCACTGCATCAAGGCATTCCAGGGCCTGCTGACCGGTGGTGCGTGCCTCAGACTGCACTCATCGCTGCTGCCTGTGCTGACCCTCATTCTGCAGCCAACACCGGCAAGATGACCGTCGACTTCTGACTCGCACAAAACTACGGCGCTGCTTGCCTCTAGCGAATGAAACGATGCTCATACTGCAGAAGCTGCGTGACTGATGGATATTATGTCCTGCTACCTCCGGCTCTTCTTGCCGCCGCCGCGTCCGCCCCGGCCGCCGCCACCGCCTCGCCGTGCGCCGCCGCCGCGCGAGGCACCGCCGCCGGGCACGCCAGCCTCGACGACATCGTCGTCGCGGTCCATGTCGTCCTTGTCTCCTCTGCGCTTGCGCTTGCCCGCGCCACCAGCGCCGCCCTTCCACTCCTTCATCTCGCGCACCGCCTCGCGGCTCGCCTGGCCCACGCGCTCCGCCAGCATCATGACGGTCTCCTTCTCGCAGCCCGGAAATTCGCTGAGCTTCTCGCCGATGACGGCCTCGATGCGCTGCAGCAGCTCGACGTCGTACTGCGTCACGAGCGTCACACTCTTGCCGCTGCGGCCAGCACGCGCCGTGCGGCCGACGCGGTGGATATAGTCCTTGGAGTGCGTCGGGATGTCGTAGTTGACGACGAGGTCGACGGCGGGAATGTCGAGACCACGCGAGGCCACGTCCGTCGCGACCAGAATGCTGCGGCCGCCGGCCTTGAACTTGTTGAGCGCACCCAGACGTGCCGTCTGCGAGAGCTGGCCGTGCAGCGGAATGGCTGGGAAGCCGAGCATGCGAAGCAGCACCGAGAGGCGCTGCGCATCATGCACCGTGCGTGTGAAGATGAGCGCCGACTGGCCGACCTGCTCATTGGCAAGATGCACGAGGTACGTGTCCTTGTGCGCGAACGGCATGAAGAGGTAGTGCTGCGAGAGTGTCGAGACTGTTTGATACCTGCGAGAGCGTCAGCCTGGCGCTCAGCGCTCCGCCACAGCACATGCCGCGACTCACTTGGTGCCGACCTCGACGCGCACCGGATTCTTTAGACTGGCACGCTGCAGCTTCGCCACCTTCGTCGTCATCGTGGCGCTGAAGAGCATGGTGCGCCGCTCGCGCGGGATGGCCTGCAGCAGCTTGTCGATCACCGGGCCGAAGTCCATGTCGAGCAGCCGATCTGCCTCGTCCATCACCTGCAGGGCACGTCAGTGCTGCAGCTCGCGAGCAGCGCATCAGCTGACACTCACCAGGTACTTGAGGTTGCGCAGGCTGAAGCCCTTCGTGTTCTCCAGGTGGTCCTGCAGCCGGCCAGGCGTGGCGACGACGATGTGCGGGCGCTTCGAGAGGGCGATGCTCTGTGTCATCATGTCCATGCCGCCGACGATGGTGGCGCAGCGCACGCCAATGACGCTGCCGAGTGCCTCGATCTGCTGTGCGATCTGGTACGCCAGCTCGCGCGTCGGCGCAAGGATTGCGGCGAACAGCGGCTGCGGGTCGTCCCACAGCGCGTGCAGGATGGGGATGCTGAACGCCGCCGTCTTGCCCGAGCCCGTCTGAGCCAGGCCGATGACGTCGCACCCCGCCAGCGCCTCGGGGATGGCTTGCGCCTGGATGGGCGTGGGCGCCTTGAAGTTCATCGTCGCGGCCGCCTCGCAGATGGAAGGGTGCACGCCGAGCTCGGCGAACGAGGGCACGCGCTCATCGGCGGCGGCAGCCTCGAGGCGCGACGACGAGGCGACGGGCTCGGGCGACGCCGAGCCGGAGGAAGAGGCGGCGGACGAGGCCGACGTGGCAGACTCTGAGTCGGACATGGTGAGGTGAGGATGGGTGAGGGCAGGAAGGAGCGCTGCCAGCCCGGGTGGAGAAGGCGCGCCGCTGCCACAAATTTCGTCGGCCGAGCAGCTCCGCGGAAGTCAGGCACGGGCTCAGCCGGGCTGCTCCCACGCTGTGCTGCCTCCATGCTCCTCGCCGACGCGATGTGGCCGGCTCCACATCCTCGTCTCCTCACCGCAACGTCCCCCCACCTCGCTGGTCACTCTTGTCTCACGCTGCGCCATGCTGCACGCTACCGCCAAGCAGCTGCGCATGTCGCTCGCGCGCGGCGTGCGGCAGACGGCGGCAGCGCATGCCCGGCCTCGCGCCGTGCCGCTCCTCGCTGCCTTGCCTGCTCGCGCTGCCTCTTCATCGGCAGCAGCCGCTTCAGCGCGCGTCGCAGCCGAACCTCTGCTGCGGCAGCCACGACCTCCCATGAGCACTCCTCAGCGCCGCACTTTGGCTCAGCATGCGCCGGCACCAGTGCCCACGGCCAGCGCTGGTGCGGCTGCGTCGCTGCCAGTAGCACTGCGCACTCGCAATCTTCTCGCCCAAACGGCACAGCTGCTCGACGACCGGTGGGCATCACGCTGTCTCGCCGCATCGGACAGGCTGCTGCCTCAGCATCTCGCTTCCGAGCAGGGTCGCAGAGCCAGAGTTGCTGGTGAGGACCTAGTCGTCCGGCAATGCGGCTGGGCGACGGCAGGCTTCAGGCACGCATAGTCGGCCGAGCTCGCTCCGGCTTCGCGGGCTCCAGCTGAGCTCTCTCTGTCTCGCAGTCATCGGCGCATCATCTTCTGGCACCGCCGAGCTCGTGACTGCGCTGCTGGACGACCCGCTCTCGACGCAGTCGCACCGGCTCTCTCTCACTGCACCCACGTCTGGTGATGCAGAGCTCGGCGAGGTACTTGACCCGCTGCGGGCACTGCGCGAGCGGCATACTCGGCGGCTCGGCATGGAGGAAGGCGCTCTGCGGCTTTTGTGAGTCATGCTGTGCAGCGCTGTCCTGCGTCGACGCTCATGCCGGTCGAACAGGTACGGCGAGCAGCCAGGCCTGACGCAGCGAGTGGACGAGGTGACGCTGCCGCTCGACTGGCTGCGGACGGCCAATGTCGAGCTCGTCGAGGTGCTCGGTGAGCCAGGGTCGCTGCAGTGCCGCAGCCTTGCAGCGCTCACGCAGTCTCCGTCTCAGACCCACGCTCCGACGAGGCCATGCTCGACCTGCTGTACTCTTGCGACGCGCTCGTCTTCACCATCTCGGCCTCCGAGCTCTCGCGGAGCGCCACGCTAGGCCCCCGCGCCGCAGAGGCCGATCCGACGCTCTCGCTGCTCTCTCACTTTGCCTCAAAGCCCGGCACACGGCTGGCCGTCAATCACGATGGCGTGCCGCCGGCGGCCGGCACGCCGCCAGCACAGGCGTGGGACGTGATGCTTGACTCCGCTGTCGGCCAGGAGGCCGGCCATGCGCTGCGCAGACACGCTGCCGAGCCGGTGCAGCACGTCAATGCTGCATTGGCCGCGCGTGCCAACGACGCGCTGCGACGAGCACTCGAGACTCAAGCTGGCGCGGCAACGAGCGGCAGCGGCGATGCACTCGAGCTGTGGGAGACGTTCCGCAGCTTCTCGTCTGCAGCACGGCTGCAGCCTTTGCACAGCCTTCTCATCTCGCCGCCGGTCCTGCCTGCGTTCCAGCAGGCCGGAGACGACGCACGAGAGGCGCTGCTGCTTCAGACAGCCGGTGTCGTCTCGCAGCACGCCATCGACGAAGCGGCCGCTGTGCTGTACGAGGCACGGGAGGAAGTGCGTCGTGCCGAAGGCTTGGCGACTGTCCTGCATGGCGACGCCGACGCCAGCATCGCCAGTCTGCGCGAGGCCATCCTTGCGGCACCGGCGGCGGGCGAGGGCGACGACAGCAGCATGATCAGCAGCGCAACCAAGGTCCATCTGCGTGCCGGTGACCGCAGCCACGCCGCGCTCGGTGTGCTCTCCGACTCGGGTGCGGAGCTGGAGCAGACCTTCTCGCGGCGACTGCCGTGGTGGAAGCTCGGCTGGAAGGTGGACGATGTGCGCGCAGAGGTCGAGGCCGGCGTGATGCGCAGCTTCGCAAAGGATCTCGAGGAGAAGCTCATTTTCGAGGCCGGCCGTCTTCTCAGCGTCGCCGAAGCACAATCGCGGAAGACGTTCGAGTCTCTCGACACGCTCACCCAGCCCCTCTCGTCGCGGTCGAAGGGCAAGACCGAGGATCGAGGTGCTCGCACCAACTCTGTCTTCGCATCGGCAGTGCTGCGGAACACCGTCAGCCAGCACACGCTTGCCAGCGCTCGTACGGCTCTCAAGCCACGGGCGCTGGCCGAGCCCATCTCTGCCCGCCGCGCGCAGCTCTTCGCACCTGGCGGGCCGGTCGACGTTCTCGTCGCTCGGGCGCAAGCACTCGTCGTCTCGACGTACCTCAGCGCGGCAATTGTGATCGGCGCCAGCGTCGCCTCCGCGCACGCCACGAGCCCGGTGCTCGCACGCACGCCGCTCGGCCAAGCGCTCCCTGACGTGCTCTCGAGCTTTGCGCTCACGTCAAGCACGGCCACGGGCGTGGCGGCGCTCGGCTGCCTGCTGCTGGCATGGCGGCTGCAGGGTCGCTGGGGCAAGGCGAAGCGCAAGTTCTGGCAGGACTGGGACCGTCTCGCTCAGGGCCTGGATGCCGACCTCGAGGTGTGTCGCGAACACTCGCTGCCCATCACTCTCGCTGACATCTCGCTTCACTGTGCGCACAGGCCAAGGTCGAAGATATGCTCCGGGCTCATGTCTTTGCGCAGCCACTGTCGGCCGCAGAGGCATTGCGCAAGCTCGCAGCACAGCGCTCGACGGAGCTTGAGGCTCACGCAAGCGCGCTCCGCCACACAGCTGCCGAGGCACGAGCCCTGCAGCCGGTCGCTGCTCTCACTGCGGAGTTGTCTGCTCCTGCTGATGCAGCAGACGCCTCAGGGCCCCGGCAATCTCGCTCGCAGCCGGCGATATGAGCGGGCTCGGCGGCAATGCACCACATACAAACGCGTTCTTGCGTGCGGCTAGGCGTAGAATTACAGTGACAGACGCGGTTGACCCCGAGAGAAGATGTGGCGAGACAGGCGCGAGGTCGCTCAGATCTTCTTTGGCCGCCGCTTGACCTGTGCGCGGTAGGATGTCAGCAAGCGGCGGAGGAGCATGCCCTACGGCGACGCACCTCTTCGTCCGTGCACGAGTGCAGGAAGATCTTGTTGGTGTTGGAGCCGCTCGGCGGAGCAAAGGAGTGGCCCTTGTGCCAGTCGTAGCTCACTGCGAGACTCGTCAGCATGTGCGTGAGGCCGGCGAGTCGCAGCTTGCGACGCACCAGCATATGCGAAGATCGAGCCCGTGCGGTTGAAGGCCGACGCTGCGATCGGCGAGCCCTTGCTGTCGAAAGCTGCAGAGGCAAGGGCGTGTCAGAACGGAACAGGCCGGCGAGCACAGCGGCACACACTCTTCAGGCGCGTCTTCGAGTCCTTGTCCCAGAAGTTGATCGAGCCGTCCGAGCCGACGGTCGAGAAGGTGCCCTGCACCGGGTGGAAGGAGATGTCGTTGACGCAGAAGAGCTGCTGCGGCTCGCGGCTCGCGGCTGGCGGATCCTTGCGGTGGCACTTGAACGAGAAGTTGAGGCTGCGGCATAGAGTGTGAGAGACGGCACAGGACTGAACAGAGGGCAGACGCACTTCTTGTTCTCGTCGCGGATGTACTGGATCGCAACGCGGCCCTCGACGCTGCCGATGGCGAAGCCGGGCGGCGGTGTCGGCTGTCCTGGCTCTGGTTGCCGCTGGAACAGGGAGATGACGCGGGTCTGGTACTTGAGCGGGCTGTCCATGGTCTGCAGCACGAGAAGGTCAGCGTTGCCTCAACATCAAGAGACGCCTTGCGACGCACGATGATCGGCACGCCTGGGTTCTGCTGCAGGTCAAAGATCTGGATCTTGCGCTCGGCAGTGCCCACGACGAGGTAGGGCCAGACGCAGTCCATCGTGTAGCAGCGCTCCGCCAGCTGCGCAGTCGAGACTGGATTCGGCTGCCGCATGTCCCAGTACTTGAAGGAACCAGCGTCAGCGCCAGACGTGCCGGATGAAAGTGCTCAGACTCACCTTGACCGTCTTGTCCCAGCTGCCCGTCGCCAGAATGCCCGCGCCCTGGTCCACCCACCGCACGCTCTTGATGGGAGCGTCGTGTGCGGCCACCTGCTGGGCCTGGCCCGACTGCACGTCGTACAGCCGTGCAGCCTTGTCTGCGCCCGCCGAGATGATCTTCGAGCCATCCTTGCTCCACACTACGTCCAGCACCGGCGCCTCGTGCTGGTACATGGCCTTCGGAGCTGTGCTCCCGTTCGGCTCGACGCCATAGACCCGCACCTGCGAGGCAGTCAGCACTGGCAGGAGTGAAGCGCACGGCACTGCGACGCACCGCGTTGTCCCACGAAGAGGCAGCCAGGAAATCAGCAGCGCTGGAGAAGGCGAGAGCCGAGATGCCATCCGGCGGCGGCTGCGAGACCTCAACGTCGCCGCTCGGCGCGGCAGCAGCGGTGTTGCCGAGCGTCTGCTGCGGCGCGCCGAACGAGGTGGAGTTGCCGAAGAGAGCCATGATGAAGCTGCGCGACAGCACAACCAGGTCAGCGCTGCATCAGGTAGCCGACCGTCGCCTCGGAAGTGCAGCCCAGCGGTCCGTCAGACCTCGAGCCGCCACGCTCGTATCAGTGCGGAGAGCAGGGAAGCTACGCTGATCGCTGGCGCGGCGCATGTGTACAGCCCGCCTTCCTTAGGGCCAGCCGCCGGCCATTTTGTTCGTATACTCACCGAGCAGCTGTGCCTAATCAGCCGCACGACGCGAGCCAGAGCAGGCGGAAGTGCCAGAACACTGCTGCAAGCACCAGAAGTCGGTACGGATGAGCGGCAAGAAGCGTGCAGGGCTGCAGTGTGCTGCGAGGTCGGAGATATGGCGGTGGTGGGAGTGGAGAAGAATGCGAGGTGCGGCCGTGCAGCAGCAGGTCGTACGTCGTGCGGCAGCAGCTGGCGCGACGCGCACGTGACGCCGCCCCGCCGCTGCCTTGTCCAAGTCCCGGGCCTCCACCGCGCGCTGAGCTGCGCACGGGCACGAGCGGCCTCCGACACATCCCTCATCGCCCTTCCACCACCACGTCCTCAGCCCCAACATGTCACTACTGCAGCCTCTACGTGCAGTGCGAGCACCGGCGCCGCTGCGCAGCTCGCTCCGCCAGTACGCCACCGCTGCGCCGCGAGCCGGGCCGGCGCCACGCCGCCTGCCGCCGCCCGTGCGGAGACGCAACGTCGGCGTGCCCGTCACGCTTGCCATCCTGACAGTCGGCGGCGCCGCTGCCTTCTTCCTCTCGCCGTCCGCACATGCAGATGCTGCAGTGGCCGTGCCTCTGTCAGCAACGGCGGCCGCAGCCCTGCAGCCTCCCGTCTTGCCCGCCACGACGCGCCGCGAGCCTGCGACTGGCACCGAGCTGCCGCTCACCCTCACGCTCGACGCGCTGCCACGCACTCGCCTGCATCTCGTCGGTCTCGGAGCACGAAGCGTATCATTTCTATCGATCCGCGTCTACGTGGCCGGCGTCTACATCGAGGAGCGGGCGCTGCCGCTGGTGGCGAAGCTGACGCGCGACGGGCGGAGCACGGAGGATGTCGCACGCGAGGTGCTGCGTGCTGGACATGCTTGCGTTGTCCGCATCGGTGCGTTGCGTTGCTCCTTGTCTGCCTCGTATCTACTGATGCAGTACGCCACTTGCAGTTCCCGTGCGCAGCACCGACATGTCACACCTGCGCGACGGCTTCCTGCGCTCCCTCTCTGCCCGTGCAAAGTCGGCGCGTGCAGCGCATGCCCTGACCGAGGCCGACGAGCTGTCGCTCGAGGCCCAGCTCGAGGCACTGCGAGCCGTCTTCCCGAAGCATGCGGTACCGAAGGGCGACGCACTCGACCTCGTCTTCGCCAACAAGACGCTCGACGTGCGCTGGCACGAGGAGCGCCTCGGCCGCGTGCGAGGCCCGCGAGGCGAGAAGTGGACGGGCATCGCCGAGCTGCTGCTGGCATACGTCGCTGACAAGAGCGAGATCTCTAGGCCGGTGAGTGCCGCCTGCCCGCGCCGTGGACCTGGTGCTTTCTGACTCGGCCGTTTCAGATTAAGGACAGCGTCGTCGAGGGCTTTGCGCACATCGCAAAGACCGGCGCGGCTGCGACGGCCTAAGGTTGGGCACACAATCACTATACCTGAGCTCGGGCGGGCGAGATGATGACAATGCGAGCATGCTGTAATACACGTGTGATGGCGGCTCGAGACTGAAGCTGCGCCGGTCGGTTCGACAAGGGCGAAGGCTGATGACGTTGGATGGTGTCGAGCAAACGTCGACACGAGAGGGTGAGAAAGAGCAACAGCGGAGCTCACAGCTCGCTGCGGAGCAGGACCTTGTCTGCGAGAGCGGTCGTGTTAGCCGTCGGGAGCGGACAGCAGCGAGGGCAGCTTTCCGGACTCACAGCAGTCCTCATCGTACGCCTTGTCGCCGCGGATGAAGAAGTTGGGGCTCTCGAACGGCCGGCGGCAGGCCTCGCACACGAAGCAGTGCGGGTGCCACTTGCCGCGCAGCGCCGAGATGATGTCGCCGTCGGCGATGGGCTGCCGGCAGCCTTTGCAGCGCGGCTTGTGCAGGTTGATGTGGCACTGCTCGGGCGGTCAGCACAGGCCAGAAGACGTCTGGCAGCGAGCCGGCGCACCTTCTCGCAGTAAGGGTAGCCCTTCCAGACGACGAACTCGCGTCCGCCAGCGCGTATGTTGCCTTCTTCGTCCACGCCCAGGCCGTTTGGGTCCGCGCCTGCGACGCTGCCGGCAGCTTTCGGATCGAGGAACGGGTCGCCGCAGTTTGCGCAGAAGAAGTGCAGGTCGTGATAGCTGCGCTCGGCGCTAGCATTCGGGTCGTCTGTCGCGCCCACGAGCTGCGGGTCGCTGATGGTGATGAAGCGCTCGTCCACGATGGGCGTGCGGCAGTGGAAGCAGCGGCGACTGAACAGCTCGTGGTAGTCGAAGTGGCAGAAGGCCTTGCCCTCGTGCTCGTAGAAGGCCACGTGCTCGAGCGGCTCAGAGCAATGCGAGCAGGCAAAGCAGGCCGGGTGGAAGCGCTGGCCCATGGCCGAGACGACGCGCCCGCCGATCCACTTGCCACACGTGCCGCAGCCATAGCCGGACCCGAGCGTCGGTGCCGACGCCGCATCGGAGCCGTTGATGCCGCCCGTGCCACGCACAGTGGAGGCAGGCGATGCCGACGGCGACACACGCTGCGGCGAGGCCAGTGGACCAGAGTGCGAGATGCTGATGCTCGGCTTGATCGCGCTGACGGCCTCGTCGTCCTCGTCGTCGACGCCTGCGATTGAGATCGACGGTCCAGACACAGCGATGGACGGCGCACCATCGGAGTGCTGTCCGACCGCGATAGAAGGCGCAGGTGGGCTCGGTTGCACAGAGATGCTCTGCGGCGCGTCGGCCACGACAGAGATGCTGGGCATGGCGCGAGAGGGCTGGCCAACGACGATCGTAGGACCACGAGCCGGCGAAGTCGGCGGATCGTCAACAAAGCTGATCGTGGGCATCGGCGGCTTGGTGTCTGGAGGCGGGCTGTGGATGACTGGAATGCTGGCAGGGCTCGCGAGCACAACAGATGCCGGCCTTGGCGTCGCACGTGCAGACGGAGTCGGGGTGACGTTGCTCGGACCGGGCGTGCTCGCTCGACGCTCGCGACCCGACACGAGGTCATCGCGTGGGCCTCGCGATGAGGGTCGTGGTGGCGGCGGCATGGGCACTTGCACCTGTGCGCTGCCACTCGCACCCGCAGACCCAGACGGCGACATGCCAATCTGTGCAAAGTCACGCGTGACGCTGTCGATCGAGTCGACAGAGCCGCTCGTGCTCGGCACGCTCTGGATGCTCGGCGACGGAGGCACACTGCCGCGTGGCGGAAAGTACTGCTGCGTGGAGGGAGACGACGGAACGCTGCTGGAACTGGGCGACATGCTGTTCTGCGCTGCGATGCGGCCGAGCGTGCCAGTGCCTCGCCGAGGAGGACCGCGAGCCATGAGCGCATCGGCAGCCATGCGCAGACTGTCGGCACGATTGATCGACTGCGCTGGAAGCACACCGGACGGAGGAGGCATGACGGGCGATGCACCAGGCGGCGGCTGCGGCAGAGTCCGACGCACCGACGGCGCACTCGTCAGGCCGCCGCCTGCAGGCGATGGCAGCGAGGGAGAGCGTGCTGGCGGAGGCATGGGCGCGCCGCCGGGCTGCGGCAGTGGCCGGCCGCCTGGGACAGGAGAAGCACCTGGTGGTGCGGGCTGTGCGTACACGTGCGGCGGAGCGGCGCCTGTGTATGGCGCATGACCAGGACTTGGCAGCGGCGGCTGCTGCCACGGTGCCGGAGCGTAGGTGACCGGAGAGGACGGGTACGAGGAGTGCGGTGGTGCATACGCTGCGTGAGCCGGCGGAGCTGCATAGTAGGGAGCTTGTGGCGGCGTTGCGGCGCCCGGCCAGGGAGCACCTGCAGGCGGAGCGCCATGCTGGTACTGCTGCGGCGGCGGATGTCCATGCCAGCCATGCACGGCAGGCTGCTGGCCGTGCGGCGGCTGGTAGTGCTGCTGCTGCGCCAGATGCGCCATCTGCTGCGGATCGTGGTACGACGGCTGCGGCACGTGCGGCTGCGCATAGGCGGGATGCTGATGCTGCGGCGCATACCCGTACTGAGCCGGAGGCGGCGCAGCCTGCACGTGCGACGGACCAGGCGAGTCGTACGGCGACGTCTGCCACGGCTGCGGCGGTGGATGTGCGGCGACGCCGCCGTAGTAGCCGTGCGGGCTCGCGGACGGCACAGCGGGGCTGCTGTCGTAGCGCGCACGCGGCTGCTCGCCCGGCGCAGGCGAGGCCGAGTGCGGCGAGTAGTGCGCTGGTGGCGCCGCGTACGGAGCGGCTGTGGTCGCGGAGCTGGCGCCGCTCTCGGCCCGGCTGCGCTGGGCAGCGCGCTCGCGCGACATGGCGTTGCGGCTGACGGGCCGCTCGGGCACGTCGGCGGCCGAGGAGAGGCGTCGCTCCGGCGCAGTGCGGCTGGCCGGGCGTTCGGGCGCGGGGCTGAAGCTCGAGGGCGGCAGCTCGCCGCCGCGTGTGGCCGCGTCGAACTCGATGGACTGCGAGCGGCCCGGCGGGATGAGGGGCGAGGAGGGGCGCGACGAGGAGGCCATGCGCGAGCGCGGCCGGGGCGGCGGCAGCTCGGGAGCGTGCGCCGCCCAGGCAGCGGCCATGTCGGGCGGCTGCGGCGAGCGAGAGCGCGACATGGGGCCGGGGAGAGCGTGGAGAGGGTGATGTGGGCGGAGCGCAGGCCTCGCGTGGTCGCGCTGCTTGCGTCCTCTGGCTGCGTCCAACATGTACGCGCCGCTCCGCCTCGGCGTTAGCGTGGCGCCGCGACGTGCCGGCGTGTGGTGCGTCTCGGTCCCATGCCCAGCTGCCTTCACATCAGCGCTGCCCAGCTTCTCTCGTCATGATGAGGAGCATAATCTGCAGCAAAAAATATGCGTGTAATCACGACTTCGGGCCATGGTGCTCGAGGAGCGACAGAGAAGGCGTGGCGGCCGTGGGAACAACGCGAGGCTCAGTCACGTGCTGCCCGGCCGCGGGCGAGCACAGGCACCTTTCGCGCCGGCGGCCGAGCTTCGCGTGCGTCCGCACCACCACCTCTCTCCACCCTCCACCTCGCCGGCCCACCATGCGCTACTACGAGCAGGCGCTGCCCGATGCCGAGGAGATCGTCATGTGCCAGGTGCGGCAGATTGCCGAGATGGGCGCCTACGTCAAGCTGCTCGAGTACGACGGCGCCGAGGGCATGATCCTCCTCTCCGAGCTCTCGCGCCGCCGCATTCGCTCCATCCAGAAGCTCATCCGTGTGGGCCGCAACGAGGTCGTCGTTGTGCTGCGTGTGGACAAGGACAAGGGTGAGTCTGGCAGGCGAGGCGCCGGGCGTCGTGTTGGCGGCGGCAGTGAAAGGCTGGAGGCGATGGGCGGCATGCAGCTCGGGCGGTGGGAAGGGCCAATGGGTGGCGGCCGGCTGCTGTCGGAACGAAGATCTGGGCTGAGGAGGGACTTTGCTGCGCGGCGAAGTGTCAGTATGGAATGCCCGTCGTCGTTGCCATGCCTGCCGTGTAGATGGCTGTCAAGCGCGCACGATGGGGCCACATAGGCGCTGGTGTGAGAGGGGCGAGCAAGCTGCTGCGCGCAGCGAGGCAAGCTGGCTAGCTACATGGCTCTGGTCAGGCTGTAGAGCCCATCTCGGCGAGAGGCCGAGCAGCTAGTCCTCGCATTGTCCTCGCTGTGCGGCGCTCTCATCTGCTGCTTTGCGGAGCCAGGGCAGCCCGCTGACGCTCGGAGCACAGGCTACATCGACCTGTCGAAGCGGCGTGTGTCGCCGGAGGACGTGATCAAGTGCGAGGAGCGCTACAGCAAGGCCAAGGCCGTGCACAGCATCCTGTCGCACGTCGCCGGCAAGCTCAACCGGCCACTGGAGGAGCTGTATGAGGCGATCAGCTGGCCGCTCGACCGCAAGTACGGGCACGCCTACGATGCCTTCAAGATTGCCGTGACGTGAGTCTGCGAGCTGCTGACGCTGCTGTCCGCATGCTGATAGCTTGCGCAGCGAGTCGGAGAGCGTCTTTGCTGGCCTGACGATGGACGAGGACGTGCAGCGCGAGCTGCAGGCCAACATCGCACGCCGGCTCACGCCGCAGCCGGTCAAGATCCGTGCCGACGTCGAGGTGACGTGCTACAACGCCGCCGGCATCGACGCCATCCGTGCTGCGCTGCAGGCTGCCGAGGACATTCAGACCGAGGAGATTCCGATCAAGGTCAAGCTCGTCGCGCCGCCGCTGTACGTGCTGATCACAAATTCGACCGACAAGGTCGGCGGCATCGAGCTGCTCGAGCAGGCCCTCGTGCGCATCGACGAGTCGATCAAAAAGGCGGGCGGCAACCTGACCGTCAAGATGAAGGTGAGTGGCGCTGAGCACCTGCGACTGCTCGGCTGCAGCTCACACGCCGCACGTCTCTCAGCCAAAGGCGGTGTCCGAGTCCGAGGACCAGGAGCTGGAGCAGCTCATGGCACGCGTGGAGAAGGAGAACGCGCAGGTCGAGGGCGACGAGTGAGCTACTGACGTGCGCCCGCTCGCAAGACATCTGCTGACGTCGTCTCTCTCTCTCTCTCTCTCGCAGCGACTCGGAGGAGGAGTAGAGACGCAGCTAGGCAGCTGGCATCGGTGCGCGGCCGTCGCTGATTGGCGAATGCCTTGTTGGGCACTTCAGAAATGCGATCGCTGCACTCCGACTGACCACCGTCAGCACACACGAGTCGCTAAGATGGATGCATTTCGCGGCTTCGCGGAAGAGGGGAGGGGAGACTCGAGACTGGACGGGTACGGGAACAGAGAACGGACCGAAGATTAGAGGATCGGGGAGCGAGGATGAGACTCGGGTTACCACAGAGCAGTGAACCATGGTACACTAGTTGAACTAATCCGGACTGTCGTACGGCGCCGGAGCGGAAGGCCGCGGCGGCGTCGACGGCGGCGGAGACCACGCCTGCTGCTGGTACTGCTGCTCCTGCTGCTGCGGCGGCGTACGCCGTTTGAAGTGATACGGCTGCTGCGGCGGCGGCGACGACCATGCCGACTGCCGTGGCTGCTGCTGCTGCACGCCGAAGCCGAAGTAGCGCTGCTGCTGCGGCTGCTGCTGCTGCTGCTGCTGTCCATAAGGAGCGGCCCAGGGCTGCTGCTGCTGCTGCGGCGGCGGCGGCGGCGGAGCGAAGTTGTGCTGTCCATACGGAGCGGCCCAGGGCTGCTGCTG